ATCTGCCCCCTGGCTGCTACCCGCTTTAAAAAGTCAACACCCAAAATGAAAAAAATACTAGAAAAAGAAAAGGTACAGAAAAGAAAAGAAGAAAAAGTCGAATAAAAGAAGACACAAACAAGACAGACAGAAAGAAGAAAAAGAAGAGAAATAAATAATTAAACAAAGAAAATACAATCTTGCATGAACGCATGATGATGCAGGCCGATGACTTTATTTTAAAAAAAAAATTAAGTTAAACATGCAATGTAGTGGTATATCTAGCTACCCTGGTGGGGGCGGGCAATGTCTGAGCCGGTATGCAGTGATCTAAATTATTTTGATGTGGTAAGTTAACAATTTTCTGGATCTTAATTTGCATTGGGGTAGTGCGACAGTTTTAAAGTTTTCTTATTACTTGGTTCCATCTTTGGTAGAGTAGGCCTATCTGTCAGGATGCCACGACCCATTTATAATGTGCCTCGCCCAAAATTCTGGAGCCATTATTGTACCCATCCTAAAATAGAAAGCAATACCTATCAACAATTATTTGTTAAACTTGAAATGTTAGCTTATTAACTTCAATCAGTATAGTATTAATGCCATAGGATGCAACTGATATATTTTAATCAATTTCCATAGTAGAAGTATCGTGGTCTGGTGGATACGTCACTGGACTCAGTGGATCACATGATTCGCGGCTCAAGTCCCGCCGCGTCATTAATGCCCTCTGTCGAGACATCATGTGCCACTCTCCACCCAGGTGTTTAATGGGTATCCGAAAGGATGAGAACGTTAATTACGTATGTTTGGCATGTACTGTGCGCGCATTTTAAACTGCGCCTGGTCGAAATACTCTCATACAATGGAGTGGGGGCGTAAAGCTTGATGACTATCATGCCTATCATGTGCCGATTTGGAATCGGAATCCAATAACCTGGGTAATAATAAAAACAATGTAAAGCGTAAGTCTTGAACAAATGGGACCATTATTATATTGTTATTACTTTCGAGTTGTTCTTATTATTCATTTTTATTCATTGTAGTTTTGACATCAGATGAGGGCGTTGTGTTGTGGGCGTCGAGATACAGAACTCTTACAGTTCTGTGGTCGAGATGCTTCTTTTGAGAGAAGTGTGGCTGCATGATCATTCTCATCAGATTATGGTAGCCTTGAAAAGGTGACGTTAAAATTATACGTGTATGAGTCAACCTACATCTTCGTAATTCCCCGGCAGAATATTCCAGGCATACCGTCTATATTACAGGCGCGGATCCAGGATTTCTTAGGGGGGGGGGGGCCCAAATTTGAAATTATGCGAGCCAAATATTGGTACATAATGGTGACCAACAGTGACGTAATGCGGGGGGGGGGGGGGGGTCGGTGCGTGCAGGGAGGGGCGAGTTTCCCCCTCCCTCCTCCGCGAACGCGGAAGTTTTGACGTTTCATTAAATTACTAGAGAAAGAAGACGATTCGTTGTACCCTTCTCAAAAATAATTCTCGTCTGAATTTAGTTTTTCCCCTCCCGCGCGAAGCGCGGAAAATTTTACGATTTATTAAATCATTACGATTCTTTGGAGAGTTCTCGACTCTTAATCCTCGTCTGAATTCAGGTTCCCCCCCCCTCCCGCGCTTCGCGCGGAAGCTTTTTAAGTTTCCTTTAATCATTAGAGAAAGAAGACGATTCGTTGTACCGTTTTCGACACTAATCCTCGTCTGAAATCAGTTTTCCCCCTACCGCGCGAAGCGTGGAAGCTTTTACGATTCATTAAATCATTAGAGAAAGAAGACGATTCGTTATACCGTTCTCGAAAATAATCCTCGTCTAAAGTTAGTTTTTCCCCTCCCGCGCGAAGCGCGGAAAATTTTACGATTTATTAAATCATTACGATTCTTTGGAGAGTTCTCGACTCTTAATCCTCGTCTGAATTCAGGTCCCCCCCCCCCCCGCCCGCGCTTTGCGCGGAAGCTTTTTAAGTTTCCTTTAATCATTAGAGAAAGAAGACGATTCGTTGTACCGTTTTCGACACTAATCCTCGTCTGAAATCAGTTTTCCCCCTACCGCGCGAAGCGCAGAAGCTTTGACGTTTCATTAAATCATTAAAGATTCGTATTACCGTTCTCGCCTCTGAATCCTCGTCTGAATTCAGGTTTCCCCCCCCCTCCCGCGCTTCGCGCGGGAGCTTTGACGTTTCACAAGAAAAATTTACGATTTATTAAATTATTACGATTCTTTGGAGAGCTCTCGACTCTTAATCCTCGTCTGAATTCAGGTTCCCCCCCCCCCCCTCCCGCGCGAAGCGCGGAAGCTTTTACGTTTCATTAAATCATTAGAGAAAGAACACGATTCGTTGTACCGTTATCGACTCTTAATCCTCGTCTGAATTCAGTCCCCCCCCCCCCTTCACGCGCGAAGCGCGGAAGCTTTTAAGTTTCATAAGATTATGAGAGAAAGAAGACGATTGGTTGTACAGTTCTCGACTCTTAATTCTCGTCCGAATTCAGGTCCCCCCCCACCTTCCCGCGCGAAGCGCTAAAGCTTTTAAGTTCCATAATGTTATGAGAGAAAGAAGACGATTTGCTGTACAGTTCTCGACTCTTAATCCTCGTCTGAATTCAGGTTCCCTTCTGCCGCGCGAAGCGCGTAAGTTTTTACGTTTCAATAAATCATTCGAAAGAAGACGATTCGTTGTACAGTTCTCGACTCTTAATCCTCGTCCGAATTCAGGTCCCCCCCCCCTTCCCGCGCGAAGCGCTAAAGCTTTTAAGTTCCATAATGTTATGAGAGAAAGAAGACGATTTGCTGTACAGTTCTCGACTCTTAATCCTCGTCTGAATTCAGGTTCCCTTCTGCCGCGCGAAGCGCGTAAGTTTTTAATTTTCATTAAATCATTAGAGAAAGAAAACGATTTGTTGTACCGTTCTCGAAAATAATCCTCGTCGGAATTTAATTTCCCCTCCATCCCGCGCAAAGCGCGGAAGCTTTGACGTTTTTTATTAAATCATTAAAGATTCGTATTACCGTTCTCGCCTCTGAATTCAGGTTCCCCACTCCCGCGCTTCGCGCGGAAGCTTTGACGTTTCACAAGATTATGAGAGAAAGAAGACGATTCGCTGTACCGTTCTCGATTCTTAATCCTTGTCTGAATTCAGTTCCCCCCCCCCCCTCCTGAGCGAAGCTTTGACGTTTCATTAAATTATTAGAGAAAGAAGACGATGCGTTGTACCGTTCTCTATACTCTTAATCCTTTTTTCAAAGGTGTTCTTTGTCTGCTCCTTTTTCTTCCTACGTCCTCTTCCGATTTGGGGGGACCGCCCCCCCCCCCTTCCTGGCTACGCGCCTGCGTTGAGATAAACACATTTTGATACCTTGTCCGACCCCGCAAGCTCAGGGGTTTAAGGCAATAAATTGCGGTCAGATAAGCATTCAGGGGCCCGCCTTAGGGCCCCTGGTGGGGTCGAGGCGGCTGAGCCGGCCCCGGAAGCTCAGGGTTTTAGGCGTTTAATTAAGGTCAGATGAGCATTTTGTTTATACCTTATTATTTTATGACACTGGCAGGTCACTATTTGGCGTGGGTTCCAGGGGCGGAGCCCAAAAAAACAGGGGTTTTAGGCATTAAATTACCGTCAAATGAGCATCTAAGGGCCCGCCGTGGGTCCTAGGTGGAATCCAGGGCTTAGCCCCCGGGAGCTTAGGGATTTAGGCATTTAATCACGGTCAGATGAGCATATTTAGATGCCTCATTAATTGTTAACACTGGCAGTTAACTATTATTTCTTTCTTGCTCTCATTCTATTTTATTTCTCTTTAATATACTTTTTCAAAAAAGTGGGGGGGGGGGGGGGGGGGCTCGAGGCTCCCAATCCCCGCCCCACCTCGGGCCTGACATGTAGGAATCTCAAGAATCATATTTCTTGCCTGGCTGTAAATTTAGTAATTTGTCATTCTCCAACGAACACATACAAACGTATTTACTAAAAAGTGAGGAAAAATCTCGGAAATTATGTCATTTCTTTCCCTTTCCTTCCTTCTCTCTTATTTTTTTTATTTGGGGGGGGGGGGGGGGGGGTCAACAGCCTGGGAGGCAAGGCCCTTTCGGCCCCCCGATCTCCCTCTTCCCCCTTTTCTTTTTTTTCTTCCTCTTCTTTCTTTCCCTTCTCTCCTCTTTCCCTTTCCCTTCTTTTCCTTTCCTCTCTCTTTTTTTTTTTTTTTTGCGGGGGGGGGGGGGGGGGGGCCAAGGCCCGCTCGGCCCCCCCCCCCTGGATCCGCGCCTGTATATTAGTCAATAGGTGAACAATAGCTGAAGAGGTAAAGGAAACAAAAGATAATGGAAAATGTAGAACAAGATTAGGAGATTGCGTCGTTCTTCACTAGATAGACATGTACCGGTAGATTAAAATAAGTGCTAATAAATATGGCAATGAATCCACTGTACGTATTTATAAAGCTGTGGTCGGATGGTTTGCCTCGCAGTATCCAAGGCCAAGATACACAGGCTTAGTGTGAGGTTGGGGGGGGGGGGGTGCAATTAAAACAAGAAGAGATGAACAAACACCGCCAGCAAAAAAACAAACAGAGGCAATAATCATCTGATTGATGGTTTAATTAGACTCCAAATAATGTTTATTCACGCAAGAGAGGTTATAGTAAAACAAGGATTAGTCCACGATTTTGGCAAAGTAGGGGGGGGGGGGATGGGTACAATTAGAGACAAAACCGACAAAGAAGTATGTGTATTAATTTTTCACGGTATAGATTTTACATGACAAGAAGTTTTGATCAGGTGCCTTTGTGAAAATGGGGGAGTAATTTCCATTTGTACCTATTTGATGTACAACACTTTGGTTTATATTTGTTCTAAAATTGCACATGGGTCTATTGTCTCCCATGAATCCCATACAGCTAGAGTTAAACGTTTCAAAAACCTGATGTCGTAGATGAGCAGTTTCTGCTTTGGAGAGTTAAACTTATTTTTTCAACACATTGAAGCTACCATAGATTTCGATTGATTCATATACAGGTTGCTATCTTCACAAATTTAATGTGGGATCGATGCGACTTGTTAAAAATTGAAATGGAATATTACTAAAAAGAACAGGATTCTGAACAAAATGAACCGTCATCAAGTTTTAACTGGAGCTGTTAATCCAGGGGATTCTTGTTTTGCCATTGGATATGTAGACGGAGTACCATTTACGGTAATTTTGAGCTTATTTTATTGCCAGATTGCTGTGTTGTATCTGTGAGTGTGTCTGTGTGATTCTCTCCATTGATTGTTGTGCAATAGGAGGTGGGTGTGTACACTGAATACTGCATACTGAGTGGACTGTAGGCAAGCTCAAGCAAGAGAGTGAAGTCTAGAGTCGACTAGGTCTAGAGTTGGAGAGATCGGGTCTAATTTTCAACCCTGTTTATATTTTGATAGATCTAATTTTAATATTTTAACTATGAACAATATCAAACAGCAAAATCGAATATCAAATAGATTCCCAAGTCAAGCTGAGAAATAAAAATAAAAGTGGAAACAAGAACTTGAACTTTTTGATTGAAGAAGAAGAAAATGGAGCCGGGTCTGCAAAATTGCCAAAATATATTACAAAAGAACAAAACAGTCGATGTCATTTCTCATAAAATTTGACTTGGTTGACAATCTGATTAAGAATAGCAGTCAGAAAATGAAAGAAATGAGCTAAGTTCATGAAGGTGGTATTCCGAAAAAGATATTGAGGTTATTGTTAACTGTTATGTTAATTGTTTATGTTTGGGAAATGAAGTCAATTGCAGGGCCCGCGCTAGACATAGCGTCTACAGAGACCCCAAGTTCAAAGATCGACAATGCATGACATTTTCATGATTCGCCGCGTGAGGGTATAACACACGTTAAAGGTATAGCGTTTTTCAAAATCTAGAGCGCGCGCAGTGCGTAAGAGCATTTTCAGACCCTCGAAATGTGTGATGTCACGCCTAATCCGTGATACTTGGTAGCTCTGGGCCTATACGTTTTTCAAAGTGGAGGGGGGGGGGCTTAAGTATTTACGATTGGGTATAGCGTAGAGACCCTCAAGATTTTTGGCCTAGCGCGACCCTTATACATGTAGGCCCTACAGTATTATACTATACAGGCCCGGTAGAACGTTTTTCAAAGTGGGGGGGGGGGCTAAAGTATTTACAATCAGGTAGAGTGTAGTAGGCAGAGCCTAAATTGGCATGGGGCCCAGGGGGCAGAGCCCCCCCCCCCCCCCCCCCCCCCCCCCCCCCCCCCCCCCCCCCCCCCCCCCCCCCCCCCCCCCCCCCCCCCCCCCGCAAGCTCAGAGGTTTTAGGCTATTAATAAGGTCATTAAGGTCATACATGTATGAGCATCCAGGGGCCAGCTTTAGGGCTTTCAGGGGTACAGCCATGACTGGGGTCCAGGAGGCGAAGCGAGCCCCTGAGCTCAGGGGTTTTAGCCATTCAATTACGGTCAGATGAGCCCTTTTTTGTGATACTGGCAGGTCACTATTCTTTCTTTTCTTCTTTCTTTTTTTCTTTTTTTCTATTTAGATCTTTAACGTACTTTTTCAAAAAAATTGGGGGGGGGGGGGGGGGGGAGGATGTGGCGCTCAATAACCCCGAGCCCCGCAATAGTATGGGGCTCTAAATTTTCATATACTGTACATGTACATGTACACCCTACATGTTTAAGTTGTAACAAATCGGGAGAGGTCATTGGAACTTAATGTTTGCGCTAGCATAAAGCTGTAAAAGGGACATCTGTGCACACACCAATGGCATGGTATTTACCTTGATTTGGGACTTCAAGTATAGTTGCTCATACTGTATATGCCCCTCTGCAGCAGGAATAAAGCCTGTGTGTTCTGGAGACTGGGCCTATGTGGGAGCATCAAACAATTTACAATAGCACGGAAATATTTAATTTGGGTTGAACATGTGATATTGAGCACTCCAAAAAGTTGGCCTTGTGTAAATTCCATTTTTTAGTTTGTTGTGACGTACATTGTAAGACAACTAATATCATTGACCAAAAAAATAAATACATGTACATGTACAGGTGTACATTCATGAAGGTACATCATGGATGGTAATGACAGAAACCATAATGTTGTAAAGTAGGAAAGGAGAGCCTCTCACAACTACAATGTATACAAGGTATACAGTACAGTGTATGTGTACCGTTATCTGGTATGTTATGAATCAGTGACAAGTTGAGTTCTAAAATTTGATAAAGAATAAGAAAGTAATCATGTAACTTTAATAGTGCAGTAAATGAAAACCACTGCACAAATTGACATCTGTATGGTATTCTTCTTGTTTTGTGCACAAAGATTTTTTTTTTCAAAACAAAATATTTAATTCCTGAACAGGTCATGTACAATGTTTTTCTTAGTACATTTTAAGTTACTTTTGAACCATACATGTACATGTTTGTGTACATGTGTAACTATATTTACATGTAGGTACATGTACATGTATGCGGTTCTTTATTTTTTCTACTCATTCTATGATATGAAGCAAAAAAAATAAAATAATAATAATGATAATAATTAAAAACTAAAAGAAAAACAATGAAATAAAAGTTTGTTTATTTAAACACAATCATTTTATTACAAGTACATTAAATACAGTGTACACTACTCTAGTTAATTAGGCTTGCTGGTAATATTTCATTAAGCTGCTACTTAAAGCACATGTACTGATGTATGTACTGTATACATGTTGGATGCTAACCAGGAAAGAGCAAGAGTGTTTTTAGCCTTTAACATGTAGTTAATAATAAAGCTATATTATTATCATTGTTGTTTAGGGGATTGTTCTTTTTGTCTTATACAATGTATTTCTTCTTCTTCTTCTCTCTCCTTCTTCTTCTTCTTCTTCTTCTTCTTCTTCTTCTTCTTCTTCTTCTTCTTCTTCTCCTTTTTCTTCTTCTCCTCTCCTTCTTCTTCTTCTCCTCCGTATCTGTTTGTAAATTATGCAGATTAAAGTGTGTTCCAGTTTATTATTCATCAATGTACATGTACAGTATGACAACTCAAGATTGAAAAAAGATGTTTTTTTTTACATGTATTTGTCAAATTTTAGTTCCTCTCCCCCATCATGATGTGGGATACGTGTACATTGTAAGACTTCAAAAATGGGGGGGGGGGGGGGGGGGGGGAGGAGTACATACACATGTAGAGGGTCAATATTCTGGTTACCTAATAACCTATACTTCTCAGGTTACAGGCAAGCCGTGAGGATTGTGTTATTAAAAACCTCCATAGTAGAGAAATCAATAGAATAGCTTTACATACATGGACAGCTCAAACTGAATGCCAATACAATTCACACTGGCTCATAATTAAACTGAGGGCAGGCATTTGAGTTCATCACAAAATTCATCAAAAATCCACACGTACAGTGTACATAAATGTATGTGCATGTACATACTTGACATCTGAAATGAAATGGAACATTGCATTCATTTTTACTAGGTGTAAGTTTTTGACATACTTACACTGTACAGTACACACACACACATGTATAATTTATAAAGCTTCTGTTTGACAATTTCTCGAACATGTTTGGCACTTGCTTTTTATGGGTGCATGCATACAGTACAGTATAATATCCCAACCAAGAGTGAGTTCAAAATACATACATTTACATACTGGTAATTTTAAGTTTGAGTTGGATAATTTAAGTTCCCCTGGGCACAATATATTGCAAAGCTCAGTTGTGCAATTTTAGATTTTCTTGAGTTTTGGTCAGTGTCAGGAAAAATTTGGTTTTGTCAGAAGCCAAGAGTAGAATGTGATACTTATCTGCCAAAGATAAGATATGAGTCAGGAACAAAAAACAGATTCATGAGCAAGTGTCATACATTTGAGTTTTAATAATAACAACTAAATTATTCATACCCTTCTTGAAATTCAATGTTTGTTGTGTTTTACATATGGTTACTACAATATCTTACTGTATCAAATGAAAGGTGGACTACATTTCGTAGTTGAATTAGGACCTCTGGCTCTGTTAAATACTTTTTAGATACACGTTCTTGTTGCATTCACGAGAAGCATTAGGAACAAATCAGTTTTGACATGTGTACAATCCATGTATGTGCATGTACAATGTACTACACATGCAGTCTTCCATTATACAGGTACAGGACATTTACATCAGACCAATTTTAAGCCAATAATAATAATAATAATTACATTTATAGGGCGCTTTATACAGATGTTTCTAAGCGCATAGGTGGTACTATACTGCTATTGATACACAATACAACTCAAGATAGGCTACATGTAAATGTACATAATGTTGTATGTTTAGCCTGACCCATATTCATGTACAATGAACATCGTATGGTCATTACATTTACCATCATTGTTGTTTGCATCACATGATTATTGTATCACATGATATCCAATTCTTCAAGTACAGAATCCTATCACATCCTGTGCTTTCCTTGTATTTACCTTGGTTTGTTTTGTTTCTGTTTCTCAATGACTCATTTTTTTTTTTACAAACACAAATCAACAATGTACAATGTATGTTAAATCTGTGTACCGGTACATGGCATTGTATGAGATCTGTTAAAAGGTATTACAAAGTTTTGGTAAATTTTGAAAATTGGCTGGATAGTGATTCTTTACCATTTTGATGCGCCTATGGATGTGTGCAGGGCTCTGATCAAGGGCACCTAAGTGTTACATATGAGGTGAATTTTAAAAGTCAATTATAGACTGTGGCAACATTATTTTTGTAATCTGCAAACATTATGCAACATATAGCTAAAAAATCAGACCTTAACAAATCGCCGTTAAGTTGCAATCAGTAGCTAAATATCACATCATCAAAAATGTTACGTACATAACTCGGTGTCCACTTCATGCTGATATTTCCCTTATAATTTTAATTTTTCTGACAAAGTACATTGGATGTTAAAACATACTGTAAACAAAACTTAAAACCATTGCCATATCAATTTTTTTCAATTTAGTTATTAGAATATGGCCAAAACAAATGTGGACACTGAGTTATGTACAGTACATCTTATTCTCTACATGCTTTCTCTTTACCTTATTGTCAGATATGGTTTTGCATTAGTCTAATAACGACTTCAATTGAAGGAATGATGTGTTTCCTGAATGAAACATAATTTGCAATGTGTAAATAGTTTGTAAACTACTGAAATGTAAGATTTCTGTACTTACATGTAATCGTACATAACTGTGGACACCAAAAGTAAGTAGTTCTACATTCAAATAATATTTAACTTCTTGTTCCTTAAATTCAATAAATGTTTGTTTAAATGAAAATACAGAAGGGTGCAATTCATGCTGTATGGAATAAATACATTTATTTATGATAATTATTTCAAATTTTTGATTGGTAGTAACGTACATAACTTGGTGTCTTTTCATAATGGTGTCTTAGTTATGTACATGACATGAAAAAGTTCAAACTGCAATATTTTGTAATATTCTTCTCACCAAATCAGATGTGTGTACATGTCTTATACATTTTTTACTACCTTACCATGACAAATAACTAAATATAGGTGGTCTTATTGGAAAAACAAAACATGGAATACGTACATAACTGTCACGTACATAACTCGGTGTCCACATTCATTGTTGATTAAATAACACATACAAGCTAAAATGCGGAATCCAATGTTATCAGTGCTCTTTATTCACCTATATACACCATTACATTGTCATTTTGAAAGTATACAATATGTTTTTGTATAGATTCTGGTGCACTGGTTTGTACATAACTGCAGGACACCAAACATTTTCCATTTACAGACATCTCAATATTTTTAAAACCATGACCCAGAATGAGATGATCTGATTGGAAATCAAAGATAAAGTGAAACTGAACATTATAACATTGCAAGCTTGTAAATAAATCAATTATTTATACACCATTCTTCAGTTAGTAAGGTTTGAAATTTGCAGGACACCAAAGTTACGTACATATCACAAAACTTGTATCACATGTAAATAGAATAAGAAAGTAAAATAATAGGAATTAACTCAACAGAAATGTTAATTATTACATAGATTCTACATCAAGATAAAAAAAAATCATAAGTTTTGCATCCCATTAGCAAAAAATCTGGTAACCAATTAGTGCATGTTTTGAATGTAACATTAAAAGTGCTGAAAATAGGCCTTTTTACATCATAAAATTGCTCTAAAATCTTTAATTTGAACTCAATGAAGCTGAAACCTTGTTTGGAGCTTCCCCCAATGGTACTTTCTAATATAAAAATGCTAATTTGTGTCTGGGTCTCATGTTTTTGGATAATTAAACAATTTTCCAGTGTTCAATCTAAGGGTACCCTTGATCTGAGCCATGCACACGTACATGTATTATAAGCACTAAAACTGTTAGCCCCTAAAACTCTCCTGCTTTCGAGAAAAATTGAATATAAAAATTAACCAGTGCTCCCGGTAAATTTTGATAAATTTGAAATAGCGCCTACGGCCAGACGATGGTAGCTGCAATCATAAGAATCCAAGAATATGCAGATTTGATATATATTCCAAACGGTAATAGTTAATCGGTCGATTTTAGTCAAATAACAAGGTTTTATAGCTAAATTAATATCTTGGCCTGAAGAGGGCGCTATACAACATAACAAGTTTATCATTTACAATTTCATCACTTTAGACTCGAATTCAACCGCAACAACGATCACTGAATATTGTAGGATTGCATATACTTCCAATATGTTCATTTGAACCAAATCCATTACCCCATACCAAAACTTTGTATTACCTTTAAGCAATTTTCTATGTGCCAGCACTAGTTTGATCAATGCCAAAAAGAAGTACTGTAGGAGAATGATGATTATAGCAAAGCATGTATTATGTATGATATAGATCATGATCATGATGATCATAAATGTACAGCAGCAGTAGCAGTGTTGATGGTGATAGTATTACTGATAACAACAACAATTGTATTAAAGCGCTCCGCACTCTCCTTTTTGGAAGGGGTTTCAGATTTAACTTTTTAGATTCTGCATGAATTTTAAAATGTCATAATTTTTTTTTTTTAATTTATTTATTTATTTATTTATTTAAAAAAAAAAAATGTATGCTAAAAGTGGTTTAGTACCTTGTAAGAGCTACCGATACTTAGCAGCCTTCATGAAAGTAAAGGCAGTCATTGAGCGACAGACAGCTACTACTACTACTAGTAGAAAGGAGGAGGAGGAGGAGGGAGGAGGAGGAGGAGGAGGAGGAGGAGGAGGAGGAGGAGGAGAGAGAGAGAGAGGAGAGAGAGAGAGAGGAGAGGAGAGAGAGAGAGAGAGAGGAGGGAGGAGGGGAGGAGGGGGGAGGAGGGGGAGGAGGAGGAGGAGGGGGAGGAGGAGGAGGAGGGGGAGAAGGAGGAGGAGGAGGAGGGGGGGGGGGGGGGGGGGGAGGAGAGGAGGAGAGGAGGAGGAGGAGGAGGAGGAGGAGGAGGCCTTCCAATGTACATGTACATTGTTAATCTGTATGCATTAGAAAGGGGCGAGAATTAAAGTATACACTGTTTAATAAAATAATCAAAAAAGAAAGAAATGTATACTTCTCAAATTCTTTGAGAGTTTTATCTTACAATTCAGTCACAGTATCCATGGCCTCTGTATTGATTGGGTGAATACATTTAGAAATTGTACTGGTACTGAGAATTTGTACTGGTACTGAGAAGTTTGCCTTGAAATCACAATTACAAGAATGCAATCTAATGTCCTTGTACATGTAGATGCTGTAGATGAATTAAGCTTTGCAATAGTTGACCTGATACCCTCAGTTTTGCATGTACATGTATCGAAGAACGGGTGAAAAACTTACTTTTACTCGTCTAAAATACATATTAATGTACTTGTACATGCAGTAGCAGGCAGAGGAAGAGGTACATGTAGTATGTACATATGATAATTGCAATTAATTTCAATTGAATACTTTGTATATCAAGTTTTCAAGATACATACACCTGTATGTACCTCTATCAAACGGTTTACTTGGACTTTGATACAATATCATAGAGCCTGCACTGGACAGGCATTTTAAGAACATTTATCAAGTCCGTCGTGAAGATTGTAATGTTAATGAAAATTGATTAGTTTTTGGAATACCGGTAAGAGAGATTGGCAAAGAAGAAGTGAGAGAGAGAGAGCGAGCCTTCTGTGTACTGTAGAGAAATCCTGTATATTGAGTTGTACCATGTATTAGGTTCGATTGTACCTTATTCGAAATGCACAGCAAAACAAAGAAAACAATATAGCAAGAATTAAAAATCACATTTTGGTTAAGTCGTAATGGTTTGAAATCTGAAATAACCTCATTAGGAGGGAAGTTTTAATTATAAAAAATGAAATGAATCAAAAACACAGAGTAGAGAAGAACAGGGTTTAATTATTTGGGTTTGTTATACAATGTATGTGCACAGGTCAGGGTACCTTAAAGCTTGCATCATTTCTCGTATAGGTTATGATACATTTTAAAAATGTACATGTACATTTAAACAAATGTATGCTGATGTCTTCTTCTCTTACCCTTTTCCTGTACATTGCATCAATTTCAATATTAACATGTGTTTGTCAATATTTTCTATTTCCTATTGCAGGCCTATGCATCAGGATGTGATATAGTGATCTTGGCCAGTGACTTCCAGCGCACACAGATTATCCCTGGTGAGAAACATGGTAACATTCAAGTGGGCTGTATCGACTGCTCCTCAGAAAATGGAAAGGTAGGGATTAATCTCATTAAATTCTCAAGAAAATTGTAATTTGTTTTGTATGTCCCATTTGCAGGCCAAAAAAATGAAAAGGTTAAATTCTAAAGGCATTTGAAAGATACATGTAATACTAATTTAGAACTTCCCTAAAAAAAAGGGGGGGGGGGGGCTTGAAAATGTCGCTAAGTGGGAAAATACAGTGTAACAACTATTAGTTGTCAAATTGACTTAGGAGCTATAGAGCCAATAAGTAATAGTCTGACTTTTCAGACCATTGCACCGAATGGTCATACGTTTTATGCTGCGCAAAGGTTCAATCAGTTTAATTTTGGCGATTACAAGAAGTGGGTTATTGATGTAGACAAAATGCTCATGGGCTTTACAGCTCATTTTATGTATGTAAAGAGTGTCTGACAGTGAAGTCTAGCAAGTAAACGGGTTTCCTTGCATAATTTGAATATAAGGACGCTGCTAAGTTTAAATTTCACAGATACTGTAGGACATACTTGTACATGACATATTCATAATTCCTGCACAGTTCTACAGAATTTGATGTGGGCTGCAAAAGCGACATAGTCTCTTTAATATCACTCTGAGACATTTATATTTCATGTACAGAATACCACTCCTGATAGGAATTACAGCTGTAAAAATGTTTTTTCTTCCAGGTGTACATGTACATGTACATGTACAGTAGCCTTGACATGTACATGACAAGGCTACAGTGTACATGTACAATGTAACTTTCGGGCCCAACTGTACAGGTACTATGTTACAGGTATATTACATGTACATGCCAAGATACTGTATAATTTGTATTCCCGACACGGTGCTCTCATCAGACTTGATGATGTCATTGGGACTAAGCTGCATGCTATTAGGGATCAAAGGGTATTGTTTCTTATTAAAAGATAATTGTCTGCTATGAATAGCAATGATCCCAATAATTGAAGGGCGAGAGTACATGTACATGTGCCTATCAAATTTAGATGGATGTATTGCTCCTCAGGGGCTGTGTTTGTTCATCAAGCTCTTCCATGGTTTGATCATATAACTTAATGGGGCATTGAGTTAAAAATAAAGGTTGCGTTCTGGCAAAGGGGAAACTATTTACGTCGTTATTCTTCTCATGTGTAATAGTTTGGATGAAAGTCGTGATGAAAACTGTATCACCTGAAAATGTGTTGTTCTTCAGGGCGATTATTCAGTACGATTCATTCCAGAATGAATCCAGAATGAAAAGTTTGCTGACATGATTATGATATTAAAGAGGTACATGTACATGTACACTGTACATAGCAGAAAGCACCATTATTCAACATTGGTCATAATTAGGAGTCATAATGAGAGAGTCTTCCTTTTTTTTTAATAGATGAAATTGTTGGGGGGGGGGGGGGGAGACATACTCGGGCACACTTCATGGAATCTCTCTTCAAAAGCCCTAGTATTAAATATGTAACAAGAAATAGCTTAAGTATTGGGGAGGGGGGGGGGGGGGAGAATCATCTCACAAGTGTGTGTAGTCCCATACACCGGTTTACATGTACATGTAGGTGTGCATTGCATGTCCATTTCATCAAGGTTGAGTAGATTTCTAATAGATTTGATGTTTCTGAAATCTTACAGTATACAGTACAGTACATGCACCTGTACACCTACATGTACATGAACTGTACATGTACATGTCCTGGTATTTCTATTTATACAACATATTACATAATCATCCTTTCCGAATTGCTTCCAGACAGTTTAAAGGTAAAGACCAGTATCGGAAACGCCCCAATTTCAAAAAATGAAATGGAAGCTCTTGGCGTGGATGGCACACATTACCAATCATGTGAAAGAATATGTTTTGACTAATACATGATGATAACAAATTTGCCGGGAAACCGCCTACTAATTGATATATTTGGTAAATTAGTTTATCTACATGGTCTGTGAGAGATAAACGCACGTGTCGCGCACGTGTCCGTATAGTCCCATACACATCTTTTTGTGTACAGTGCTTGTAACTTTACGAAGACTGGGCCATATTTCTTATCATTTTGATGATTCCAGAACCTTGCAGTACACACCAATACTGTAGATGATCAACCTTTTTTGATCGATTCGACAACGTTTCTTTCACAATGCAATCGCATGACCATAACTGGTCTTTAACTTTAATTCTCATCATGATCACTCGCCAGCAAACAATTTTATTGTTAAGGTCATGTTTATTTTTGTAGCAGTTTGCTTGTGTTCCTATTTTGTATAAACACGGTACAATATACCTGTACAGTCGATACTTATAAAGTGGATAGAGTATTCCATGATTATTCATGGCTTTACAGTGTATTTTGTCATGATCAGGGCTAGGGCTGTGATTGTGTTTCATATCATTTTAGGGTCAAGGCTTAATAGAAGTACGTGCAGTGCTAAGTGTGGTTAAACTAAGATAAGACTTTGATTATTACAGTGAGAAATTGTCTGCTTACATGTACATGTAACAATTGTCGCCAGAGCATCATACTGTACATGTACATGTACTGTACATTATCATTGAAACACTGTTCACTGTACAAGACAACAATCTGATTTTCTTTTCTCTTTTTTTCAAATTGAATTCCCAAATTCATTTTTGATGTTGCAAATGTTATGGATACTGAAAAAAATGTCAGAATGCCAATGAAGACAGAAATATGCTGGTTAAGTACAGTTTTGTTTTGTACAATATATTACTGTATAATGATCAAGGGAATTCCATATCCACATCACTCTACCACAGGTGTATCAACTTCAAATTGTATTATGGATGGAATTCAAAATAGAGAAAATATTCAGATATTAACATGATGTACATGTACATGTAGTTTCAGTGAACAACACTATACATTATCTGTGAATTTAGCAGCATATACTGTATGTACATTGTATAGTGTGATGCCATGCACAGAAGATGTGCCACGCTCAGTATAGTGTGTCCACATCAGCATTAGATCGTGCTGTCCATTAAAGGTGAACCTAATGTTTGTATTGCTATTCAAGAGTAGGGAAGTTTTTGTTCAGAAAAAGAAAACCATCTACATGTACTCATGTTATACTTGTACAGTATGTACAGTTACAACAAAATGAATTACACTTAATGTACCAATATATTGCAAAATTATTTACTTTACTTGTATCAAAGAGAACTGTTGCTGAGCTAGCGCCATGAGCGTCCCTGGACGGTGTGTGCGCTCTATAAGTTTACACTATTATTATTATTATTATTATTTCATGAAGTACATGTACATGTCGATTTGTATTTTAATGAAGCTTAATACATACAACATATAAAAGCATTCAACAAAGGCCATCATTCAACCAGTCCTTCTTTCATTCTTGAGTTACAAAAAACACAAAATACATCAAATTTACAAGGAGTGTGAATAATTCAGTTGTTAAATGTATTTTACATCTATTTTCTCATTCTAACCTCATTCTGTTCTGCATGGTGAAATGCAAGGAATGTTTCATACTTATCAGAACCTGTGAGGTTTCTCGTTGCAAAGTGTTTTCCAGACACTGCGGTCACAAAAAGAAGATGTGTTTGTTAACTGATTTGAGGAGCATGTACAATGTTTGCAGACATTTTCTGCCTGCCTTTTCAATGCCTTCTTTGTTATTTTTTAATAGGTTGAGAGATGGGAAGGTGAGATACATGTACATGTACATGTGGAAAGAAACAAAAGAGAGAGAGAGAGAGAGAGAGAGAGAGAGACGGACAGAGAAAGAGGTACAACTGTATATGTACATGTACAGTATGTTAAGAATGTGATGGGAGAGAGATGATGAGAGATAGAGAGACATTGATAGGTGGAGAGAGAGAGAGAGAGAGAGATAAAGAGAGAAAGAGAGGGAGAGAGAGAGAGAAAGAGAGAGATAGAAAGAGAGAGATAGAGAAAGAGAGAAATAGAGAAAGAGAGAGATAGAGAAAGAGAGAAATAGAGAAAGAGAGAGATAGAGAAAGAGAGAATAGAGAGAGAGAGAGAGAGAGAGAGAGAGAGAGTTCCAGTGGGAGGAGAGAGAGAGAAGGGTGAAGAGATAAAGAGATGTATTATATATTAAAGAATGAGGGTCATACGGATTTAGAGAGATACAGTACAGGGCTCAGACAGAAAAATAGGTAGTTGGTTACATCTACATGTACATGTACATGTAGGTGGAGAGTAAAAGAGAGAGAGAGAGAGTAATTGAGGAAGAGAAAGGGATACATCTAGAGAAGAGATAGGAAATAAATTGAATGATATTCTTGGGGGTATCCTACGCTCCGTCTACATCGTCGTATAATTGCAGGGAATGAGCTGCGTGTCCAATTTGATATCATCCGCCGAAGATCCGGGAGTGATGAACCTAGAAGTTCTCCCATGAGAAGCTAGTCTCCCCTCCAAACCCCTCTTATTTCCAAGTACATGTAGAAGCTGAATAGTGTCTCTTTGTTATTTGAATACCAAGTTGTCCCATGGTTGCTTTTGGAGAATAATATGTAGTATTAAAGACATTTTCTCCTGAGATGAATTTTACTCAGATTGCATTTTCTCCAAAAAGGAAAGGTGGGATACACTGCAGTGTATACTACATTGATACACATACAGGTTGTACCTGTGATTCCATAACTGTACCATTTCCAGTGTCACAATTTTGATAAAAACCACCAGCACCATTGACTAATTACAATGTACCGTACATGTTTATATTCTCTAATCTCTATCTCTCTCTCTCTCTCTCTCTCTCTCTCTCTTTCACTCAAAAGTTCATTTCTTTTAATGCTAATTAGTATTTCCAGTATACACTGTACATGTACATGTACCTTCTCCATATATTTCTCTTTTATGTGTAACTCCTCCGTCATAGTTTTTTTATATATTTTTTTAAAAATATTTTTTTGGAGTTACTTGAATGTAACTCCTTATTAGATATAATTTTTAAAAAGTCATTCATATCTTATGACCTACACTGCACTTAATATAATTTTGCATCCACAAAGATTTACATGAGTTGTTTTATAAATTTTATAAAAATATTTGTTATATAAAGTTTTTACAAATTACTACCAATGAAGTATACAATGTACACTTAGTTTGCATCTAACAGCAATTATAAGACCATGAAGCCGGTCTGCACGCTGAGACTGAAATCCCCCACAATGAATCAGGTTGTTGGGGAGTGGATGTATAATGTATACATCCATGTCGGCGGGTTTGTGCTCACATGCATACCTGAACGTGCATAATCCGCCCACCTAGTAGGTTTCACGTTCTTGAATCTTCTGATGAATGAATGAATGAATGAACGAACGAATAAGCGGAGTGCCCCCACTTTGTACAGTAGAGTGCAGGTCATGCCAGACGACAGCTGTCTGTGTGTGCTTGAGTGTATTGAAGGTGTACTGCTGGGATATAATGTAATGGGGTCGGAGCATGGGAGTGCATGTTTTTTTAAGAAATAATGAATACACACGAATTGCACTTAATACAGTAGAGTGCTTGCACTTTTGCTGGTACATAAAACTTCTGGAGTATTATCAATCTTTATTATCGATATTTCTATGTTAACAAGGTGTTATTGCATTACAGCATAGGGGCTCACTCGTTGTATTCATTTGATATACTTTGCATGAAAGGGACTTATCTTTTCTATTATACTGGAGTCAGCATCCTCTCCCCCCCCCCCTCCCTCCTTGGCTATATTGTTGATCAATCTAATTATTTACATTTTGATAATATAAAAATATTGACTGCTCATGAGGATGATGGTGGAAGTTATCACTCTCAAGGTGGTGTTCACACCAGTTCTTCCGTCACCCACGAAGCGAAGCCGAGGGGTGATAGAAGGGCCGGTATGAACACAACCGAGGGAGTGATAATTTCCTCCATCCGATTACAGAGCAGTCCATACAATATTTGTTTTATATACCTATTTTTAATACATGTTTGTGATACTTTTTCATCTCGGTATTCTTAATTAACTTAAGTTTATTTCATCTCTTAAGTTAAATTACAAGTGAGTGTATCTTGTATTTTGAGACTGTTTCTTTTATTTGTACTCATACTATCAGTCAAACTTTCATTGAACCTAATATATATATAATATAAAATTTTATGCATTTTTTTCTTACAGATTGCTGCATCTTACGCAAACCAGGTCTACATATTTGAACCGTCTCCCGTCGCTCAAAAGAAGAACTCAAATGTAAGTACATGTACAGTATCAAAGGGCCATATCTGTTGAACAGCTTTAGACATTGTTTATTTTGTCAATCAGCGTTTGTTTAGGAATAGAGGGAGAGAGATACTTGTAGAAAAGTTGTCAAAGAGATAGAAGGCTTTTTGCTGTCTAGTATGTCACTGCAATTACCCAGCTGAATACATGTACATGTGCCACATATCAAGGCTTTCAAAATACATGCAAAACATCCTAAAATACAACAATAGAACACTTGATACTTCATGTACTTCATGTTTTATTATACAAGATACAAATTGTATATTACACTGACATCTACATTTATTGGCATACAAAAACAAAACAAAAATTGCAAAAGATATACAGGGATGCATTCAGTCAAGGAGAAAATTTGACAAAGGAGTTGTGTCCCCTTAAGTTTGATTTATTGATTTATCCCTCCTAATGTATGATTTTTTAATATTTTTTTGCATAGATGTTGATTTTAATAGATATTATTCATTTATTAAGATTAAATAGTTTTACTTTTCATTGCAAATGCATTCCATTCATTAGCGTGTGTCAATCACTGTAAATATGTATAAAGTAAAGTAAAATCTAAAAAGAAATGGGGGTATCAAACAAAGAAACTTAAAAAGGAGGGAGTAAAGGATGGAACATAAGAGAAACAAAATTATTAGAAAATAATGAGAAATGCAGCTTAGACTTGAGGGAGAGAGGGAGAGATAGAGAGAAAGAAAGAAAGAAAGATAGGAGAGAGAGAGAGAGAAAAAAAGAGATCAACATACTCAAAGGAAAGAGGCACAAATAATGTATTTTTTCAGTGGATAGAATCAACCAAGGTCAATGACATCTATGGTAGATAGGAAACTATTAAAGGGATCCGGTAACTTTGTCTCAGATTCTGAAACAAAATCCTGGATTTAGCTCATGCTGCAATGGTAATTACAAACCTTTTGGTCCGTCAGGAACCCCATGACTTTTACAAGCCGATTATCAAGATATTTATGATTAGAAATCAAAACCAAATTTTGCGTTTGCCTAACAGTTTTCATAACACTACAGTCTGTTGCGAAAAATGAGTATGGTGAAACCGGTGTCACCCAAAGATTTTTTACTTTTTTGAGGCACTTCTTGATCATTTTGAAGCATATTAGGGCTTCAATATTACACCATATCACAGACACTGATAATACGTAGGGCCGTGCATCTCAGATTTAACATTGTTAAATGATGCCTTTAATATCTAATAAAAATCCGTTTACAAAATTCGAGAGAATGGGCTTAGAGACCTGACAGTAACATTTTCTTTGTGACCTCAAATGTATTGGAAATACAGTTTTGTCAATGGGAAAATGAATATTTCAATCCTGAAAGTATTTACCAATATTATGTCACTGGCCACTATTGAGGAAATTTTCAAGAATTTCCAGTTTCTATTATATGGCTACATGGTTCTTCTCGTAGATATTCAGAGAGCTGGATATTCTAATCAAGTCAATCAGTAGCATAAAAGAGATTCCAACTTGTTTCAAATGTTGAATAATTGGAAAAGCAGCATTAGTAAAGTCTATAAGGTGCAGTTTTTTATGCTCGCGTCGATGTCACGTTCGCCTGCACCTTTCGGTGGACTTGCCTCATGACGAAGAAGGAGACGCCAGCCAACACACTCAAGAGGATGATGACACCAATGACGATACCGGCGATGCTTCCCGCAGATGCCCCATTGGCAAGGTTCTGCATGCTATCATCGTAACCTGGGTTACCACCGTCAGCAAAGGAGCCACCAGCAACACCGCTACCACCGCCCATTCCTCCACCGGCGCCGCCCGATACACCGCCAGTACCACCATGTCCAGTGCCGCCGCTGTTTCCACCGTAATCGGCGCCTCCCGTGTTGATGCCCCAATCGCTTCCCCCGTTACCAGAGGTGTCGCCTGTACCCGCTAAAGCAGGGTTTTCCACGGGTGCAGTGTCCAAGGGCGTGTAGCTACCGGTACTGCTGCCCCCGGCAAAGTCATTGGCGGCGGCGCCAAGGCCAAAGAGGTTGCCATCTCTGCGTTGCTTTGGTACCATACCGAAGGGTTTAGGAGTGGTACTTGGTTTCATGAAACCAAATTCTGTCTGTCTCTGCGGTGCCCCGGCATTGAGTTGTCTGTAATTCAGCAGCCAGTCAAACTGGGCAGAACATGCTGTTTAGACAAGAACAATTTGAAAACAATTATTAATTTTCATGTTTGTAATTTTGGGAAATTTCCAGATTTGAATTCAAATATCAGTCCACAAAATACATATATGCATGCAAGATTCAAACAAATATAGACCAATTCATTAATCTTCTCAGTTTGGCACCTAAACCTATCATTTTCAAAAGAATGGAAGACTTTCTTTTATTAAATCATTACAAGAATCTTTCACTAAAATGTCTGAAATTACTGGGCAATGAATTAATGTTCAATGTACAGTACATTTACATGTAGGATAGGAAACCTGCATAAATTATGGAATCTTTGATTCTACATCACAAAATTATAATATAGAAGAGTTTGGGGTCATACACAGATTTACTCTCAAACATTGAGTATTGTTGCCACTGGATTGTTACATGTACATGTACATGTACAGAACAAGTTGACCAACATGCACCAGATTTTATGTAGGGAAATTTGGCACAAACTACTGGAAATGAACTTTCAAAGATCTTTTGACCTCAGAATGACTGTACATGTATGCCATAGGAACATTTATTTAGGGTGTTATTTTTAGTAGATCATATCATTTTCAACACCGAAATCAATCGTAAGGATCCATGTTTCACATTAAAACAAGAAAGATAATCTGTCTTTCACCACGTGTATTAAATGTACATGTGTCAGTGAAAGTGGTTGCTTGGCACAGGTTTGGAATGGGTTAATATAAGGAGTTCTGCCACTGTGGCATGAATTTCTTTGGAGTGACAGCGGTGGGATACGGAAACTTGATAATTCCAAGGATTCAACAGATTAGGTGTATATGATCTCTATAATCCCCCAACACTTTTAGCTTTAATATGATGCTTCACCCCAAAACACAGTTCAGGTTTCAGTAATTACCACTCTGTGTCAGAGCCCTGCATGAGCCAGGATGAGTAATGTAGTTGTCCATCCATCAGAGTGAAATGACTCAAAGGGTTTTTATTAGATCAAGAAAGAAGAGTAAATACTCTGCCTTTTCTAGTCCATTTACCAATAACCTTTAAGTGCATGGTAAAGGATTTTGATGAGCTCATGATGTGCGGGTGGCAGACACACAGATTCTGACATCTTGTATTTGAAAGCATTGTAGTTTAAAATTCAGCCTCTTTTTGCAGATCTGATTCTACACATTGGAATTTCTCAGAGTTTTGCATTGCAAGATTTATTGAAACATTCATATAATTGAGAAAAAGTTGTGCAGATTTGCTTAAATCCAAAGTACCGGTAAAGAAATTTGTATAGAAATTGTACATGAAATCATATAATGATAGATAAATCTCTTAATTACTAGTACAAGGGCAAGATGTGTGAGTACTACAGTACCGGGTATGTCACCATGTTCTTGAGTTTATGGCTATCGGTATGTCATGATGATCTGCAGTGAACATGTCTCTACAGGTTGACACATTTTTGTCTTTTCAGATAATGGCAAAATGCCTCTTTATGCTGCCTTATTTTCCCTTTCCTGGTCTTGACAAAGATACGGATTTGATTATCAATTTCCATTTCACCTAACTTTCTAATTTCACCTTGCAGGAGTGAAGGCCCTTATTTAGAACTGATCATGCCCGAGGTAGCGTCACTGCCAAGTGCAGAGATGATGATGATTCAATTATGACACACAGTTATTCATAGGTGGAGAGAATGGGAGAGGGAGAGAGAGAGAGAGAGAGTGAAAGAGGGTGGAAATGAGAGAATAAAAGAGCGTGAAAGTGAGAGTGGAAGACGGTGAATGAGAGAGAGAGAGAGAGAGAGAGAGAGAGAGAATGGGAGAGAGAGTGAGAGTCACAGGTGAGATAGAGACAGAAAATAATGAGAGATAGAGAGAAATAAAAAGGTTAAAGATTTTGAGAGATACAAGAGTAAAGAGAAAGATAAAAAAAAGAGCGATAGATAGAAAATGTGTGAGCACAAGGTAGAAAGAGTGAGAGAGAGAGAGAGAAATAAGTGGAAGGAGGGGGGGGGGGGGGGTAAGATAAAATGGGAGGGGTCAGGGGGAGAATGAAAATGTAGCGAGAGGATAAGAGAAATTCATGTAGAGGGAGAGGGAAAAGAACGAATGAGAGCAATACAGACAGAGAGATAGAGACCGAGAGACCAACAGCAAAAATAGATGTAGAAGAGGTTTCTGGGTCACATGACCCACTCATACCATGTACTTTGCAGTGTCTCCCCCTTAATTATCAGGTGACCTTTCATGGCTGACGTACCAGTAGTCAAAACCTTTTCAGCACGAACTCATCACAAGTGTGCATCAGGTGTTCTGATTTTGTTCCCAATCAGAGGAGTCTATATACAGTTAACGACTGAATTATTCATACCCTTGTAAACTTGATAGGGGTTTAGGGGGGTGTTTAAAAAAAAAAAGTTTAATCAAGAATGAAATGCAAACTGGTTAAATTAGGACCTTTATTGAACACTTTTAGATGTATGCTTCAATATGTGCTATTCTCAGAAAACATATATTGCGACAAATCAATTTTTCACTTACTTAAAAAATTACAAAATTTGGTTAGGGTATAAATAATTTAGATGTTTAATAGCTGTAGTTCCTTCTCTATTTTGTTTGGAAACAAGCAACTTAAATCTAAATAGCTGATCCATCCCTAGACTTTCTATTTGGAAGCACATCGTACAAGCTTGAAATTGACAGTGTGCCTAATGAGTCAGGGATACTTTAATACATGTATGTGCTATTGTCAGAAAGCATACAGAACATCACAACAAATCAATTTTTCACTTACTTACAAAATTACAAAATTTGGTAAGGGTATGAATAATTTAGTTGTACACTGTAGTACCTTCTCTATTCTGTTTGGAAACAAGCATCTTAAATCTAAATAGCTGATTCATCCCTATACTTTCTACTGTATTTGGAAGCACAAGCTTGAAATTGACTGTGTGCCTAATGAGTCAAGGATACTTGAATTGAGTGGCAGCGATGCAACCGAACCTATTAATTGCATGTGGTATAGTTTACAAACCGAGTGAATTAAGTGGGTGTACTGTATCAGTTTTAATAGAATGTCATGCTCAAAACTAGACGATGAACAGTGATTGATGATAATAATAATTACCGTAGTAATAAAAACTGTGCTTATAAAGCGCTTGACCACCGAAGTCTCTAAACGACAATATTAGAATACTATTAGACCTACAGTTGCAAGCTTGATCATGAAATAGTAACCATATAATTATGAACAACATGATATCAAATGAGTCTACTTCAAATAATTGAATGAAGGTCATTTTCAACTTTAACAACTTCTGCTCTTGAGGATTGTCCAATATACTGTACATTTATATTTCCATGTTTATGCACAAACTACATATGCATTCCTACATGTTTTAACTACTAGTTGGCTAATTTCCTGTTACCGGTAACGGCTGAATTCTGTAATTCCCTTAGAGCTATAAACACTACATGTACAATAGTATTACAGAGTTCACCTGGTTCCAATAGGTGATGAATTAAATCCAACTAAATTCACCATATATTTCTTTTCGGAGGAAAGAACTTGAATTCATTGTCAAAGATGTTGATGTAGAATGTTGACTTTTGGTGTGCTTCGATCACATCAAAAGCATATATGATACATGGTTATGGAAAACAGAACAGAGGTAATTTACCAGCCTGAAATGCCAAATAAACCCAGGGGATTCCCCCAAAGGCTGAGCATGTCTGACAGTAATTCATAGGGCGGGCCTAAGTAATTTATCATATTGGAATCCGATTAGAGAATTGCGTGTTACCTGCAGTGAAAAAAAATACACAGGAGGTAGGAGGAGTGAGCAATTTTTCTCTTGCCAAATTGGAAAAATCTTAAAGTGCTTTGGAAAACAAAGAATTGTGTTAAACAAAAATATTTTTTGTTTATTTCCAAAATCAGACTTGATATTGAATCCAAAAAGAGCCCCTGTGATCAGAAAAGTATTTCTTCTGGTTACGATGTTCCTTGATAAAACACATTTATTAATGAATACCAAATATAGACATTTTGGAAATGGTTTTGTATTCAGTCTGTCAGCAATTATGAAACCATGATAATGAATTACTTATAATATATATACCTACACTGTATCAATGAGAGGTATATATATTAGAAGTAATTCATTATCATGGTTTCATAATTGCTGACAGACTGAATACAAAGCCATTTCCAAAATGTATCATGTACCAACTGTAGAAAATGATAGATTTTTATATTATGAGCAATGTTGACCCTATGTATCCTACCGTAATCAAATAGGAAAAGGAAATTTGGTAATGGACTTTGCGAGTGAAGCAATTATGAAACTATGATACCAATCTTTGTGTATTATGGAAAACGATGTGTCAAGTTGTCATTTAAGAAGCACATTATCAAACCAAAAAGCTGGGGAAATAACCCCAGAATGCTCCAAAGTCGGATTAGCCCAGTTTCTCCTGACTTTCCGATGTTTATCTAAGAGATCTCATGTCTCACTTATCAATCAGCGCCGCAATCGTAGATAAATGGCGTAGATTTCCCTGGAGAAAGGATGCATTTGAAAGGAAAAAAGTAGTACATTTCCAGTGTACATTTTCACACCTCCTGAGTGATGGCTATCAGTGGAGGCATGATGAGGCATCAGGGGCCTGCCTGCCAAAAAGCAGATTGAAGTGGGCCATGAGACTTTGCTATTGTTTTTGATAGGGACAAATAAAAGCTGCATACTGAACACACTACACCTTAAAGCTGAACCCCATTGACCGTTACATGTATGATAGCTGACCCCCCAATACAACAAGAACAAACAAACTGCCACCCCCCCCCCCCCCCCAAAAAAAAAAAAAAAAAAAAAAAAGTTTTTATTTTCTTTGATATTAGTTCATAAATATTGATGTTTCCTGTGGTTTTTTTTCTTTCTTATAAATGTATGGAATATCAAACCACGAGCTGAAAATAATCTTCATGTCAATACGGTACCCTGATACTTTAAACTAAAATTTATCAGAAATCCAGGACAGAATCATCAATATTTGGCACATCATCATTTGACAGAAGTGGAACAGTACAAGGACATAAATAACTAAGTTTCATGAAAGTTTTCTTTTCTCTACCGGAACTAGATGTCATCTTTGATGTGCAATGTTGATACATGTACATGTGACTGTTGCAGTGTGAACAAAATCATTTGTAGATACCTTTACAAGGATAGAACCTGGGCCCCATTTCACAAAACTTGTCATCAGTGACAAGTGACAGTTTTTGTATAAGCTACTGAAATCCTTGCTTCTGATTGGTTATCAACAGATTTGTCACTGATTTTGTCATTTTGCATTGAAAAAAAGCTTTGTGAAATGGGTCCCAGATCAACACCTCAGATCTTTGCCCTGGAAAATCAGCATTTCCGGGAAGTCACATTTAGTTTTGATTTTGTAGCATTCATCTGTCACTGATGATTATTTCAAGTTATAGCCGATTCACGTCAATTAATTATGAGGTATCTAATATATGAAATTAATTCACAAATGAATTTCTATTATTGCCAATATAAAGTTCATACTAGAAATGGGCATTTCCTAAGGAAAAGAAAGAGTTCAAAAGGTCAAACCGATTTGTTGGGTAAAGTAAATAATAATTTTCAAAAAGTATCACCACATATGTAGGTCTGTGCTTTCACCAAGTGCATGAGTTTTACCAATAAAGATAATATGTGCAGTCATCTTTCAAGGAAAATATAATGAAATTAGGCTTTTCTGTTGTACTGTAGGCTATATATTTTAAATCTACTGTTGAAAGATTTGATAGGCATGGATTCCAAATAACACTGCACAATCTTGACTATCACAGATATTAAAAGCAAGACAGTTTTAATTAAATTACCGGTAGTATAGATTATTAATATCACAATTTCATTCAGGTTAGACTCAAAGGCACAATAAGTTTCTAACAGTCATGGCAATTTGTATAGTATTCACACCCGCAGTATAGATGAAATTTTTGTCTGTAATTTTTACTCACCCAAAATTGGCATTAAAAGACAAACAGCTAGCAGTTGCATCTTCATGTTGACAAGCAAATTAAATCCTCCTGTCTTTCCAAAAGCAATCGAGTAACAGTCCTCGCTTTCCTTTTCAACAAGGCTACCTATATCTGCCCAAATTGGCGCAAATCCACCAGTAAAATGGTCAGTTATCTTCCTAGCTTTACAGATAAGTCAGTATGGTATGAGAGGTAAGCATGTAATCAGCTTTTAAGCGATAGTAAACCCCCCAAAGCCCCCTTCCCGGAACATTTAAAACAGAGGAATCAAGAGAGGGGGGAAGATTCACACCGCAACTGGCGTCTGATTGGCCGAGAGTTTTGAGCGATGCCTGGATAGGGGGATGCCACCTGAAACTGTAGGCCTGCCCACAAGTGTTGCATTCCTGTCTGATTTTTTTTTCTCTCTCTCTCTCTCTCTCTCCCTCCCTCCCTCCCTCTCTCCCTTCCTTTCCTCTCCTCTCTCCTCTCCTCTCTCTTCTCTCTCTCCTCTCTCTCTCACTCTCTCTCTCTCTGTCCTCTGTTGATTTCTCTCACCCTCCCTCCCTCTCTCTCTCCTCTCCTCTCTCCTCTTTCCTCTATCTCTCTCTCTCTTCTCTTTTCTTCTCTTCTCTTCTCTCCTCTCCTCTCCTCTCCTCTCTCCTGTCTTGTTCTCTTCTCTTCTCTCCTCTCCTCTCCTCTCCTCTCTTCTCTCTCTCCTCTCTCTCCTCTCCTCTCTCCTCTCTCTCTCTCTCTTCTCTTTTCTTCTCTCCTCTCCTCTCCTCTCCTCTCTTCTCTCTCCTCTCTCTCCTCTCCTCTCTCCTCTCCTCTCTTCTCTCTCTCTTCTCTTCTCTCTCCTCTCCTCTCTCCTCTCTCTCTTTCTCCTCTCCTCTCTCTCTTCTCCCTCTCTCTGCCCCTCCTTTTGTCTCCCCACTCTCTTTGTCTCTTCTCTATCTTTCTATCTCTCTTTGTTTGTAAGGCAGGAAATGCGTTTTGGGGTTAGGGGGAACCTTGTATGGAAGGGGATGTAATGGTAAGGTCCGTCATCTGTCAATGTTAATAGGTCTTTAGGTATTTGAAGAGGAAAGTACGTTGGTAATAGTGTGGTCTGATGAAGTTTGGAAAGCTCTTTTTTGTTTTCATGTTCTACCTGCGCTTCTGAAAATTCATGAGACAGAGAGTATTTATAGAATCGATCTTATCCTAAAATCATATGTACAGTGTATGAGTGTCAATACTTCAATTGAATGCATGCTCTTTTCATTTGTTTTGAAGTCGTTGTCAGGCATCCTGAGATTTCTATGTATATTTATCACAAAGATACTTTTAGATAACTTTATTGCCTTTGCAAAATGCCTAAAGCTACTTTAATATGAATCATTTGAATTCATTGCCTGCCATACAGGATGGACCCTGTATTCAGCTTATGTGACTAAAAAGAGCATACAATAGTCAGGGGGGTGAATGTCATTTTCATATCATATTGAACAACAACTGAAGTACATTATGGGTTACCGTTAATCATACATTGTTTCCAAACGCGTCATGAACTGCATCCATCCAACAGCCTTGTACATCAATTAGGACTCAATATCTAAAGCTTGTCAATGATTAGTCAATACAAGTCGTTAATTTACCCTGTGATGACTGCATTACCCTAACGACACCCATCAGATCACTAGCTTGATATGGCATGTGCATCTCCCTTTAAGCGCAAGCAGACAGACAATCCGGTGTTTGGAAAATAAAATCAATGGTCATGAATTATTCAACTGTACATTTTCTTGCAACATTATAGGCGAGTCTAGGCATATGGTAGGATACATCATATCATATCATAGGAGTGCATTATGTGGTATTTATAGAGCACAGGGTGTAAAGATGCTACATGTTGTTTCCCTGCTCAAACTGTCTAATGCATGTTACTGATAATGCAGGGTTTAATTCACATGTGCTTTAGACCACAGATATATAATGTTACATAATGTCACTTATCCTGCTAACGACTACAATTTGATATACAGACTACAATGTATGCATGGGGGCTTAGATTACAGTTGAAAATTTATTTCAAATAATAAGTTATGGTCTGGGGTGTTCAGACTAGCACGAGGTGACCATGTCCTCTGTTTCATCAGATGTTGCTCCAGGGGGGTGTTTCACAAAAATCCTTAGTTGAACTTATCTCTAAGTTAGACTTTAAAATTGTGGAAAGCAGTTAGCATCTATGAAAATATTTTGTAAAAGATATTTTTAAAGGCATAAAAAGTACATTCAATTCATATATATTTTCTATTATCAAGGAGTTCTTATGTTCTTCATGTGGAATTTATGAAAAGTCTAAAATACTTGAACTTTTGCTCATGAATATATTTCATTTTAAGGCTACAAATGGCTCTCCATATTTTTTTAAGTCCAACTTAGAGTTAAGTTCAACTTAGGACCTTTGTGAAACACCCACAAGTTTGTACAACTGTAGTGTGGCTTCCACACAGACTGAGGGAATTTCATCATGTCTTATCTGAAGCGACCTTCTGATCACTGGTTCAAAATGTGTTTTTTTTAATCTCACTACATGCATATACTCTATGTGTGAATGGCACTTTCTTGTCACATTGAACCCTTATCAAGAGAAACAATGTTTAGCCACATGCGTGCCAAAGTTGCCATGAAATTTGATAATCTTTGCAGGAAAAAAAAAAACCAACAACAGAAGAATAGAAGAATGACTAAGATTCTGAAAACTGTTCGGAATTGATGGTAGTTTTAAAGCAATAATGAAATTGGCTGTTTCCTCTGAAGTTTCAGTCTGTTTGTGAAAATGGCATGTTGCTTGAATGAGCCATCCAGTAAAACAAAGGGGGTCTCCATGATAATCCTGGAGAGATTTGCCATTTAGAGTCAGATGTTGGCCTACACTGTACATTAGGTTTCAAGTCTTTTGCACTTTAAGGCCCAGGCACAGTGGAGAGATCTACATCTTACCGACAATAGTAGACATAGCGGAAACAAAAAGATTACACAATTTGCCAAAATTTCATTGATTGGCATTCCTGTAATATTCCATGATTATATAATAATATAATAAAAAAAGCTCAATTGAAATGTATGAAAAGTTCTTTTTTCACTACTACGTGTAGTTTAATATCATTAAACCTTTCATCTTTGTCTTTCTCTGTATATCTGTCTCTCTATCTTTCTGTCTCTGTCTTTGTGTCTCTGTCTCTCAGTCTGTCTGTTGGTCTCTCTCTCTCTCTCTCTGTCTGTCTGTTGGTCTTTCTCTGTCTCTCTGTATGTCTCTTTCTCTAACCCTCTGTTCCCTTTCTATAATTTTGTATCCTCCCCACCTCTCCTTTCTTACCCTCCCCTTCATATCTCTCTCTCTCTCTCTCTCTCTCTCTCTCTCCCTCTGAACCCTCCCCTTACTTTCTGTATCTGTCGTTTCACCTATGTATGTTTATGCATTTAATGATATATTTCTTTTTATAAATTTCTCTTCCTGTATTTACAGCATAAGCTTGAATACCAGTGGGAGGAGACTGGAAGCTTTAAGATCGACTCGCTGGTGAGCAACCTGTCATGGAATCAGGATGGTAAGAATAATCATCGATCTTAGAGCCAGAAGGGAATTTATCTCACATTGAACACAAGATGAATCTCCTTCTGTCTCTGAACAGACAATATGATTTATATAATTTCCATGAAATTTTTAGTAAGTACATGTACATGTAGCTTTAAATTATTATACAGGGATGCCAGGTTTCAGGCCCCGGCGAGTTATTTTCAGACCATAGTTTAGGCTTTTATGTGTACAAAATAGCTCATTCTAGGTGATTTTCAGGCCCTCTGATCAATTCTAACTGGCATCCCTGATTATATTTAGAAATCAAAATCAAAATCAAAATTGTCATATTCATGATGACTGTCAAATAGAGGGTTATTTCAAGTTCTTGTTAAATACATATTGAAGCAGTTTTCACAGAAACAAAGATGAAATGCAAGATAACAGATTTTCATCAAGCAAATTGGCTATTTTTTATCTGATAATTTTGTTATTTTAATCAACTTCAGAATCCGGTTAGCTTGTGTTTCTGAGTAATGATGTCTAAAAACAGTGTAAGGTGAGAAATGTAGGTCAATCACCAGACTGGGTATTTGATATCTTATAGGTATTTGATACCTATACACATAGTCCGATATTTTACAGTAGGCATACTATATACCGTGACATGTACAAGTAATGTACCTTCATGACCCCAAAGAAATAAACATGTAGGCCTACATGTTTTAAAGAGTTAAAGGGAAACCTAAACAGACAACTTCTCTAAAAGAAAGCGGGAAAAATCATATAAGCAGACTGGTGAAAGTTTGAATTAAATCAGGGGAAAAAAAGTTATGATGTTGTGAAATCTGTAATCACTATAAGCCTCAAATTGGCCAAGTCGATAATGTCTCTGTGATGTACATGTACAGTAGTAGCGGACAAATATCCCATTTGAAAAAATAACAAAGTTGTAAATTTTAAAAAATCTGTTATCACTATATTTGTATGTGAGGGCATTTCAAATTGGCTGAGTCCATTTAATGCCTCTGTGATGCATGTAGTGGTGGAAACTTTCCCATTTGATCCAGCACACAAAAAGGTTCTGAGACGAACATTTACTGAGCTCTGTGTCATGTGTACATTTGTACATGTATATTACTACATACAAATTTTTAAAAAATGCTGCGGCTTACCAATTCATATATGAACAAGGTTTTAATAAGGGTTACATACATGTATGTGCATGTGTACTTTATACATTAACAAATGAGCACACAGTAGTAGATCATCATCTGCATAAAATTGACCACTGAGCAAATATTTTATCCACATACAATTTTGTCGGCCGAGAGCCTGAGACGAAGGGCTCTGTTTGAACGAGTAATAATATTTTCAATTTGTACTGAACCAGAAAGAAACTGCTGTACATTTGATGGACTTTTGGAGCATTGGTACATGTACATTGTACCCTTCTCTGAAGATATCTCCTACTTTAATATACATAAATGCCATTCTTTCTCAGAATGAATACACTAGATACTAGTTTGATAAAGCCGAGTGTATAGATGCCTAAAATTTTGTTAGTTTTTATAAAAACAAACCAACCACATCTTTGTACATTCATCAGATGGGTAACATATGGTACAGTGTAGATATTGAAAATGCCTTAAGCCCTAAAAATAAAAGGCAAAAAGTGTAAACAAAATCCTTGGAAAATTCTCTCATAGGAAAGAAATAAACAAATTATGATTTCAGTGGGTGCCTGGACAACTGGTGCAAGTATGCATAATAGAAAATAGGTTTTTAAAAAGAATTCATCATTTTATCGCTACGAAAAGAACCCAATATCCGGCTTGTCACCAGAGAGATATAAACCAGCAGATACAGATAATGATGGCTGTCTCATGAATTCTTGATAACGCTGCCCTTTTCCCATCCCAACAATTTTGTCAGCCCCTGGTCGGTAACTGAATCAGTGATCGATCAATTTCAGACGTACGCCACGGAAATGGATGTAAAGGCGATTAGGCACCAAAATGTAATGTTCTCGTTAGGCCGTTTCACCGCTTGGGCAGGAATATATTTTGTCCGATACTGTTTCACCTTTACGCTACAAAAAGGGGAAGAGGGAGAGGTCTGTTCGTTATGTTTAGTCGAGGTGTACTGAATTTTTGATTTGTTTAATCTCTGATTGTTATCTTTTATGCCCATGAATTATGGGCAGAGTATTTTACAGTGGTTGGTCAATTACCTGTAGCTCGAAATGGAATGTGTTTCATATTATTATTTAATATTGTCTTTTCTGTCTACTCATGTGTACATCCAGTAAAAAACCTGTTTTACTTTGCATCACCACTTTCTTTCTGGTGTATGTACAGTACATACAAGTACATCTACAAGCTGTTTGCAGGTTAGAAATGCCATTTTGTCATGTCATTGAAAATTTATTATACAGTAGGCTTTTACAGTAGGCTTGCAATTTCTTAGGGAAATAGATTTAATTTGAAATTGAACTGTTCATATTTTATCAACATTCTTTCAATTTTCCATCATTACAGGAACCAAACTTCTGACTGGGAGCAACGCCATCCAGCTGTGGGCTTGTGAGAAGGTGGTGACGATAGAAGTGAGTGATGCTGGAGAGGAGACTAGTCAGCCGGCGGACAAACATATCCCAGGATACACCTGGCAGTGCTCATGGCAGTGCAAGTAAGCATGTTTTTACTATATCTTGATTCCATGTATAAAAGAAGAAATGCCCCTTCACCCCCCCCCCCCCAAAAAAAAAAGAAGCAAAAACATACCTACAAACAAACAAATAAACAAACAAGCAAAAGGAACAGACATGGTTCAAGGGAGAATGTGCAAAAATATGTTAAAGATATGAAGATAAAAATATTACATTTTTTGTTCATGTTTATTGATTATAAGAAAACCAAAGAACGCGAACTTGAATTCTTTTATTTTTCTGACTGAAAAGTTATTGCTATAGGTGTAGATTGGTCATTGTGGTGACCATGCTCCTGTTGCTAGGTGTTGCCTGGTTAGAAAAGCTCTTGAGGAAACAAGAAATATGTAGATTGTGAATTTGTGTATGGTCAATAGAAAAGTAGTCTAGGACTTGATCCTTTTTTCTTTCTTCCATTACATACTCTTTCAGGAAATGCTATTCTGTGTTGTCTGTGCTATTTTGTTTGAGTCATAAAGTCTGCTTTAGAAAAAAGAGTGAGGAGGGGTGGGGGAGTGAGGGGGGAGGGCGAGGGGAGCAATCAATTTTGAGATGAATGGGGATGAAAGATTGAAGTATGAAAAGAAGAGAGAGTGAGAGAGAGAGATATTTAGGAGACTATTACATGTATAAAAGCCAACAAATGTAGGTTTGTTCAGAAAAAGAGAAGAATATTTTTTTTTTAAAGAAATAGCACAAGTGACCATTGATGACTTACAACACTTCATTGTACACATACAAGTAACCTTTTAGTCTTGATATAACATTTTTGTGAAAATTAAGTGGGTTGGGTTCCAAGTTTTACCTCATTTCAGTTTATGAACAAATTTACCACGGCACAAGAACTGTGTAAAAAAATCACCTCATGATGCCTTGAAACATGGCCTCCCTTCCTGACAGTAAATGGACAGTGGAGGGTCAATCAGTACAGAAATAATTTCATATTTTAGTCTGGATTCATGAATACAATACTCGCTATAGGCTTCAGGGGATGGTCTGGCACTTTTATTGGTCATTAACGATCTCAGCATCCTGCTGCCCTCGATGGTCAATTGAAGAGATCATCCAACCACAATATACAAGTAAAGGCAATTACAGAAGTCTGAAGTATGCAATTGTGCAACTACTGTACAATCAACATATAATTGCATTTCTGCTCAAGGCGTATTTTGCAGGGTCTTGATATCAAGCAATGCTCATGAAACTCTTTCACATTTAGGCTTATTCGTAATATCTGGAAGGGGCAAGGCAATGTTGATAGGAAAAGGGAAAACCTTGGAAACAGATTGGTAAAATGAGAACAAATTGGACTAATCATAAGGTCATTAAGTTTGTTGAAACAAACTGCTGCTGCAATATTTCATTTGCTTTCATTCAAAGCAACTCATCATCTTTTGCTTTTTTTAAAGGTAAAGACCAGTATTGGAAATGCCCCAATTTCAAAAAATGAAATAGAAGCTCTCATTACCAATCATGTGAAAGAATATGTTTTGACTAATACATGATGATAAAAAATTGCCGGGAAACCGCCTACTAATTCATATATTTGGTAAATTTGTTTCTCTCATGGTCTGTGAGAGATATAGGGTAGTCCCATATACATCTTTCTGTGTATAGTGCTTGTAACTTTACGAAGAATGGGCCAAATTTCTTATCATTTTGATGATTCCAGAACCTTGCAGATGCTAGATGCTAGATGATCAACCTTTTCTGATCGATTCCACAACGTTTCTTTCACAATGCAATTGCATGACCATAACTGGTCTTTACCTTTAAAGATATGATTGGGTGAATAGAATGTATTTAGTTATTCTGAGATACAGTGAACCACTTGATTGCCCTACCAGAGAGAGTATGCTGTTTCAGCACTTTTCTGAAAATGTAACTTTTTTAAATATTACAAAAAAAAGCCTTTCTTGTGTTGAGATACAAGTAGTTATAGCAGGATCCTGTAAAAATACGCTGGTGCCCATAAAGTCGGAATAATATGTTCTTACTTTTTTTATGAAATGATTGTGACAGTGGATTATTCTTGTTAAATGGGTACCCGGTAGGATGCGAAAGCTAATGTGGTTAGATTAGCAAGTGTGCGCTTGTAAAAAAAAAGATGCCTGGCTGGAATGCTCCCCAGGGAGTGGAGAATGTGAATACATTGTGTGCGGGTAAGCCTGAATCCTATGACCGGGGTAATAATATATATATATATTTGTAAAGCGCTTTGAGAGGGCCTTCGGTCCTGAAAAGCGCTATATAAGAACTAGCTATTATTATTATTATTATTAATCTCTATGACTCTTCAGATTGATCAATACATTTCTGAGAAGATATACAATTTTCAAACTCATATTGTCACAATCATTTGAAGGGAAGAAGATAGAACAAATTAAATCCATGTACAGTATCTAAATTTCTCTGCTTGTAGGCACTTTTGTTTTTACAGGACTCTCACATATACATGTATACATTTGAGATTTACTTGTACTTGGAATTACATTAAAACAAAACACTCTCATGGCAGGAAACAAGGCCAATTTTGTGTCAAGAAACTTTTGTGTCAAACTTTTGCTCACTGCTGTCAAGGATCAGAATCACTCACAAAAAAAGCTTACTAAGTTTCTGTTTTTATAGGGCAGAACCTGGTACTCATATTTTGAGGGAAAATATCATCTTGCTTTTGATATATTTCTAAGAAAAGAACAAATACGCTTTTAGAGTTGGGATTAGATCATTAGGCCTAATTTGGCATGAGTGATTGTAACGCAGCCACTCACTTTTTTGGTTCAAGCTAGTCCAGATAATAATAGAATTGCAATTAAATACCTTTCATTTCTTATCTTATGTCTGAAAAAAATAGCAAATACTTTGGAAAATAATATTTCTTATGCTTTATTTGAGGTAGAGGGTAATTGGATAAAGTGCCCTCCAGCACACTTAAATCCCCTATGTGGATCATTTTTTAATCCCTGGAATAACTTGAGACTTGTCTCTTAATTGCATCGTTTCCTATTTCCTTGTTTTAGGTTAGAAAATGCTTGATTTAACAGGAAAATCTCTCCTTTCCTTTGCACTCTTGAGATCTATTTTAGGGTTTAGAGCTGTGGGGTTTTTGTCAAAAACTTGACTAAGCGAGCTGAAGACTTTTTCCGATAGAGAGAGGGGGAGACGGGAGGAGAAATGTTAGAGAGAGAGGAGAGAACGAGATAGATAGAGAGAGAGAGAAAGAGAGAGAGAGAGAGAAAGAGAGAGTGAGAGAGAAAGAGAGAGTGAGAGAGAGAGAGAGAGAGAGAGAGAAGAAATGTTAGAGAGAGAGAAGAGAAGTGAGGGGGAGATAAGAGAGAGAATAGAGCAAGTCGATACTACTAGAGAGAGAACAAAAAGATTTTGTTTTAAAGAGAGAGAGAGAGAACAAGATAGAGAAAAAGTGAGAGAGAGAGAGAGAGTGAGGGTGAATGGTTAGGAGAGGAAATGAGAGAGAGGGGGGCAGGAGAAAAAAGCAAGGGAGAGTAAAGGAGAAGAGTGTGCGAGAGAGAGAGAGAGAGAGAGAGAGAGAGAGAGAGAGAGAGAGAGAGAGAGAGAAACAGGCAAGTGTTGTTTGGTGTATTTTGGGGATAATTGTTTGAGCTGACTCACTCTGAGCTATATCATAAGTAGTACATGAAAAGGTCATGAATAGATTACTTATGAAGATGTCATTGCTCCGTAGGAGGAGTGCAAGAAGCACCACAAATTATGGTAGACAGCTCAAAAAGAGCTGTGGAACGAATACTTTATACAAGGTTATGGTGCATGTTTTCCAGTTTTTTTGCAAGGATCTATAAAGAAGTTTCATCCACTTTACATAATTTTCTTTTAATCCAACTACTATACTGAATGCCTCTTTAGTCATTGAACATTGATACAAACCCATCTTTTCAGCAGTACCATCTACAAATATAGGAACATTTATTACTAATAACTTATGTAGAGGAAATCTATTAGACCTTACTGTATGCCACAATACAAGATTTTGACTTACTTTTGATGCATGTATATGTTTAATATTTTCATTTTATTTTATTTTTATTTTTTCAATAATACAATGCATAATAACGAACAATGTAAAATATATACAAAACATAATTTATAGTTACATTAATTTTGTAATAATAAAAACTTTACATTAATTAATTTATACATTTGAAGACAAAAATTTAATTATAAATTTAACTGTATTTATATTTTGGGGAAACATTATACTAGTGTGTGCATTCAGTTTCCTTAGTATTGGAATTATGCACTTGCAATAAAGAAATACTATTATAATATTCAAGATACGTGAACGGACTGTCATATCCGGAAACCTTCTTCCGAGTGATACTAGAGCGGATGCCATCAGATGATCCCAGCCCTAATTATAATAGATTATAATGCCCTCTGGTCAAATCTTGAAGTATTATGACCTAGGAATCTCTCTCTAGTACCCAATAGGCCTGTCTTCATCAGCTCGAGTTTGCCAAATAACCCGCTATTTTAACTATCCCAATCGCAAATTATCCAGCTTATGTGCGTCTTCATCAGCAATTAGCTGGATATTTTGCGCTTGTCCGAGCTTATTTGTGATGAGCGTATCGGTCTGGTGAAGACACATTTCGGGTTCGGGATAATATCCTGAGTCTGAAAATAGCGGGTTATTTGGCAAACTTGAGCTGATGGAGACAGGCCTTATTAGTATGCTTTATGGTGGATTCACAGCAAAAGTGTCCGATGACGGCTAATCTTTGAGTTCAGATGAAAATTTGCATTTTGTGTATCGAACTGGCCAAAATCATTTCATAGAAATTGTGTCATATATTAGATGTGTTGTTTGGACTAGCAAAATATATGAATGAACCAAAAACAAGTCAGAAATTGAATTGAATTGATGTATTGTTTCCACATTTAAAAAAGAAATAACAAAACAATATACTCAAAATATTTCAATACATTAATGACATAATAAACATCAAAAATATTCAGCAAGAACAAAAGCAGAGATACATAATAATATTAAACTACAAACAAATTCATGTCAATGTGGGGAATTATAAAAAAAGTGATAAACTATAAATATAGCATAACACCATGTTGGTATTAATAAATAGATAACTTATATTGGGAAAGAAGACAATTCAAATTAATAAATAACTTGACGAGAAGAATTCAGTGAGAATTTATTTTCCTTTGATACCAGAATCCACAATTGCATTTGCATAAATCAACTATCAGTAAGGTTAATTCTGGGACTATTCTTGCAATTTTATCAAAATGAGCATATTTATATTAAAACATTCTATCAGTGAGAGCCATCAAAAAAGGATTTTGTTCCTGCTGCAGAATAACAGTCGTTGCTTGATGACTTTTTCATGAGCAGATTTTTGTCTGTACTGTAGATAGCATTAAAATCTGTTGTCATTCTGCATTTGATAGTAGCATTAGTTTGAATACGAATATTACTTCAGAAATGCAGATTGTACATTCATTTATGTGATGCATGCATGTAATAATGGAAAGTGTTTACTAAACACCAATTAAGTATGAACATAACTCATCAAAATTTGTAGTGTAGGAGCGTATGCTTTATCAAAAGCAGTGGGGAAAAATAAATTTCCTTTCAATATTCAAATAAAATGTTCAAGGACACAGGTTCATGTATAAAGTTTGATTGATTATGAGCTGAATAATTATCAAATCTCTTGGGGAAAAAATAATCTTGTCTAAATGTTCAGACAGAAACTGAGCCATCATTCTACAAAGCGTTGATTGAGGGAAAGCCGAATGTAGAATTGATGAAAAGCCGAACGTAGAATCGATTTCAGGGAACGTATATCAATTTGTCAAGCTTCAGTGGGCAAGAGGTGATACATGTAATACAATGTAGCACAAGATGAGGGAAGATGAACATTAGATTGAGAATAATATGAAATAATGTATGAAGGGTGCTCCAGGTCACATTTTAAACATCTTTGCATACATCTTTGCACATGTACACGTATGTAGATAACATTAAGGAACCAAATTTGTGTTTTTAAAATTCTACTTCATTTTAAAAAGATACTGTACAGCAAAATATTTGCTAAGTTGTTACATGGCCATTTTTTATTTATTTATTTATTTTTTTTTTTGGGGGGGGGGGGACCATCGCAAAAAGGGGAATGATATGAGTCATATATTTAAACATAAAATTTCCCTAATCTGCACTAATTGCAAATTTAGCAAATTTTTCTTGCAGGTGACAGGCTGTTCAAGAGCAAGGCCTTGAAGTTACTTCAACTTGAAGATTTTACTTTTCCTCCAAGAATACAATGCTCCCAGCAATAGATTATTATCATGTTATTGATGTTCGCAGATCAATTTCACATGTGTATCTTGTATCTATTTAGAATTATAGTTTCCAAAATTTAATAACCATGTGACTGCCAGAATCATTAAAGTCAGGAACAATCGTAGAGTGTGAAACTGAAGATACAGAAATTACTAAAATTTCCTTTCTCCTCTTTTTCAGATGAAATAGAATGAATTCATTTTAGGATAAGGTTCCCCACCCATAGTATCAATAGTCAAGCCAAGAGGTAAAATTCATGAGGAGAAAATGGAAATTGAGTAAATTCCCCAAAGTTGAAAAACATACAAAAACAGCAACAGATGTTGAATTGCTGATTATTAAATTACAACTACCCGGTACGTGACCAAGCTGCCAGTCTTTAACTCTCATGTGATTCAAGTCTTCTTACCTTTCATCAAATAAATATCTGATGTATGATTTGTACAGTTTTCTTCAAACTGTTTAGTAACATATTCATCTGAATTTTTTTCCTGCTCCCCCAATTAAGGGACATATGATATGAAGGCCGCTGGGCCATACACTTGATTATTCTTGTTCTAAAGAAATCATACAATTATCTTCCTTTTGTATATGTTTATATACTTTTGTTTTACTTGTTGAGCTTTTGTGGGGGAAAGATTATGAAGATATACATGAACAAAATGAGTAATGGTAATAGTTTTTGTTTATGAATGCTCGCAAGTTATTCTTGTTCTGAAGAAATCATAAAATTAACTTCTTTTTTAAAAATGTTCATATCATTTTGGTATACTTGTTGAAATTTTGTGGGGGGAATGATTATGACGATGTACACGAACAAGATGAGTTATAGTTTTTGTTTATGAACGCTCGCGAGTACATGTATGTTATTCATTGTGTTATTATTTTCTATTTTCCCCTTTTACAGAACTGCCACTCCCATATACCACCTCAAGTTTTCAGCCGACGGTCAGTTCTTTGCGTCAGCTGGAAAGGTAAGCCTCAATTTGTCTGCTGAGAGCCAGAAGGGCATTAAAGCCCAACTGTACTACTTGTAGCTACTAGCTCCCTCTATGTAGAATACAATGGCTAAGCGGTGCCCATTTGTCCCCCATGATCCTCTTTTTCTTATGTTAAATATTTGAGAACTGATTTGATGAGATAAACAGCTGTCAGTGACCATGCTGGGGAGTCTAATCCCTCCTGGCCAAACAAGTGCAGACAGGCTTTAAATGGGATGTACGCCACTTGCTCCTGCGACATTCCCTCTGTGTCACTGTCTTACACTTACCAAATTCTTAACTTCAAACCCTGGTCCCAACACTATTCCTTACCCTTTAAAGCCCATCTGCACTAGTTTGGCCACGAGGGATTAGACCTCCCTGCATGGTCATTGACAGGAGGTTTTCTCATCAAATCAGCTCTTGATTAACAAAAGAAAAAGGAGACCATGGGGGACCAACGGTTCCCGATTAGGCATTGCTTGCTAGAGGGCGCACATAGCTATACATGTAAGTCGTGCAGTGGAGCTTTAAGCTAACCCTACACCTAACTTAAAACTCAATTTCAAATCTTACTGTATACCTAAATTTTTAGCAAAATAAATCCCTGAGCAATTGTTGCAGGAGCATGTGTCAGGTCACCATTAACACATTCACTTTAAAGCAGAGTTAACACCTCTCTGGCTCTCAACAGATTACTTTATGTATCCAGTCAGTCGTATTAAATATGTCTAAAAGTTTTTTGAATGATGGCTTTTGAAATTTAAGCTATGGTAGCCTCGAAAAGACAAAAGACGTGTTCTAAAGAATGTTTAGACATTTTTGTGATTGACGACCATTGAAATTTAAGCTATGGTAGCCTTAAAAGGACAAAAGAAGTCAATGGTTGTAAAGAATGTCTAGATATTTTTGTGAATGATGGATGATGACCATTGACATTTAAGCTATGGTAGCCTTCATAGGACAAAAGAAGCCAGTGATACATGACTGCCAGACAGCATTTTTCCTTTTTGGAATTCCAATTTGTTCTTTATGTTTACTGAATAGAACCCAATTTGTAGATGTAAACGGAGAAAAAAAGAATGGTATGCATGAGGTTTTAATCTACATGTACCTGATTGATGTACATGTACATTTACCTTGGGTACTGTGTGTGGCAAATCCTACCCAAGATTTGTCTTTGCAGACTGAAACCACTTTCTTTCCCTATCTTGAACATAATAGATATACTCCTATGGTATATTCAGGGCTGTCAACCCTCCCACATTTGGAGGGAGTCTCACACCACCACGCTCATTCTCCCGCCGTCCCGCCAGCTCGTAGCGGAAGACTCCCGCCATCACGCCCTTTCTCCCGCAAATGTCCCGGCAAACGTGTTAAATAAACCAGCGTACTCGTATCGTATAGATTTTTTTTGCTCAATGTGGGGGGGGGGGGGGAGGGGTAGTGAGCACTTCAATTTTTCTTTCTTACTCTTACTCAACACCCCGCCCCCCTTCCCTGTTGAGCCAAACAAAAATTGCACTGACGATCTCCCTTGAAGCAATTCCCCAAAGTTGACAGCCCTGTGTATTCTCATCCTTCATTCAGTACAATCATGCACTTTCCATGCTCATAATAACGTGTTCCAAATATCATCTGCTAATATAGCACATATTGATACCAATATGATGGGGATATAGCGGCAATAGCCAGCCAGACAGACAGAGCCAGCTTTTATTTGAATGTTTTCTTGTCTTGAAACATTCTTGATTATGAATTTCTTATAAATGTTCTGAACATCAAATTTTTATCAACTGGTATCTACATTGAAGATTGGAATATCAATTGATAAAATATGAAATGCACAATAGATTGTAGATTGTGCTACCCTAACCCTGGATGGAGCTATTGTCTTTATCAGCTTCATGCCTGGACCGATGTCCTAGGTTGAAAAAATAGAGATAGATTATTTATAAGATAAATGCTCGAGAAAGACTTATGAGGCAAATGCTCAGGAAAGACTTAATGGGAGATGATTTGACATATGTCAATGAAATTTGGTTCAATATCTTTTTGTATTTTATCATCAGACCAACTGTATCTGAATATAATCATATTCCTCTTTATATTAATTTCATTTTAAAGTATCATTACGAAAAGCTCTCGTTAAAACTATACCCCACCACTATAGCACAGCAGTCAATGTAATCTGGTGGGGTAGCACTACCCCAGATTCGTTTCTCTCGTTAAAACTTTGTAATCTGGTGGGGTAGCAATACCCCAGTTTCGTTTCTCTCGTTAAAACTTTGAGAGAGCTACTACTATTACACAGGCACCAATGGGAATCTGATGGGGTCTCACTACCCCACTTTCAATTCTCTCGTTAAAAACTTGGACAGAGCCTTGAGGCTCTGAGTGAGAGATTAAGATATTGGATTGCAACTGGACTCTACATCATCTTACGTAATACTAGTGTAAACAAACTCTTACTGGGGTCTGCCTGAAAGGAAATGAGAAGTAGGAAATAAGTATTTTACTTGTTTTAAGATATTTTTATGTCCTAAAGTCACTAATAATTTAGATGAAGACCAAAATGAAAGTTCGAACGAAGCAAAATGACCCATAATTGGCGATATAACAACAATTTTAACTCTGGCAGCGAACCCCTGCATGTGTCTCTTTCTCCCTTCTCCCTTCCTTTCCCCTTGTATCATGCTTATCTCTCTCTCGCTATCACCTCATCAAGGTCTCGGTGGGGGTGGATTACAGCGCTAGTGTTTACTTAGGGCTTATCACAATCTCAGCTCTAGTACAAGTAGAAATGGTGAAAGTCAAATGGGGGTTTCAATTTTAAACGACGAGTTTTCGTCATGAAGGTGTTGTCTGACAAAGCTAGAATGACATCCATGCCCTTTTCTCTCTCTGATTATGCTTGTCTGAACATTCCTTATCCTCTAAATACTATAACATTCACCTGACAAATCATTAGAGCTCCCCCGCCTGGCGGTCTCGTGGCATCTTGCCACTCTGTTGTAATCATTAAATGGATACACATACAGGTGAATACCAAATTTTCCTGCTCATGTTGGAACCCAATAAAATACAAGTACCAGTATATTTTCACCCTTCATTCAATACGATCAGAGGTTTTCCACACTCATAATATCGTGTTCCAAATTTCATATGCTAATAAAGCACATATTTATACCAATATTCTGGGGATAGCCTGCCAGGCAGACCTATGTGTAAAAAGGAACGGGTTGATTTTTTGTACTAAATTTTGTTGATTGTCTTACTAGCTAGATTCTTCTTCTTCTTCTTTGGGTTAAGTCTACCTCCTTCACAGTTGAAGATTCTTGCAGACTGATGAGTGTGTGTTTGCTTACGAGAGCAAGGTGCATGGTGCAATGCTATTTACATGGTGCAAGTAAAAAGTTCCCAGACTTAGTTGCTGCCTCCCGTCAGGCATTGATTTGGGAGTGATACCCACCAATTTATGTATTTTTTTCAAGTTTAACTGAATGCATTTAAAAATGCCATCTGTCAGACTGCACCACCATCAAGAATTGAATTTAATACATTTTGTATTATATTCATTTTCAAATATGTCAGTTTCTTGTGGACCCCCTGCTTTCTACAAATACATGTTCTCCTTAACATCATCATTGTAGAGGTGTTTTAGTTCAGTGGTTTAAGCGCTTGACTTGAAATGCAAAAGCCGTGGGTTTAATCCCCGACACGACACTAATGTCCTTTGGCAAGGCATTAATCTACGTTTGCCACTCATACGCAAGAGAGAAATGGGGACCTGGTAGGATGACATAAGCATTTGTGTTAGTAATTGCCATACAGTGTATATGCCTTCACTGTGACTATATGTTAGGAATACTCCGCAGGGAGTGGAGATGGTGCACATTGTGTGGGAATGAATCCGATGACAGGGTTTATGTAAAATGCTTAGAGATGGTATTTCATATGAAGCGCTACATTATTAGCATCACCCTCTCCTTTCCTGCTTAAACTGCCTGCTTTACGATTAATTTCTCTAACCCATCGCCCAAATAAATGATCACGTTATTTCTTGTGATCTCCAATGGGCAACCATTGGTCTTGTTAATTATGTGAAAATCTATCCTCCTGTAAAAATACCAAAAGGAAGGACATCGAATACATAATATTTCCCGTGAACCTTTAAATCCCAAGAAAATTCTAAATAGTTCATGTGTTGTCTGAATAACCCAACGTGATGATAAGCAGATTTTAAATCAAACATAAACATGAATACACTTTACATTCTCTTCTTTCTTTTTGTTAGCTATACTTTCTCCCTCCTATCTAACTTTTGGCTTGAAATGCGGATTGAATTTTCGACAGTCAAAGACCAGTTTTTCTTTGTTTTCTGCCACCGTAAGGGGATTTATTACTTCTGAGGTGTTTCAAACTTCAGATGCCCATCCTATCTTTATGAGATTGTCTATTTCCTTTTCTACAAGTTCTCTATTTTGAAGAGCAGACCTATTGTTTTTGCTTTCAGAATCTCCAAGACAAGTTATGCAAGGTAATTTATAACCTTCAAAAATGACATCCAATGTATACTCATTAGTTCTGATTTTCTTCCATTTAATCTTTGTGGCTTTCAGTCTTCTAATTGAAATATTAACTCTGTGATTCGACTCAGAATTAGCCTTGGGTTCTGTATAATCATTTTTCTTTTGCAGTTGCAAATATTCTGAACTTTCATCTCTTCAAACTGAATCTCGAGTTCCTCTGTACTTATCTTATCATTCCTTATCTCCTCCCTAAGTGCCATCTCTCGGCATTCTAACTTCCTGTGCCCAAATCTCCGACAGCACAACAAGCTACCAGTCTCCTCTTGAATCCCACTGGTCTGGGTTTGACCATGGGTTTGACCATACGGGAAGATGTGCTGATTGTTGACCAAAGGGATATGGCCAATTTCTTTTATGGAATTTGGTGATCTTTCTTTTAGTTCTGGACTTTTCGATTAGATACCTCACTGAAAACTCATCAGTTTCTCTGCCCATTTCTAGCTAGCCTTATCTAATAAGAACTAATTCTGCCCTCTAAATACAATAACATTCACCTGCCCATATTACTCACACTCTCCCACCTCATGGTCTTGTGGCATCTTGCCACTCCGGTGTAACATAATCATTTAATGGATATGTATTTACAAACTTTTTTTCTCTGGGTTGTACCGCAGGACAATTCAATTACATACAGCGCTGTAATGATTGTTACATCTACCCAGTACTTACATATGTATGGTAGTGAAACATGGCCTTTAGCCTCTGGTACTTAAAGGCGTTTGGAAAGTTGTGAAATATGGTTTTTGAGAAGAATGAGGATTGGACTGATAAAGTTAGTAATGAGAAAGTTCTTAAAAGAGCTGGAGTGCAAGGAAAATGATACGTGAGATGCTGGTTGGGCAGTTGAAGTTCATGGGTCACATCATGTAAAGAAGCTTAGCCTAGAGAATCTTGCTTTGAAAGGGAAAATTGTGGGAAAGAGGAGTAGGGGACGAAGGAGGATACTTTGGATGGACATTCTGCAGAAATTGTTAGAAGAGAGAGGAGTGAAAGAACTTGATGTGGTGCTAAAAAACTATAGAAAAGGCTAGGAACCAAGCGTTGGGGAACAGCATGATTGCCAAAGTCAATCGATATGGCACTTAGAGAGAGGGGGAGGGAGGGAGGGAGAGAGAGAGAGAGAGAGAGAGAGAGAGAGAAGAAAGAGAGAGCGAGTTGTATGATCTTTATTGCTTTTCTTGTACCATTCTAATAATTATTATTATTATCACATTCATCCAGGCTGATAGGTTAGTCAAGATATGGTACCAGAACAGACACCCTAGTATCGGGTCTGGAACCGCCAAGGACCAGGCCCAAGATGACTCCAACAAGACCGATAGCTACAGCTTTATCTACATCGCTCACCCCAGGGCCGTCACTGGATTCTCCTGGAGAAAAACAAGCAAGTACATGCCAAGGTATGTGTGAGGCTTATCCTCTGTTAGCCTGTTGTATGGTTAATCCCCACAATGTCTCCATGGCCTCAATTCCTTTTAGAAGGGACTTTTAGCATGACGTTAATTCCCGTGCTTAGTGATTTGCAACCATGTATTTGCTTCCATAGGAGTTCGGTAAAATCAACTCCAGCACCATAACATTTGCAGTAGAAATGGTGTTGTCATGCTTTTATTAAAGATTGTCCCATTTCCATTTTTCTTTGATTTTATGTTATATTTTATGATTGTACAGATCTATACATCTTTCCTAATGCTACGGTCACAAAGGTTCGTACGAACGATAGGTTCGTACGAACGATAAGTTCGTACAAATCTCCGTTTTTCCATTGTCTTCCCGAATTTCCATCGTCTGAAAATCGTTCGTACGGCGTTCGTAGCAGTTCGTAATGGCATTTGTGACCGAGGCTTTAATTCCTGGATTTCATTCATAGCATGCATTGTACATTTGCATGTATATCAGCAGTTGGTCATCTTGTCCAAGGGTCCTAGCTGTTCCCACATCATTCTAGGTTTTGCATGCCTCTGATGCCAAAGGGTTCCTGTTTCCTTATTGAAGTAGGTTTCTTTTGCCTCTGAAATCTTAGGGTCCCCATTCCTCCTGTGTTCTAAGCTTCCTGTTCCCTCCGATGTCCTAGGGTTCCTTTGCCCTCTTTGTTTATCTTAGGGTGTTTTTCCCTCTAATGTGTGTCTTTGGGTGCTTGTGCCCATTGTGTCCTAGGGTTCCAGTCCACCAGTCTGTAGGGTTCCTGTCCCCCCCCCCCCCCCCCCCCCCATGGTGTAATAGGATTTCTGTGTCCTCTGTGTCCTGGGTTCCTGTTCCCCTAATGCCCTCCATTTGTCCCAGATGTCCTACAATGTCCCAGGGCTCCAGTGCTTTTGTGCTTGGGGTCCTTGGGGCCGTGTGCTCTTGGTATCCTCTGCGCCTCTGCTGCACTCTAAAGTTTCTGTTCTTCCAGAGATGTAAGGTTAGGGTTAGTTTTTTTGTTAAATGGGATGTCTTCTGTTAACATCAGAATCTACAGTACGTGCCAGGAGTTGCAGTTAAGCATCTGTAAATATAATTCTCTATTTCAGTGGTGCCGTTGCCAACGTTCTGGTCACATCGTGCCGTGACAACATCTGCCGCCTGTGGTGCGAGACTCTCCTCCCTGACACGACATCATCAAAGGGAACATCCAAGTATAGCAAGCATGTTGAGAACACCAAGGAGCATACGACCACAACCACCAAGAGGCCCCAATTCGGTCTCAACCTCAAACCAAGGTACGTTTAATACATCCTTCTCTTTCCCTCATCTCTTCCTCTTTACCATGCCCCTGATCAGTATAAACAAAGTTAATTTTTAGTTTTTTATGCCAGAAATTTGGAAAGATAGTAAACATTGAGATATTTGCAATGTCAATATATTGATAATTTCAAAGCCTTTGTTTTCCCCATACATTTACATGAAGCATTCTTTTTTCTTCTTCTTTAACCCTATTTTAACTGGGCTATTTCAGACCAGGTTTTTACTGGGGGGGGGGTCAATTTGACCCCCCCTTAAGATCTCGGCCGTTTCACCGCCGATCGCCGCGAAAATTTGCATGCATGTCAAGTGAAGTGTATAGAATACTATGGTAATTTTAAATTTTTGAAAAATTCACTCATTTGCATATTTGTGGTAATTTATGCAAATAAGGTCATCAAATTCACATTTCTGCCCATAAATCATAGATTATTCATGTTTACGTATTCTTTTTCACTACATATATTTATTAGACCATTTGGTATAATAATACAACACAAAAATTTGGAAGAGCCAGGTTATTCCTTATGTTATCTCTTGTTTTTATAATTTCTTATGTATTTCATTGTTTTTTTAACTTATGTATTTTATTGTTTTTGTTGTTTTATTTCATTCATAACTACAATTCAACTATTTTGACCCCAAAACAAACATCTAAACTTTAAACAAGACTGAATAACTAATGTTTTATCTATTTTTAGGAAAAATGACTTTTACATATGTTTTGTACACAAATCACGAAAATGAGCTATTTTCGGGCTGACATGCAAAGACGAAAGGTCACGTGACCTTGTAACCGTAGGTCCGATTTTCGAAAAAATCGTTTTAAAAGATGCGTAAGACTCGAAAGTAAAAAGTCATGAAAGGAAAATTTTATATCTGCCGCGGTTTCGGAGTAGTCGCGAAATTTCAACAGGGGGGGTCAAATTGACCCCCCCCCCCCCCCCCCAGTTAACATAGGGTTAAAGTGATTTCTCTTTTTTTGTTTTAGATGTTTTTGTTTGAAACAGTGCCATGGTAAAAGAAATTATAAATTTTGCCTATTCAAATTAAAAAGACAACAACTGTACATACATTGCAATTAGACTTTCCCATCATAAAGTGGAACAGTTTATGCAATAGATTCTCTCATAGATTCTCTCACCAAGAAATACTGTTAGCAATAGTGATATTAAAATTTACAAAATAAGAATTGGATGGCATGAGGGAAAGTGTGATTAGGTTCATCCACAAAATTCAAAGTAAATTCAACAATTATTTAACCTTACAAGTAGATCTATGTTCAAAGCTTACTCTGAAATATTGTGCTTGTCTGATTTGTAACTGTTATTTAAATATAAAACCTTTAAGAAGCATTGTGATTGTATTTGTACTTGTCTTATACCCATGTCATTGAAGAAGTTCAGTTATGATTCTAGTCGGGTATAACCATTATTTTATGAACAGGGATGAGGTTGATGCACAGGATAGTGAGAGCGGTTCAAGTCAGTAAGTTCCTCGATCGAGAGAGACAGTAGTCTTGCTGACAAGTGATTTCTCATTGAGAATGCACAGGAATGCTTTTTCATAACTTTTCTTTTATTTATCAACTCTTGTTTTCATAGTGGCTCTCCTGATTTATGCCCTTTCGGCATGATTGACTCCAATAACTATATTTCATCTTAAAGATGTTCATGCGTGGGTATATAGTCGTTCGTGAAGTAGGCAACTTGGTGATCACTACATACATGTAGCACTGAGCCAATGGGTATTACGCTCCTGTGCATACGTCCTTGTGCTCCCCTCTATATACCCATGCTTGAGCAATTTTGAGATGTTTTTGCTACGCCTTTTGTATTAATACCCATAACAGCATTTTGATTGGTCTGTAAAACTGTGAATAGCATTCTCATGAAAGTACTAAAGTTTTCAATAAAATATATTTCGTTCTCCAAGTCTTAATCTATTACAAGAGCATTTGGGGCACCTAACATTTTGTAGGATGGTCATAATATATGTGAGAGGCATGACCCCCCCCCCCCCCCCCCCCTCAACAAAAAACAGAATGGTAGATGCAGGTCCATGGCATGTGACCTGTGCTTTAAAGTTCTCTTGCAAGTTCCAACACACCATTGTGTTTGCCTCTTACCAACCTTGTGTAACTCTTTTGGTGATTTTGCTCTCTTTCCCAAATATTTGATTTGTACAAACCACGCTTTGGGCAAGTTTTTGTTCCATCCTTATTTATTACAATACAAAGCTTTAAAACACACCTTTTTGAGGCAGGATTGAAACCCTATTGAAATGGAGAGTATTTAACATCACTAAACTCAAATATTATTTTATTTTCTTCTTCTTTTTCATTTTTTTTTTAAAAGGTTGTTTTGTTCTTTTGTTTCTGTTTTTGTTTTCCTCCTTTGAAATAATAATTTTCATTTTCATTCTTTGAGCTAGGATTGATCAAACATTTTTGGTCATGATTTTAAACTCTTTTCCTTTTCAAATCTATGAATTGATTGGTATTAGTGAGTCTGTACATGAAACCTGGGAAAGTTTGTTTTATGAATTTATTTCTTCTTATTCAATAGATTACCATAACCATTTACAGACTTTAAATTTGGTAATTGTACCTGTATCCTTACTGGAAAATTAGAAAGACATTAATATACATGTACATATTTATCTTATGGGTTCTACAATAATGTGCACAAAACAATTAGGTACCAATTGACAATCGTTTGCTTTGTGTAACACCCTTGCTTTGCAAAATTACCTATAAATTTTGGTATTAATTAGCACCATGACAACCCTATTAACACCAGTTTAGATTAATCTTGCACTGAAATCAGAAAAATAGTCTTGAATCCTTTGTTATTTATTTATTTATTTATTTATACATATTTATACGGGTACACAAGATCAGAAATAAATATGTCTTGCATCTTGGACCTGGTATTAAAAGCATCATATAAAAAGTAGTAAAAAATAATGAAGCATAACAAAGTAAAATACACAATACATCATAGTAATACAAAATGTGGTAGCATAATAATTCAAGGCCTTAACAAAAATGATTCTAAATATAAATGAAGGTTACGTATAACAATATCAACATAAAGATAGTCATGTATTTATATATCTATCCCATAATAAATATAATGTGGCACATTGGAGACAATTTGGATGGGATATAAAGAGTTAAAGATGTGTATTTATTGCAAGAAATATTTGAAGTGATGTTTGTCCAGTAATAAATACATCGCATGTGCAAGTAGGAAAATGGATAAGAGTTAGCTCCAAATTCTGCTTAGCTTAAAAAGAAGTGAATCTTATCACAGAAATCATTGCTAATCGATTCGGATTTTGTTTTAGTTTGGCAAGAAAGGAGTAATGCACTTCGCATGTGCAAAGTTTTGCTTTTTACAAGATTGACATGATTTATCTAATTTTCTCTCACTTTATACTTTAAATCTAAACACGATCGCAAAGACGTTTAAATAATCAACCTTTGGAAATGTTGATACCTTTCCACATCACGTACTGAAATTGCAAGGACATATTATATCATCTGAATATGATTTCTATAGTTGTGCTTGAATTGATCTTACAAAAGTTTCAGCATTTGCCTTTTTGGTGTTCAATTCCTAAATGCAAGTTTATTCTGTGTGTGTTTTACTTGGCAAGTTTTGTTCAGTCTATCAATCTATTGAACAAACAAAAGCAACAACAACAACCTCGAGTATTGAATTGGCATCCCATATCTTAGTTTTTTATGAGTCCATTTTGGATTTTTCAGTTGCATGCATGTCTTGCATTTTGTTGACCTTGCCAGAGCAGTTGATTGGAACAAACATTTACAAGGCAATAAACATTTTTGATATTCTTCAAAGAAATTAATTTCACAAAATCATAGTATTTAGCAATTAAAAGATTAGAATCACAGTGAAATGATATGTTTGATAAGCAGACAATAAACATTATTTGTATGCATGAAGAAAGAAAAATCAGAGCATCTTGCAATTAGGAACATATGCAGGTACAAATTCAAAGTAGAGCAAATTTACAAAAATTTAAAACCTATGATGCCCTGTAAAGCAAAATCTATAGTTACTCAATCAGGTTATGGAGTGCTGCATGTCAACCTCTTAATCTTGAAAAAATCACAAAAACTGTTTATTTTAATGAAAATAAAAATTTTGCCTCATGAAATTTGTCCATATTAAGTTCATTACCAAATTTTATTTTGTTTTTATTTTTTGTTATATTGATCACAGTACTTCATATGCAACTTAGGAATTAACATTTGGCCTTCCATACAGTATATGATTGGACTAACTTAAGCCAGGTTTAAATGGTGACCTCTTAAAGCCCGTCTGTTAGTTTGGCCAGGGAGGTTTGGACCTCCCTGCAAGGTCACTGGCAGGTGGTTTTCTCATCAAACCAGCTCTTAATTAACATAAGAAAAAGGGCGATCAGGGGGGACCAACAGGCACCAATTAGGCATTGTTAGCTTTATAGAGGATGCAAGTAGCTATAAGTAGTGCAGTGGGGCTTTAAGAAAAGATAGGCCATGGAATTAGAACTAAATGATGCCTGATTCGAATATATTCCTGAGTTTGATTGTTTTGATTTTTTTCTTTTTCTGCTTAGGAAAAAGAGGAAGCAGGTTGAGCATGCCATTCCCTTACCGAGTCAGAAGAAAGAACATGAGCTGCATAGGTACTACCACGGCAAGGTGCAGAGAAATGGACTAGGGGGGAATCCCCTCCACTTTCACATTGCAGCTACCATAAACCCTAACACAGGTTAGTTTTTAATACATTGTTTTTATAATGTTTTTTAATTAATCTATTTTTCTTCTCCTACTTCTTCTCCTTCTTCTTCTCCTTCTTCTTCACTTTCTTTTTGTATTTTGCTTTTGCCCTTACCTGCTCTTTTTATTCTTCTTTACTTCTTCTTCTTCTTTTTCTTCTTCTTTACTTCTTCTTTTTCTTCTTCTTTTTCTTCTTCTTCTTCTTCTTCTTCTTCTTCTTCTTCTTCTTCACCTTCTTCTTCTTCTTCTTCTTCTTCACCTTCTTCTTCTTCTTCTTCTTCTTCTTCTTCTTCTTCTTCTCTTCTTCTTCTTCTTCTTCTTCTTCTTCCTCTTCCTCTTCTTCTTCTTCTTCTTCTTCTTCTTCTTCTTCTTCTTCTTCTTCTTCTTCTTCTTCTTCTTCTTCTCCTCCTCCTCCTCTTCATTTTTCTTCTCCTCCTCCTACTCTTATTGTTCTTCTTTCTCTCTTCCTTTTCTTCTTGCTTTTCCCTTTTTTTAAAGAATTTTTTTCAGGATACAAGTATAATGTTGATAAAAATTGTTCTATTACAAATTAAAATGACATCATTTGACATTACCTCGAGAAATATCTTTGTAGTAGAGCTACTTACTATGCTTTAAATAGGAACACTGTATATATATTTTTGAAAATGTTATCTTGTGCTTGATCAAAAAAATGCCTATTAATTTCATGCTAATAGAATAAAAATAGACAAGAAGAGTAATATTGCCATTTATAATCCATTGAGGCTAACTCTGTTACTAATTTCAGGCACGTTGTGATTAAGTGTGTAAGCAGACACTGTTACTAATTGAAGTGCTCTATTGGAGCGATGCTTCACATCCTGCAATTCATATTAGAACTAGTTAGCAAGAGGATTAGCAAGAGTATTGCTTGTTTCGTGACATTTGAGGGAACTCTGACTAATCCTACAATAGTCACTTGACTGAATATGATCTTCAAGAGCTATCAACTTTAGTTTGAATAATTACGTTTTTCGAGATTTAGAAGGAAAGGTGAATAGTGCAAAATTAAACCAATTGTGAGAGAGAGGGAGAGAAAGAGAGACAGAGAGAGACAGAGAGAGAGAGAGGAGTGGGAGGTGGGGGTGAGAGATGGGAGGAGGGAGGAGAGCAAGAGAGAGGGCAGAGGGGAGGAGAGACAGAGAAAGAGACGGACAGACAGAGGTGGAAGAGGAATGGAGAAAAGCGTGAGAGTAGAATAGAATTAGAAAAAAAGCAGAGAATCTTGGAAGATGACATATAGAAACACATTGCTTACCTAACAAAAATATAGTAGAATTATTTAAATGAAAACAAAACATATGAATATTTGTCAAAAATAGGTTGACACATACCTGTTTGATATTCATTACTGTGATAAGAGCCATTTTTAACTTCAATGTCCTCTATAATAGAGAGATACACAGTGTATAATAATCCTACAATAAACCTATGATAATCTTAGATTGGGATATATTTAAAATGAAATCATGTTTATTACTCATTAAGTGATATACATTACATGTAACATAGAGGTGTGGAATTACACACATCTGTAAGACACAAGTAATCTTTTATAGTATCTGAGTCATTTTTTCTTCAAAAATAAATTATTCTCTGTTTTTGCACAAATAGAGAAACAAAATGATATCTCACTTAAAAGAAATATGAGGTATTCTATTTGCCAGGAGGGTAATTGAAGAGCAGTAATGGGAGAAGAAAGGATTTGTGGAAGACTTCAGAGTTGGTCACCTGACACTTCAGAGTTGGTCACCTGACACTTTGACTTCCTGTGACACATGATTGGCGGCAATTTGAGAATGATAGGGCTCCGTGCTGCCAAATGTATTAATCTGCCGCCTCCTTGAAATTTCTATAAACTGTACTGATTTGTGTTGAAACATAAGTGATGGATGAGTGCTTAAAGCCCAAGTCCACTCGAAAAATAACTTACTTTTAATAGAACCAGAAAAATTAGACAAACCAATCAAAAAAAGTTTGAGCTAAATCAGATAACTAATAAGAAAGTTATGAATTTTTAATGATATGAAAAACTTTGAAAATCACTACACAAATTGGCAACTCACTCATGAGTCTGTGACGTATGGTCCTCACTATCCACTAATTATTTTCTGTATATTGATAATATAAATGTTCTATTTTCACCCTAAGAATCTTATTTCTTCACACCAGCATCCAAGTTAGATTGTTAGTAATATGTGTTTGTGTGGATGCACAAATAAAGAGTAATTTTTGTCCAGTTAAATCATGAAAAAAATTGAATTTTGATAAACTATTTATATTAACATCAATAATTATGAAATACAATATTCAGAAAATAGTATAAATTCTTCAAAATTCATAAAAGTTTTTGGGAAATGTCATGCACGCAATATGATACAAATCATATAACCTGGGCAAAGGTATGGGGAAATCAAGTTTTGGGGGATAAAAAGGGAAATTCACGGGATTAAACTATGTAAAGCAATTGATAAGTTGTGAGGACATGACGTCACAAACTGATAACCATCTTGGCAATTTATGTTGTGATTCTCATTGTTCCATAGTTTTACATACTTTTTCAAAAATTCATAACTTTCTTATTAGTTATCCGATTTTGCTCAAACGTTTTTTGATTGGTTTGTCTGATTTTTCTGCTTTTATTGAAAGTAAGTTATTTTTCGAGTGGACTTGTCCTTTAAGTGAGAAGGGAGAAGGGAGAAAAAAGAAATGGAGAGTGGGATAGAGAAAGAGATGTATGTAGGAATAAAGGATGAGAGAGAGAGAAAGAGAGAGAGGGAGAGGGGTGGGGTGGGTGAAGAGTGACAGAGAGAATGAGAGGTTTAGATAGTGATAGTTAGAGAGACAGAGATATGGAGATGTAGAGAAAGAAAGAAACAGAAATATATAAATAAAGAGGGACACAGAACACACTGAGTTAAGGGGAAGGTTAAAGACTGAACTTAAAGAAAGAAAGACCTGTAGGTTAAGAGTTGAGAGAAGAAAAAAATCACAAGAATAGGACGGAGGAAACAAATGGAATGGAAGAAAGAAGTCAGAAGAAAAGAAAGGGAACAACAAAAGGGAGGAAAGGGAGAAGGCAAAGAGCTTGAATGGCGGAAAGAGAGATCAGAGAAAGAGGTACATGTGTACAGAAAACATGAGAAGATTTTGGAGAAATGTGTGTGAAGAGACAAAAAGCTAATGAAAAGAGAAGAAGATGTAAATCAAAGGTAGGGTTTACATCAAAATACATTTACATTTTAGACACACAAATGCTTTATTTCATTATCTTCCACTTATTCCGGCACTATTTTTTGATGGAATGTGAGGGATCTACATTTAATGTAAGAGAACATAACCCCAAACCCTGACGATATTAGGGCACACTCTTTATCCATTCTTTGTTTTCAGAGGGGATATGAATATTCTATGAACAGAAAAAGATAGTATGTAGGTTGATATAATTTAAATGTATGCTCCACTGTATTGCGACTTCCAGTAGAACATGTGTCTATGTTTCAAGGCAAATATATAATTGCTTTCAGGTTTAATTCAATTTTTCAAGATGCATGCATGTTTCAAATCTCTGTCTGAGAGCCTGGGATGCATGAATAATCTTGTTATATGACAATTTTGGTAACCTGTAAATGTCAAGGATTACTTGCCAGACAATTATCTTTGACTTTGTGTTGAAAACCATCGCAGAGTCATGGGCGATATGTTTTTGAAGGGGAACATCAACCATGGCAGATATAAATCAAAATTATGCAATTTATCTCAATTCTTCATGAATATGTCTGTAATTAAACAGTAGAAAACAGACATATCTTTCATGTACTACATGCTTACAGTTAAACATTACTTTACCTCAGATTTCAGGGTTATGAATATTATGCTACTATGATTCTTCATTTCTGTATAATGCATGATTGTACGCTATCAGGTACTGTAGATTTCATTCATTTGTTAATTCAGTTAATCCATTATGGCACTGTGTGCTGATACCGACTGTCAGAGCTAAAGCTAGGGTAATAATTTCCAAAGCTCTTTGGAAGCGCATAGAGACTTTGTTTCATAATGTGTTATGCGCTATACAAGAACAAATTATTGCTAGTATTGTATCGTAGTACATATTCAGTTCATTTTTTCTAATTTCCATTTTCTAAGTATTTGGGAAGCAAGAGGTATTGAAAATAAACCTTTCTCTCTTCCCCAGACATTCCACTCCTGCCAGCCATCGGCACCATGACCAAGGGCAGCGCCCCCAACTTTGTGGTCAACTGGCTCAACAACAAGGAGCTCCAGTTCACCCTGGCGGCCGAGACGCTACTCCAGACCGGAAGAGAGTCTCGGAACAACATCTCCAACACCACCCTAGCCCCCGATGAGGAGGTAGATGGTGACACTTCTATCGATCAGGGGACGACCTCGGACGATGGTGGGTTTCAAATTTTCCTCTCTTTTTTTTTTCGACAAAAGCTAATCAAACTAATGCTCAATGCAATCGAGAAGTTAGCTTAGCCAGACCTAGTCATCATCATTATGAAAGTCAGTATTTTCCCTCTAAGGTATTAATTACGACTTTCACGCTATGATAACACTCCCTTCCTCCACTTCTTCTTGTCTCAAGCATTCTCCTCAGAAAGACCAACCTTACTGATTTTTGTCCTCACGATATCTTTCCATGAAATCTGATTATAATTTTGATTATAGGCTTCTTGTTTTCATTGTGATATATCACAAATAATTCCATCATTTCCTATACTGAATCTAGGGAGGAGGCATATAGGAGACGCAATCGTATTTATATAAAAGCTTTGTCATGACATGGTGTTAATCATCTGTGATAATCCATTAGATCACTTTGAACTTTTGTAAATCGACCCATCAGCATGAAACTTCTAATATAACTACAGCATGACTTTGGAGCGGTATTCGTGCCATGCAAACGATACTTGGCAGTAGTTTGAATTCTATGAACCAGATATGCAAGGAATTAATGATGGATCGCTGACAAAGCTGGTGATTTATCTGCCAATATTTGAAGCTCCATTGTCAGCTGACATTTAGTTTAAAAGCTCTTTTGAAAGAAGATTAAGACTATAGATTAACATGTAGTATTAAGAATCATCTGGGGTGTTGGGCGACTCTTTATCTGAAGGGATGTGTTGGCATCCTTCCAAATTCTTTTATTTATTTAGAAAGTAATGACCCGTAGCATGCAAAAAATATTGAATTTAGCTGTTTTTTTTATTCACAAATGAACTAATGCTCCCCTAACAATTTCTACAAATTAAGCACTTAATCTCATGTGTTGCTTTTAAGTGAAAAAGGATGTTTCTATAATGTGTTTAGTGGGCATTAACATATTATACCAACTTAAGACGTTTATTTCTCTCAGGGAGTGTTAAAGAACATTCAATAGGACTTCAATTAATGAAAATTATATGCTATGATAATGAATCAATTATCACATTCATTAGTAAATGAATATTTCTTCTTCTTTTGATTTTAACTTACAGATGACATTCCAACAGTGAAAATACATGTTGAAAACTCCTCTCCAGGTATGTTTATCACTCTTGTATAATACATGATTACGTTTTAATAGTGCTTCTTCCCTCGTTGCTTCCTGAGCCATCATTTGTGATAAAGAAAGAATTTGTCCTTTGAAATACATTATCTCTTAATGTGCCACCATGTTTTTACAAAATTCATTTTAAGAGCCAATTGTTTTTGTCACTTTGTCTTGCCTGCATAGCTGAGCGAGACATATATACACTGTAGGCATCACTATTCAAGTTCGAAAATGAGTAAAATCTGACCCAGGTCAAAGGTCGAAAGGTCAATAGAGTTTCCATGAAAAACACTACATACAAATACTTTCTATAGCTTTGATGATAAGGTCAAAGGTTCAAGGCCATCTTCGGGAAATATCTCAAAGAAGATCCAGTACAGTTTCATCAAACCTTAGAAATATCATATGTACCTCATGAGGATCAAACAATCTCAAGGGGATTTAGGGTCACCAGGTCAACAGTCATTTCAGATGAGAAACATTTCACTTGAGGGATATTGAATGAGAGTGGAGGCATAATTTTTATCTGCAGTTGAATTTTCTGGCATTTTTTAATGTGTATTGGTCTCCTCACTTGGATAAGAGTAAAGTTTAAGAAACATGTTGTATTAACAGCATTCTTAAGGAGCGTTCTCTCATTTTCCAGGGATAAATTATGTGCAAAATTACCAGCACTGCTTCATCTCAGTCTATTCTTCAATCTATTGTTCTTTGTTACAGACCTAACCAAAGAAGCCAATACCGGCAGCCCTCGTATCCAGTTACCAACACGTCCGGATAGTTTGAACACCAGTGCATTCTCACCACCCAGCAGTACTCTTCCCAACACAGACGCACTGGACATCCAGGAGAAGCGGTCCATTGAGAAGAGGTTCCAGGCACTGATCAAGGAATGGCACTGCAGTCCAGATATGCTTTACAGCATCCATCCAATTGATGGGTCCTTTCTGCTTTGGTTGGTGGATTGGATGGATGAGCACATCCCTGGTGTCCATCGGCAACCCCAGGTCAGCTTCTCGTGCCGCATCCCACATTCCTTCCCTACGTTCGATGCCACCACCCTGTGCAACAACCTGGTGTTGTATCGGAGCAACCTGACCATGGACCCTCGAGCCAGCAAGCGATTGATGGACCCCTTATCCCCTGTGGATAGCTCTGGCCTGACCCCCAGCTACAGTTTTGCCAAGTACCTGAGCCAGGTGCCTTCTGGTGTGGATATCTTTGCCTTTACGCCAAAGGTGTCCATGCTTTCGAAGCACACCAATGGCTCATTGAATCAGTGGGAGATCAGTTTTCAGGAGGGGTCCAAGTTCCAGACTGTCCTGAATGTCAACCACGTTGCGCGCTCCTGCGGTCATCGCTTTAGCCTCAATCACCTCGCCTGCCATCCAATCTTGCCTCTCCTCCTCACCACTTCCCATCATAACATCCCCAAGGTTGAAGTGGACTTTGATGTGGCCACGAGCCGCAGCCGAAGGACTTCCATGATATCGCGGAGAGCGTCCATTGTGAAACGTGCCAGCATGGTGATCGAAGCGACAGGGCAGAACCCTGTCACACCCGGCGCGATAAACCTCTTTGGCAAAAACATTCTCTCGGAGAGTGAGCACAACCGTCTGATGACACTCTACAACTCCTCCGTGGAAGGATCAACTCAGGATTTCAATGAAAAGGACGATATCATTCTCCCAGACGAGCTGATGGAGCAGGTCAACGCCGAGCTCAACTGGCCAGACATGAGCGCTCCAACAGGACTCTGCAGCGAACTCATCCTGTGGAGGGTCTTCAATGTTGGTCCGCTCGGGAAAGGAGGCGGGGTAATGGAGCTGGCACGCATCAACTCTCCTTTTGTGTCTGCCTTCTCCCACATTGCTTGGATGCCCAGCCTCCTACCCAGCTCCTGCTTGGGACCCATCTCCAACTCTCCCAGTGCATGCTTCATTGCATCTGATGGGTACAGTCTTCGGCTGTTCCAGGCAGTCATCGATGCTCGCTCTCTGCTCAATGAGATAACACCCAGCAGCAACCAGCTTGAGGTTAGTTCACCTAATTTAAACAATTTGGACAGAGCCCAGGATTACTGCACTCACTTCACATCCTCTGTCTCTATTGAGTTAGTACATCCTTGGGACAATATTTGCATCAGTTACAATGAAATTCAACAAAAAATTATCTTCATCTTGCTTCATCTTGTTTGTTTTTTTGTTTTTTTTTTGTGCATGAATTACTTAAAAATATCTCTCAGGCATTCCAGAAATATGTCACTTCAAACATGCTTGGACTCTTCCTTTATAATCGCAGAGTTGATAGTGATAAGAGACTCACAAAGATGTATGTGTATTTTAGCAGCATTTTTGTTGTTGTTGATATTACAAGAAGTACTGTACATCCAGAAAACTCTAACAATGTAACAACTGAGTATCTCAGTATGTTCAATTTACATGACTTTGTAATACATTTAGGAATTTAATCCTTGGATCTTTTTAAAGGAGTCTTTCTTTTCTTTATCTTTTTTTAATCCATATTGCATTTTAGCGCTTAGAGACTTTGGTGGTATGTGCTTTATAAGCACCGCTTTTATTTATTTAGTATTTATTTATTATTTATTTATCTGTTTGTTATTTATTTATTTATTTATTTATTTATTTATTTATTTATTTATTTATTTATTTATTTATTTATTTATTTATTTATTTATTTATTCATGTGCTGCAGGGTTACCTGAGCAGTAGCTCTCCAGTCACAGCCTTCCTGCTCCAGAATGCAGAGGAAAGCGAAGAGGATGACGATGATGACGGGAAGAAAGTTCCCAAGTGTCCCCAGGTCATCAGTCTCCAGTCCACCTCCAGACCAGGCTGTATCATCGAGCTGGACACACTCAACGATGCCAAACAGGTATAGTTCGCATCCAGCATTCAAGCATGTTTTTTTACAGGATTTCAAAATACTGTTACTTTCTGTCACTTTCCAGGTTTTTCCAGGATACACTCTGTAGAAACACACCATAATCAGTTTATAACAGTAATGCTAAGGAATACCATACTTGTCTGCAGACGTTTGATTCTCCTGGTTATGCTTGCCTCATCAGTTCTGTACTTTTCCATACTTTAGTCTTAGCGTTTAAGGTCACGTGACACAATGCATTATTTGCATGCAGACATCCAGTTGGCAGTATCACTGGTAAATTCCATTAGTGGTTTATTGTGCTTTTGTAGAAACGGACTGATCACATTTTGTTACATATTCCATTCGCTTATCAGGTCTATTCCTGGTAGACAATACCATAACTTTCTAGGTTTGCTGTAGAAACATAGTGAGTGTATGTGAGGAAGACATGAGTTGTATATGCAGAACAGCTTGAAAAAAACTGAGAAGCAAATGATTTGGTGACGATGGTGCCTTTTCCTTGACAGCATGATTTATAAAGGCCAAATGATTAGATTCTAGAAAAACAGATTTTGGTACATGTAAGCAAGAAAAAGCCTTCAATGTTTACAAATGAAGCTTTCATACCAGTGGTAGGTGCAATTTTTTTTTCCACATCAGATGGTATTTTGAAGCTGAAGTATACAGACCTTTATCAAGCAACATACATGTATGGTGCAATTTAGCTAAATACCCAGTTAAGCTGTCCAAATGATGTAGAAAAGAATACAGTATTAAAATATACAGAGTACTGTATGGAAGTAACCGAACTGCTTACAAGTATGACAGACATTCTTCTGACCATTTCTTCTTCCCACAGAATTGGCAGAACGTGCAGCTGATGCATGTGTATCAGCAGCAGTTCATCTCGGGTCCTGACAGCAAGATCAGCCACTCCCGGTCCAGCCACCGACTGGGCGGCAGTGCCAACTCTTCCCCGCTCCACACCAGTCTCTTCGAGGAGCGCTTCTTCCTGGTGGTCGTAGAGAGGAAACTGACCGGTCAGCCCATGGTCCACATGTGGTACATTCGGCTGGAGAGGGATGTGTCCAAGGGTGGAGGTGAGTTTGTTGACCGAAGAGCCTGCCTACATGTACCTTGGAATGAAAGCGTTAGCCAAGGCAGCAGGATTAGAGGAATTTGTATTACTTGCACAGCACATCATGTACCCCATTTTCAGTACCTTGGTGGATGGAGACAGTTTTATACAGTTGTCTGCTATACATGAAGAGGTACATGTCAGGGGTGGGCTGGGGGTGATAGTTTGTTTTGTTTCACTAAAATAAAAGTGGTAGCTAGTTGCAGTAGATTTCAAGAAATTTTTATACATACATGTACACCATGTACCATTTTCAGCACTGGGGTCATGTGGAACTGCCATTAATGAACATTGTATCATTCACAGCTGGGGAATTACACTGTGTTTTCCATTTTTTAGTGCCTTTGAATGGAAGAGTGAGATGGATATATCCACAAAATGTTTTGAAATTGTTAAAATGATTTTCAATTAATTACATTGGTTTATCTGTTTCTTTTTCTAGCGCCCTGTGATGGCTTAGATTCTGATGAGGAATCTCAGTTGGATGACGATATTCCAGATGATTCTTCCAGTGATTTCTCAGATGGAGATGCATCGAACCAGTACGACTCTGAGAAGAGTACTACCCAGGTCTCCAGCAAGATCAAAACCTTCTCCTGGAAAGTGTGCAGTCAGAAGCTGGACCTTCCTTCCGGGGTGGAGGTCGTCAGTGCCACACCAGCCGCAGGTCATCTGAGTTCGTCCAGCATTTACCCAGCTTGCGTTGCGCCCTACCTCTTCGCAACGGCTTGTTCAGATGGGAAACTGCGCTTCTGGAAGTGTAATATGTCATCAGGGGATGGTTCCCAGAGTAGCTTTGATCAGGGTGAGGAGTTGCCAGGGGAGATTGACCCTTCCAAAAAAGATGATTACACAAGAGCTGAGTACCGTTGGGAGGAGTGGAAGCTGCTTGTTCAGCCTGAGACGGATAGTTCACTTGGTGTTGCAGGCGTGCCTGTTGCACTAAGTTCTGCATACAATGGACGCATTGCTTGCATTTCCAGGACAAGTCCACACCATGAACACCACAACGCTGACCTGATACCACTGAAGTTGGCTATCTATGAGTGCGAGTCTACGGGAGGATCGGAGTGGATGATTGAAGAAGCCATTGACCTTGGGATGCTCAACCTGAAAGCTTGGATGCGACAAGAAGACGACGAAGTCCCAGAATCGGAGGTGATCAACTACAAGACGATGAAACGTAGCTCTAAGGTGAATGACTTCCTCCACATCTCGGCATCACCGAACTCCAGTTGCGGCAGTCCGCCATCTCCAGAGAACCTGCCAGCTGTTCTGACGCAGCGCAAGCGCAGCATCCTCAGGGCGAAGCAGTCACAGTATGATGATGCAGGACTCCCTGTACAGCTCTCTTGGGTCTCCAAAGAGGACGGCACCCATATTCTAACCGTTGGCATGGGATCCAAAGTAGTTGTCTTTGCACCTGTTTCAACAGAGTTTGTAGAAGCAGGAGCTAATGGCGTACCTGATGATATCATAACACAGCAAACAGGTCTTCAGCGAGTGGCAACCATGGGGGAAACCACAAGGTTAAGATGGCTGCCACTAAGAACAGTCAATCTAAGTTCAGTGGATGGGATTGCACCACATTCCAAGATGCTGTCATGGGTCAGAGCAGGAATTCTTGTGGTTGGATTGCAGAATGAGATGCATGTATATAGTCAGTGGAGAGAGGAGAACTGGAGATCCAGGAGACGAAAGTACAGGAGGCCAGTACCAAGCACGACAGAGACGATTGTCTCTCAGAAGAGCACAAATTCCAACTTGTCTGTCAAAATCCAGACAATCCCCATGTCAAGGACAGACAGAGAGAAGTCTTACAATGACATGTCTGAGCTCCTCCGAGAGTCCACGATGATGTCTTCTAGCCAAGAGCAGGAGAATGATAATGATGATATCAAGCAAGACTTGGGTCTCTTTGAAATCTCCTACTCCACGTGCCCTGTTCTTCCACAGTACCATCCTAAACAACTCATGGGTTTGATGAGCAGTGGGAAGATTCGAAGAGTCAAGGCCATTCTCGTTCACCTGGTCAACTGCATTGCTGGTGAGGATGCAGTCAAGCAGTCCCTCCTGGCTGGGGTCTCTCAAGATAGAGACCAGGATGATGAGGAAGCAAAGTTTCGCCGCAACTTGCGAACACTGTCGGTGGCACACAGTCCTGTTGAGTCTTCTGTCCTGGATGACAGTGGTCCCCAGCCAGACTACATCGAACTTGCATCAGTCCCACCTCTTCCGCTCTACCGTCTCACGTCTGCAGACACACCTGTCACCGTCACAACCGCTCCGACGGTTGCCAAGACGACTCGTCCAACCAGCATTCTTGGTCTACCTGATGAAATCACCATGGTGGATACCCAGGACTACACCCAGCTCTTCTCGACCAGCCTAGACGCATTCCCATCTTCTCTCGATGCAGAAGGCGAACTCAGATCGCCTCAAGATGGTGCTGCGTCGTTGGCCAGCAAGCTCAAAGACCCTACGTACTTCACCGTAGGACAGGCACAGCTACTCACCAACTACCTGACTCATATGCACTTGCCAGGATTGTCCTCTCAGGATCAGATGCATCTACTAGCTCTTGCTGATACCATAGCTTCCACCAAGACTGAGATCACACCACACAGTGGAGGCAGTGCAGGTGAGACACAAGCAAATGTTTTAAAGATTAGAGGTCATCTATTAGCAAGTGTGCTACTGATTTAAGGATCATACATGAATTAAAAGTAAAAGAGCATCACAAACAGATGTTGACACACATGGATGTCAAATTTTTATTTTGAAAGTGAGATTTTCCGTTAGATTCCTTGTTCTTTTCTTCCATGATCTTGCAAACATTTCTTTTAATATAAGGTGTTACTTTACTACAATGCAATTTCTGTACCAATGAATAAATACCTATTTGAAAATACTTTATTATCATTTTACCAAAAGCTTGTATTTTGCATCATTATTGAGACCTGTCTTCTACGAGTTCTACAATTGGGATCTCTCTTTTATCCAATTGAAATTCATATGTGATGGGCTCTTGTTTCTCCTTTTCCAGGGACCGTGATTGCCAGGGAAGGAGCAGGCTATGCAACCGTTGATAACTCAGATTCATCTCATGCAGGTTAGTAGCAGGGACCTGTTTCACAAAACCTTTTTTCAATGAAAAATGACAAAAACCAGAAGCAAGGATTTCAGTAGCTTATAACAAAATCTGTTATTTGTCACTGATGACAAGTTTTGTGAAACGCTCCCCAGGTATCTCTTCATATAATAAAAAGAAGAACGGAGAGGTAAAAAAAACATCGCATACAGACACATTTTGGTGGAATTTAGTCAAACAAAAGCAGAGAAGAGGATGGGGGAAAGGGGAGGAAGTTGGAAGAGCAGGAAGAAGGATGAAGATGAATGAATATGGGAAGAAGAAATGGGGGAGAAATTATTTGACAAGAGTAGAGATAAGAGAAAGGAGAAGAATTGAGAGAAAGGAAATATATAACAAGGAGAAGAAGAGTCACACAAATGTTCGGGGAGAGTCAGACCACTGTAAAGCATTGTTAAAAATGTGTGAAGATACACTGTATCTGGTGGAAAAAAAGTTGTGTTGCTCAAGGAATAAAGTTGTCACATTGGCACATGCAATGGCATAATTCATTTCCAACTCGTCTCAACAATTAGGTAAATGGCACATGATTCCAATTATTTATTTTCAAGGACTTCAGTATACATCTTTTTTTTTAAACCCATATCCTTTCATTCCTAAAAGTTTTATTTCAAGGACTCTGTAATGAGGATTATAATGCCTTACATGTACCTATCGAGGTCACTGCCGTGTGTTGACCTGGTTGTGAACCTTGACCTCTGCTTTGAGCCGTTCTACCTCAATACATTGCTTGCTCTTTATCTGACCCTTTGTTACACTGTAGGTGAAACTCTGGATGAATGTGGATTGAGATTCTTACTTGCCATGAGGTTCCACATCTGCCTCACTAAATCTCTTCCAAGACATCAACAGGTAAGTTCCAAGCACCCTGTTTTATCTGCGGTTTGCTGTCCAAGTAGATTGGAATTGGGCCATCCACAATCAGATTGCCAATGATAAGGATCACTCAGTCTTTTTGTAAACAGGTCTAGGTCCTATCTTATAAAGCTTTACAAATGATTCATATTGGTTGCTATCTAACTTGACTTCAGTGGTGACTCTGTACCTAAGAGATAGGGACCACTTTCAACTCTTTTTGAGGTAGGTCCGATGTCCTAACTTAAAAAGTTTTACAAATGATTCATATTATTTGCTACCTAACTTGACTTTGTGACTTAACTCCGTACCTAAGAGGTACATTGTACATGTAGGAAATTGTAAGGCCTTGTTAACATTATGAAGACAGGAAAAAAAGTGTTAGTTATCAGGTAACTACTGTTCAAGTCAGGTATTCTGAGCTGATCAGTTATGTCATTATCGTTACTGGATGTACTGTATCCATTCTCTAAGCGTTTTTGCATTTGAATTCATACCTGAACTCAACTCTGTACCACTGTGCATACACAGTTTGTACTACTGTGTGTGATAAGAGGACCTCAGCCTGTGTGGTATGGATATTATGGACCTATGGACCGATAATTTGATAGTGTGCCAAAATGGAAAAAATAACATATATCCTGAAAGAAGTATGTACATGTACATGTATGATGATTTTGGTCTGCAGTCAAAACGAAGAAAACAATTAAATTTTCATTAGGCCTGTCTTCATTAGACCGAAGTTGCAAAATAACCCGCTATTTTAAGACTCAGGATATTTTCCTGAAGCTTAAAATTGCATCTTCACCAGACCGATACGCTCATCAGAAACTAGATGAAGACAGGTGCAAATTAGTCCGCTATTTTCCAAAAAGCGGGCCATTTAGGAAACAAGACTAATATTTCTTGGTATATTATCTCAACCAAATAACCCGCTAATCGCAACTGCAGGCTGATAAAGATGCAAATTAGTGGGCTAATTTGAGATCGGGCTAGTTAAAATAGTGGGTTAGTATCAAAATCAAAATGTGTTTTACAGATAGACACATATTTATGTATTTCTAATATTTGTAGGTACAACTGAAGCACCAGGGAATTGGGAGCTGCCACTTTGCTTGGGCGTTTCACTCTGAGGCTGAGGAGGAGCTCCTGTCGCTCATACCGGGTCTTCAGAAGGGAACACCCACCTGGGCGGAGCTTCGGTCGGTGGGCGTCGGCTGGTGGGTCAGGAACAACACCACACTCAAGAGATGCATGGAGAAGGTATGACCGCTTGCCTTCTGCCCCCTCCCTCCACCCCCACCCCCACCCCTCTCTCTATCTCTATCTTTTATGTGATTCATTACTCTGTGAAAGTACAAGTATGTATACAGTAGAACCTGCCTTAACAACCACCTGTATAGAAAGACCACCTGTCTATGAAGACTAAACATTTTGTTTCCTTTGAATAGGGTTATTCATTGAAAGCTGTAAATAGGAACCTGTACATAAAGAGCACCTGCCTATAAATACCACTGTTCATGTTTCCCTTGAGCGATCTTTAAGTACAGGTTCCACAGACTGTATTTAATAATAATTTTTTGTTGTTGTCTATCTTTGACAGGTTGCCAAGTCTCAGTTCCAGGCTCAGAAGAACCCGTTGGATTCAGCCCTCTTCTACCTGGCTATGAAGAAGAAGAATGTAGTTTGGGGTTTGTTCAGGTTAGAACAGAGCGTATGGATCAGTGTACTGTAGACATACAGTAGATTAAAGAGAAGGTTGATTTCTGGGGGGAGGTGCAAAATTATTTATGAGTGTTATCACTGTTATTATGCAAGTGTGGAAGAACATCAGAGGAAAAATGCTCCCTGAAAGGCATGACTCTTCAAATGCCTTCATATTCTAAATATAACAAGTAGCATTTTTAAAATGAGGCCTGATTTTATGACACATGTTTGTGTAGTCCCATATACATCTTTCTGTGAACAGCGCTTGTTACTTTTTCCAAGACTGGGCCAAATTTCTTATCATTTTGATGACTCCAAAACCTTGCAGTACCAACCAATACTAATATGCTACATGATCAACTTTTTTTGGATCGATTTCAAACTGTACATGTATCTTTCACTATGCAATCGCATGACCAGAACTCAACTTTATCTTTAATGAAAAGAAGTGGATGTTCTATGTCTATTTATGAAACAGATTTTAACTTAGAAATTTCTTCTTTTTTTCTTCTTTAGGTCCATCTCAGACCAACGCATGACGCAGTTCTTCCGTAACGACTTCAACACCGATCGCTGGCGCAAGGCTGCTCTGAAGAATGCCTTTGCCCTGCTTGGCAGGCAGCGCTTTGAGCATGCAGCAGCCTTCTTCCTCCTGGCAGGGTCCCTTGAGGATGCCGTAGAGGTCTGCATGAACAACCTAGGGGATGTCCAGCTGGCTATGGTGGTGGCCAGGCTGTACGAGGATGAAGAGATGCCAGCCAAACAGAAGGAGATACTCAGATACAAAGTAAAGTTGCTAAATGACTAGGGGTTTCTTCATCTCCTCTTCTTCTCCTCTTCTTCTTCTTCTTCTTCTTCTTCTTTTTCATCTTCTTCTTCTTCCTCTCCTTCTTCTTCTTCTTCTTCTCCTCCTCCTCCTCCTTCTTCTTCTTCTTCTTCTTCTTCTTCTTCTTCTTCTTCTTCTTCTAATACTTCTTTTCGATTTTGTTGATTTTATACTGCTACATGTACTTCACTGATGAATATCTAGGATTTCAATTTTAGTTTTTGTTCTTTTGTTTACTTGAATTATTTCTTAATCACCTTCACATGTATTCATAGAAAGCGTAAATTTGAACTTAATCTCCTCCTGGTATGACCAATTGCATGAATTTATTCATGAATTAATTTTTTTTATTCCCTGAAAAGATCTTTTAAAACTACATGTCATTACACTGAAATGTGACTTTTCATGACAGATTCTTGCTCAAGATGAGAAGGGTGAGAAGTTGATGGAAACTCAGCCTCACTCTGATCCTTTCCTGAGGAGTATAGCCTTCTGGATGCTTAAAGACTACCCTGCCTCTCTGAAGACCTTGCTGCAGTCTTCCAGCCAGGAGACCAATGGTCCCAAGAACAACCTACCTGATGGACAGGCCACAGGGGATCATGAAGATCAGAAAGGAGAGAGGGCAAATCCAGATGTCTTCAACTTCTACAACTACCTGCGGACACATCCTCTCCTGTTGCGTCGACAGCTTGCGGATGCCAGCAAGGGAAGCCAAGGAGCGGCGTTGATGATCTCTGGTGGAGGCGTAGGTGGCTTTGGAAATACATCTGTGGGAGGTGACCAACTGGTCAAGAACGAGATCACTCCAGAGGAGAGGCGGTTGTTCTTCACTACAGCGCATGCCCACCTTTCTGCAGGGTGCCCGCTGTTAGCTTTGGATGTCTTAGCAAAGATCCCTAAAGTGAGGACTAAAACAAAAGAAGAGGATAACAAGATGGTGGAGAGCAAGAGTGCTGATGACCTTCCAAGTAGCAACATGATCTCAACGGGAACCATCGATACGGGGTTCTCAAGTGCCAGCTTCACGGGTTCATCATCAAAGGACAGTGGGATGAGTATGGACTGGGGGGCACCGGTCAGCAGTCAGTTGACCAATGGACACAAGAGTGATTCAGGGTTAGAAATGGACTGGGGTGCACCAATAGGGGGTAGGTTAGAAGAGGAAGATCTCTCTCTGGATTGGGGTGGTGATGATGATGATGATGATAGTGATGGGGAAGGTAAGGAGGAAGGTAAAAAACTAGAACAGAAGAAGTCCAGTTCTTCAGATGATAGTAATAACGCAACCCTAGTGAATGGCCTGGGTGATAGTACTAGTGAGAAGAATGATGGTTCAGTGGTTAGTGATGACAATCAAGGCAAGATAGACATCATAGCTCAGCAGCTCAAGTTCACCTGCTGCCTGAAGATCATGATGGAGGAGCTGCGGACACTGGCCACTGGCTTTGAGGTGGACGGCGGTCAGCTTCGCTACCAGCTCTACATTTGGTTGGAGCAACAGGTAGAGACTCTCCAGCAGCTTTGTAATTACGGCAGCCCTGTTACGGCCAAGAACACTGCCGAAGATGATGAGATGGATGAGCAGGACGGAGCTGAGACCAACGGGGGTCAGGGAACGCTTTACGAGCAGCTGCAGGCGAAGCGATTGGATCTGGAGGAGAAGAGACAGAGGGCCGTCAGACGGAAACGATGGCTGCGTGACAATCACCACCTCCTGCGGACACTCGTCAGCTACACCATGCTGTATGGAGCCAACGGAGGTGGGCTGGCATCCGTTGCAATGGAGCTAGTTCTCCTGGTCCAGGAGCTCCAGCAGGAGCGCATTGTCCAGCAGCTGTCATCTCCTCTGCCTATCCCAACGACACTCCCCTTGATGTCTGCAAGCATCGCCAACTGCAAGACGGTGGTGACTGACCCTATCCTTTACCTCAGACTTCACATCCACAGCGTCCTTCGAACCGTCTTGGATTTCAGTGCTCCACCATCACCTAACCATCACTCGCCCATCATATCGATCGTCCACGCACTCAGTGCAGCTCTCTCTGCTTGCATCTACCAGAGCCTGTGTGATAGTGATTCTTTCAGTGCATCTATTGGAAAGTCAAAGGTCATAGGTAAGAAGCACATCACACTGTATATGTCATTTTTAAGCATGAATTCATGTTTTTTGTACATGGACACCATCCAATTTTTTTAAATGAACATAATAGAGTTGTTCTAAAAATTTGTTATTACATTATCATGAATTAGTCCAAAAATTCATCAGCAAGAAGATGCTTTACAAAAAAAATTCTTGCAGCGTCTATATTGGCAATAAAAAAAGGTATATTTAACAGAAGGAAGGAAAAATAAACCTTTTTTACTTACATATAATAATAATAATAATAATAGCTAGTTCTTATAAAGTGCTTTTCAGGACTCTCAAAGCGCTTTACAGATATATATATATATATATATATATATACATGTATATATACATATTATTTTGGATTACACTCATAAGCTAAATACTCAGCATCTATTAAACACATCAGTATATATCCTTGTGTAGTTTACTTGAAACATATCACTATTTTCTGTTAAGAGCCAGATGTGCATTAAATCTGTATTAAAGTACACTGTACATATCGATATTATATGATAATAAAAATAATAATAACAAAGTATTACACATGCAAAACCATTTCACAGCGCTTCGCAGAGTTCAAAGAAGTTAACATAAAAGTAGCAAAAGCTAACAATCATCAAGAGATATTTGAGATTGAGAGCCTTCTTTAATAATATTTTGTATTGCAACAGGAATGGATGCCTACACCCCTGGGGGTAGAAGTCATGTGATGTACAGGGTTGGTCACCTGGTGAGCGTGGGCAGGAAACGTAGCAGACATCAGAGTCAGGAGCAGAACAATCTCAGTATCACATCACCTCCAGGAAAATGGCCAGGTAAATAACAGCCTATACATGTACATACTGTTAATATTAAAATTATTCTTTGAATTAAGAAAACCTGTTCAAAATTGCCTAATTAGTAAAGCATCAACATGTACATTTACGCTTTGTTCATGAAGATGTACATGTATAATCCATGTATTACACATTCCAAGCAGAGTTACTTTGCAGACACCATTCATTTAAAATTTGGGAACATTTTACAATTCCCTGCACATATAATTGTGCTACATCTATATTCCCCCGTCACTCAGGTGTAGCGACATACCAGGCCCTCCTGGCCAGCGAGAGGGACGATGACATCCCTAGTCCAAACATCCAGCTCTGTGAGGGTCTCGTGGCGGTCTACATGAGCCTTCTCCTCCATGCCCTCTCCAACAACAACGCCAATGACCTCTTCAGGCTGGTCGGCCACGACCTCAACAGCAAGACGTGGGCTTCCGTGTTTGGGGGTGGGGCCAAGGTGGTTGCCCCGAACAAACTCCTAGGTATAAAGCATTCATATTTTTTTTTAAATCCTATTTCTCAACTCAAATGTGGTAATTTTGGTAGTCTGGATACTTCTAAGACACTCTTTTTTTTCTACCTCTCCCTTTTTTTTCTGTCACTCACTTTTTTTTTTCTCTCTCTCTCTCTTTTTCTTTCTTTCTCTCTCTCTCTCTCTCTCTCTCTCTCTCTCTCTCTCTCTGTGTGCTATACTTGTATCTGTAAAAAAAACAGTTGCAAACTACACAACGTGTACCATTTACATTTACTTTTCATGAGAGATGAATGTATTACATGCCCCATTTTACACTCTTCTGGAAGGAAGGATAACAATATTGATGAATTATTTGATGCCACATTTGCTCTGGTGACATTTGCTCCAGGTTTTTATTTTGTGAAATATATATGGTTAGGGTTGCAATTGAGTCTTGGTTTATATGATTAGGGTTGGGTACAGTTTTAGTTCCAGAGTTGGCATTAAGATTTCTGTCAATGTAGGAAATTGACAATAGCACAACCCTTTTAGGGCAATCAAAGTTGAACCACTTAACGTCACAAAAGCTTAGTTATGCATGAGTGATTTGTAACTAAGATTTTACACATGACATTCTTGACAAAAATATATGCATTTCATGACATCCTCTGGTCTTGATTTTCCTGCAATTTTAGCATCATCATACAGCTCATCAAGTGGTGACGAGGCACTAGCCAAGCAGAGGGATAGACTAGCCCTGAGACTGATGGGCAAGGCCAGGACAGGAGGTAAATCTGCTGCAGCTACTGATGACAAGCCAGTCCTGAGAGAGGTCTTCGTTCCCCCTGAAACCAGTCTTAGGGATTACTTCCTAGTTAAGGTGAGAGTTGGTCTTATAGCTAGAGAAGAATGTTGTCATTATCACCTTAATTTTTCGTCTTCTTTGTCTCATTCTTCCTTTCCTTCTTTATCCTCTCCTTTTCCTTCTAATTCTCCTCATTTTTCTCATTCTTCTTCTCCTTCTCCATCTCCTCTTCCTCCTCCTTCTTCTCCTTCTCCCATTCCTTCTCATTCTCCTTCTCATTTTTCTTCTTCTATTTCTTCTAATTCTCTTCTCCTTGTATTTCTTTTGCAAAAACACAGATCTTGTTACGGAAGTGCAATCAAAATTAATTTTATTTGGTGAACATGTACAGAAACAACCACTAGTACATGCATGCTACCAACTAGGGAATTTGAAGTCCAACCACGAATTAATTTTTGTTTCTATTCTCTCTATATCTGCCTATGTTCATCTAATTATCAATTTTCTCCTCCTTCTCCCCTTCTGTTCCTTCTTCTATTTCTTTTAATTCTTCTAATTTTTCTTCAACCTTGTATAAAAAACAACTACATGCATGTTACCAAATAGGGAACTTGAAGTCCAACCACAAATTAATTGTTGTTCCTATTCTCTTCAAATCTGCCCATGCTCTTCTCAGCCTTACATTCCACCCAGCCAGACTGGAACCGATTACGACTCCAACGCCAGCGACAGCTCCGACGACGACGAGGACCTCAACGACTACATGGATGACGATTACGATGACACCGGTCCGTTCTCGTCATCTCGCTCATCCCGAAGGAAACGGAACGTACCCTTGCCAGGGGAAACGGAACATTCTGATGCTAACTCCTATAGCTGGTGCCTGATGCGTTGTGCTGTGATCAAGCTGGTCATTAGTAAAATACAGACCTTCCTTCCTATAGCCGGTATTGAATTAGCAGGTGAGTGTTACTTGTATTAAGTCAGGATCTGTTATCCTATCAGTACCACAAGTAGAAATTGGTTATGGTACTTGATGAGCCGCTTTAATATTATTGTTATTATTATTATTAAGTATTTGGCATCAACTGTGCCTGGGAGGCGAAAAGCAAACTGAATCACTGTAACCCTCGGGTCTCTCCTCCCGGTATAACTGATTAGGGGTGTGCAAGTGGACCACTATACCGGGTTTCCCCCTACTCTTATACAAATAATGCAGCGGGTTCTTAACGCACAAAGGTGCTGACTCTCCTCTACACGGGGCCTCCATTTAACGTCCTATCTGAGGAGACAATCCATATTGGTTACTAGAATATTTGAACCTATTAAAAAAAAAACTAATAAGTTATTTTGCATCGTGCCATGATGGTGATACAAAATCTGTGTTCAATATAGGGAGACCATGTTATAGTAGAGTAATGTCAGCTCTTGAGAAAATAGAACTGTATATTAGCACTTTGTTACAAGATATTTAGAACTTCATGTAGTATTGTTTATTTCATCTGGTCTTTAATCCATGTAATGGCAAAAGTACACTTAAATTCTAATTCCATAACAGGAACACACAGTGATTCAGTAATAACCTTAGCTACACAAATTCATGTGTGCACACATAAGATGAATTTGATGGAAAGATCCTTAATCCCTTAATACATAAAATTGCCCAATAGTATTCTTGAATTGTAATATACAATTATTCCTTTTACATTACACTGCCAACTAGTATTTTCAAATGGTAACATACAATTCTAATTTCTACCCCCACTCTCCCTCTGTCTTCAGAGCTTCCTGTAGCGACGGCCATCTTGCATTCTATTCTCAAGCTCTTGGAGCAATGGCAGCAGGCGTGCGTCCGCAAGCTGGACTTGTTTGCCCGACCGCCTCCCGATTTCCTCTCGGAGACCGGCGGTAGCAGCATGACCGGCCTCAGCGGACCGGCCATCCTCAGATACAAAGGACTCTTGGATCCTGCCAACACCCCTTTCAGGTGAGTGAGGTTAGGGTGAATGATGCATCCTCTGGCAACAGTTTTCTAATGCAGGTTTGACTGTATCTCAGACACAGGTGCCTTCAACACTAGATTCCTGTCTATTATCCTCCTCATTGCTGGCATTGGCATTGCGTATGATTGCTTTGCTGAGTTGAGACATGAATGTCTCATCTTTTTGTTCTAATTCTCCATCAGTGTCTAAACATAGTTACAATGTTGGACCTTGTGGCAGATAAGCCTTGTGTTCAACAATTTGTCTAAGAAAGTCTACTACATGTACAATGAAACCTGTCTATAAAGATCACCCAAGGGAGACAAGAAAAGTGGTCTTCATCTACTACTTCTACTTCTACTACTACAACTAATTGTGTGCTTAGGAAGAAAGGTTACATATTCCAGGATGATTAAAACATTTTCAAAAATGATCAATACCTAAGACATATATGGGAAATTCCATCATGTACTGTACCCTTCCCTGTAAATGGGTTGATTGGTATGCCAAACAGTAGAGCTCTGCGTGCATTGGGAATGGGAGAATTGCTTTGCAGCCCTTTTTATACACTAAATGTATTCTTGATTTCAACACTAGACCAAAGGATTATACCTCACCCTCACCCTAACCATAAAAGTGATCTAAATCCAATCTCCAATCCTGTACTAGTGTATATGAGATTATAAATCATGGACGAATTTCTTGAATGGCGGATTATAACTCAACCTTCGCTTTTATTTTTCAATTTTTTTTTTTCCTCTCATAGGAATGACTCCAAGGCAACTCTTCCAGCGAAGAGGCTCTGGAACTTCCTGGTGAGGCAAGAGGTAGTCCAGGATATCTTCATCCAGTACATCTTCAAGAAGGGCAGTGTCATGGAAGATATGGTAGGGTACCAGTCTTTTATTTTCCATCTTCCCAGGGGGGGGGGGGGGGTGTTTCAGAAAGCTGTTTGTATATTTACGCATGACTTTACGAACGACTTGTATATGAAGTGCAGGATGTGGTGCCCAAAGTTTTTTTCTGATACTTTTAATAACCTCAATTAAATTATGGCAAAAAATATACTTTGCATTAAAAATGTTTGTTATAATAAGAATGTTAATCTACATGTACATCTGCACAGTTCAACTTTAGTTGATGCAGTTAAACATGATTGAGCATCCTATCTGGCACTTCATATACAAGTCATTTGTAAAGTCATGCGTAACTTTACGAACAGCTTTATGAAACAACCCCCCCCCCCCCTTGCAAATTTACAGTCTACCATCTCTTATGATAACAATTGCAAACTCATTTTCCTCTATACTTCAACATGCTCTAAAAAGAACTTAATGAGCTAAAGTTTGGATAGGAATTTCCAAAATATTTTCTTTTTTAAATGGCAAAGGGAATTCATATCAAATATGATCTGTGCTATACAAGAATGGAATAATGTTACAACTCACTATTTCTTTGTCTCATGTCCAACATGTATCTGTCTCTTGGATCCCTTCCATCCCTTCTCCACTCACCAGACTGACTCCGTCTCCATGAGAAGCCCTAGCAAAAGCACCGGCTCTCTCCCCCAAGCAGCTTCACAGGCAAGACTCGTCCACAAAGAACAGGAAAAGATTTCTGCTTTCTGCTTCAACCAGGTAACCAAACACTCCCTTATAAAGGACCAAGGGGTGTGTTCTTGCACCCTTTAAACCATTCATCAATATAATCTTGCTGTAGACCAGTACAAGCTTTGTTCCCCAAGTAGATAGAGTTGGTAGACCAAGGGGCGTGTCCTTGAACCCTTAACCAATCGCAATATGATCTTACTATAGACCAGTACAAGCTTAATGTTCCCCAAGTAGATAGAGTTGGTAGACCAAGGGGCGTGTCCTTGCACCCCTTACCATTTGTCAATATGATCTTGCTGTAGACCAGTACAAGCTAAATGTTCCCCAAGTCGGTAGAGTTGGTAGACCAAAGGTGTATTCTTGCACCCTTAACCATTAGTCAATATGGTCTTGCTGTGATCAGTACAAGCTTAATGTTCCCCAAGTTGGTAGATTATTGGTACGGTTATTAATCTTTGCATGTATCCTGAGCCCTGAGTGTAAACAGTTTGCTATTGTGAGACCTATCTGTAAATCCCTAGTACACACTTTTGTAACGATAGAGATAATTGTTGTAGGTCCCCTTGTATCAGATATATGTGTCAAGTTCTGTTTTGAAGACTTGCCGTCCATTATATTTTTTTAAACTTAGAATGAAATAGAATTTGAACAATAAACAGATCTTATAGGGTCATTCAAAATAAATGTTTACAGACTGAGTGAATCTCAACTAAATCTCTAGAAATATTAAAGGACACTAAAGAGCTTGTGTTCTAGAAATTATGTACCAGCGGAGCATTAAGAAGAGGACATGGGGTCAAACATTACTTATTTTAATGAGGCAGTGACAGCATGCCTCACCCTTATTTGGAAGAATGTTTGCATTGTAGGATGCATGAAATTTGGCTTGTATGCTATGTGCTGCTGCTTTGCAGAGCAAAATGCAAGTGCTTTGAAGTGCATGTTGGGTGAATGCTTGTTACAAAGAGCATGCAGAAAATGCAAATGCATAGAATTTTTAAGCATTCTAAATAGTGATGCATTGGATTGAGTGGGAAGGCATTATATGATTTGAAAAATATCCTACTCTTTGGGTGGGTGATGTCTTCCAGTTTGTGTCATCAAGGAGGGACCTTATAATCATCAATCACACTGTATTGGGAGGGGGAGAATGTTGTACTTTCTAACATTATGCATTTGTCGTTGCATTAATCGCCTTACATTTATTTTTTTTATTTTTTTTTATTGATTGATTTATTTTTTATTTTTGTTATTGATTCATTGATTTATTTTTTATTGATTTATTTTATTTTATTTTTTATTTATTTTTTTTTTTTTTGGGGGGGGGGGAATAAAGTTAGACATTACCACCTCCTACGAAAGATCCCTTTCTGTACAATATTTTTTGTTCTGATTTGAGCCAGAAGGGCATTAACTGTGTATCAAAATCATATGAGTTAATGCCCTTCAAGCTCCAAAACATGGAAGTGACTGTAATTCAATGGTTCCTTTAACCAGATCAGTCACTGAAAAAAAAACAGCCAAAACATTGTGTGGTATCCGTACATGTATACTGTACCTGTTCGCATACTTTTTTAGATCATACTTAAGTGTCCATGAAAACGTAGTCTGAGTAAAAAAAAGTTGGAGCATGTCTAAATATTAAACTCAAAAGTCCTCCCAACCCAATGTTCATGTATGAACCCAATGATTGTGATACATGTATTCCCCTCTTGTGCCATGCCGTGCAATGACAGGAACTGCTTTCTTCTCAAAGACACAGTCCTGTAAGTTACTCTGAGTTTCAGAGGGATTGTAACCTAATCAAAACGAGCCGTCAGAAAGAAAAACCCTTCAACCATTTTGGAGGAAAAACTGTGTCCTGTGAAGTTTCATCTGGCCCAAACATTGCTGGAAAAATAACTATTTTTATAGAAAGGAAAAGAAAGAAAATAGAAAGGATTCGATTTGAAAGGATTACAGCTGTACTTAATTCTGAGAGTATTGAATACTTATTCGCACACCCCTTCAAACTTGTACATTTTACAACAAACTAAGAGGCATAAAATACTGTCATTTGTATATTTTCTGGTGAAATTGAATAATGTATTTTGTATAGCAAAGATGATTTTAAATCTTTGGACATGAATGCTCCAAATGAGCATTTCCTGAAACCAAATACTCATTTGCAATCAACGGGCTCTTCTGGTTTTGTATGAGGTTACAATTCTGATGAGTTTGTGATGAGATTAGATAAGATTTACTCTCATAAGCCTCATTTAATTGATTTTTATATCCTTGAAGCTAATCATTTTTTTCTTGATATTGCAGCTTTTATTTCATGATTTGCAATTTTAGTTCATCACTTTAGCTTGCTGTTGCAGTAGTCTGATTTCCCTTTGAATACATTTTTTCTCCTATATTTACAGAGCAGGATTATATCTTAGATTTAATTGAGTTAAAGTTTGCAAGGCACAGAATATTTTTTGGCTACTGTATGTGGAGCATGCAGTATCAATTTTTTCCACATATATTCTTTTTGATAATTTATATTTATTGTGTTTATCTTGTGTTGCACTATAGGCCTACAGTACATGTAGGTTACTAGTGAGATGTACGATCTATCTATAAACAAAATATTAAAAAACCCTTTTTCATTTAGCTACAGTGTACAGGTATTTTGTACATGTACCCGCTGATTCAAACCTGCTTCTAAATATATAAGTATATAAGTATATATTTCATACTTTATGATTGCAGTGAAGCCAACAAAATAGCCATAACAATGTCTGATTCACATACATGTATGTGTAATAGAGAATGCCTGAAATCATATAATTATTTCTGAATTTCGTTTTTTTCTTCTGTTTTAAAGATGTTTCTTTTGTCAATATATGCTGCACGACTTCTCATATGAGTTTGAGAGTACCATAAACCATTTCTGTCTTGTACTTGTACCTTTTGAGAGACAAATTTTGTGCAGTGTATGTACATGTGATCAATTAAGAAGGAATGAAAGGGAACTCACACAACAGGATGAATTGTTTGCAAAGTTTCCATCAGCAGAAACGCTTCACCTTTTCTGTCAAATGCACATTTTTCTTTGCATTTTGATGCAAAACCTTTATGTATTTTTGTATGTACATGTACTGTACTCGAATGTGCTTTTTGTTGGTGGTGTTTCGGAAGGCATAGGGTTATATCTTTAATTTTCTCTTTTTTGTTGGGGGGGGGGGCAATAACAGAAAATTGACTTTAGCTGTTTACCATGCCGATGATGTACATGTAAATCTGAAGGATTATCAATTATTGTTGGAATACTTTACCCTACCACAAGTATCAATAGACAGAGGATTCAATTCATGCCTGTCCATATTGTACGTGCAAATGTACATGCTTGTAGAGCCACTTTCTACTTCTAAGGGCTTGTAACTTGATTGTATAACTTGTTGGCTTCCCGCAAGAAAGTTGTTACTGCAATTGAAAAGACTTTATAGCACTTATGGCCTTCTTGTGTGGTAGCCAGCGAATGTGTTTGTCTGTGTGTATTGTGTTGTCTCCCGCTATGTTTTTATCCTTGTTTGGTCTCGCCTCCTCCTCCTCCTCCTCCTCCTCCAACAGGCCGACTGGAAGAACATCTCTATGAACGGAGAGTTCCAAGTATGTAGCATGTTTTTGTTTTGCATGGGCAACCTCCAGAAACTCTTCCCAACACCTCAATGTTCTAACCCTACGGTGATGGGAGGGTTTATGCAAGATATCTTTAATATAACTTCATTTTATGCATACTCATCTTTTATTATTTTGTGCATGGTTATGTTTATTTAGCATTATCAGCATCGTGTTTCCGTTATTAGTGACTTTTTTTTTAATGGAGAATGGCATGTGCATTCATTTAATTCCAGTAGGTAACGTTGCCTTAAAGGAGGTACTGTACACTATGATTTCTTTTAGATATAGTTTCATGAGGATAGACTACAATGCTCATCATCTGTAGTACTTAATCTTCAGCTACAACCAGTAAATCATTTAGTAGCAAATGTAGTGGTTCTAAAAATGTTGGTATAGAATCACTAGTTAAATATAGAATGGACATGCATTGCATTTGTCATTCAAATCTAGTAGAAACAGTTTATTTTTACTTAGCCGATTCCAGGCTTTATGGTTATGTTGTATAACAAACAAATAAACAAAAAATTATGTTCAAAAATGTATTTTTTAAATATATATCTTTACCAATGGGGCCAGGATTCATCCATCAAATTCTGTCCTTAACACATCAGTCAATAGAAGAGAACTGATTACCTAACAAACTTCAAAAAGTTTATGGTAAATAACCAAAACTGAAGGGCAGATGGTGTAATTTTTGACTGCCTGGGGTCATGTGACGGACATGTGCGCTATATAAGAAGCCATTGTTATTATTATTATTATGTGTATGATGAGAGGAAGATAGAAATGTAAGATGAAAATCATCAACAAACGCATATTTTTTTTTAAATTCTTTATTTTGTTATTTAATATTTGGCTTCTGGGGGACAAGTAGACCCTAAACTTTTTAGAATTAATATACGTTGCCCGGCGAAGCAACCATTTATTTGAGACTATGTTTAACCCAGGTATATAAAGGTGTTGGAAAAAATTCTTCAGTGTGTAATCGTTACCAGTTAGGAAGAAACTATTTATTCAAAAGAAGGGTTTACCAAAGTCACAAATTCTCTTGATTTAATCATCTAGGCTGATAAAATCTTATTGATTAATGCTTGTACATGTACATGTTAATTTGCAATCTTTAACAATTAATTGTCATCTCTAACAAAATCATTCAAAGTGGACAAGTATATACTATATAGTCAATCTAATATCTGCTAACCTTATCTGAAAAGCCTGATATTAGATGGCTTGACCTTAAGAAGTATTACATTATCCTAATATATGATTTTGAAAGACAAGCAATCAGACATAGAACATTATGACAACTCTTGAATAAAAGCTCAAAGACATATTTGTATAGATTGTCAGCTTGAAGATAAAGATAACAGAAAATAAACACTTTTATCAATGTTATATACTACAAAATATGTTTTTCCCAAACGTGGTTAAATGCAACTTCAATAGATAAATGCACTTTACTGTACTTCATGAATCAGCTAATACTTTGTATGATTATAATTTGAGATTATATCTTATTCATCCAGCTGTTCTCTGCAAAGATATGTGCTTTATTTTTATATTCATTTATTTTCAAAAAGAAAAGTCTTTCTAAGCTTTCGAGAACTAAAAGAACAGAAAAGGAAAAAATATTTTGATTGCGCATTTTGTAATGAAAGAAAATATCAGAGTAGTAAATTTACCTGCTTGCAATGAAATTATATTTACATACTAATGTAACCATAGGAGTTTATTACTTGGTACAGAGGCTTATTAACCTGGTACTGATATTTAACGGTTTAATAGTTCAAGTATGTCCAACATGCATGCATATTGCAAGCGGGATGCAATAATTACACTCATACATGTATTGGGGTCCAGGACGGTACTAACAAGACCTACATGTATCTTTAGTACATGGTACTACATTGAACATGCAAATTATACTGGGTGAAGGTAGCACTTACATGTATATGCATATTATAATTGAGATTTTTGTGACACTACTTCAAATTATTTATTTTAAAGTGTACCGATTACCAATGCTATTTTGTTATCTACCTTAGCGATACAATGATGCTATGCTATGTTAAAATATGAGCTTCAAGTATCACTTGTATAAAGAGATAATTCTAGAGATTTTTGTTTATACATGCTTCAGGATAGTTTCAATTCAACTCAATGAAATGCATACAGTGTATTGGGGCAGTGATATGCTATACATGGAGTAGCTATGGTGTATTGAAAAAGAATAGAGTTTAGCAAAAACGTCTGCATCTCTGATGTCAGTTCATACCTAGCAAAGAGAGAAAATGATAGTAAGATTGAAACCCCTCTCTTTGAATATTGGGACTGCATGTAAACTCACACACATATGATCCAAGTTATGCACCCATATTATCACATTTTCTACACTGCAAAGATGCACAATGGCCATTATATTCCTCTTCCACTTTAGGGCAGTTCCAGTTTGGACAAATAGAAAAAATTGACTCTATGTTCAAGCCTTCTAATCGTGTCGACTAATTCATTGAAGTTTGGTTTGGGGCAGCCATAATGTACACTGTACTGTTAGAGTGCATGCCCCATTGATAAATTGAAAAGGTCACTCGGAGTGACCAAGTCCATATAAGGTGAAACACATGTGCATATAAACATCAAAATGGGCATATCTTGTATGGGACATCGTAGAGTCCTATACGACATATGCTTAATTTCCAATTGCAATGGGCATATCTTGTATGGGACATCGTAGAGTCCTGTATGACATATGCTTCATTTCCAATTACAATGGGCATATCTTGTATGGGACATTGTAGAGTCCTGTATGACATATGCTTCATTTCCAATTACAATGGGCTTATGTTGTACATTACACCGTGGAGTCCTATACGACATATGCTTAATTTCCCTTTCACTCCACAATAGAAAATCACTGATTATGATCATTGATATACATGTAGGTCCAAATCTGATGGAAATATGGAATGACATTGAAACAATTATATCAATTATTTATGTAGCCAGTAGGTTTGAAATTGTAAAATGATCTTTTTGCTAATACAGAATAATCCTGTAGCTTAATTCTTCCACGAGAATCTAAACATAACAATCAATCCTCTCTTTCCTTCATGTCACTTCTAGTCCAACCCGTCCAGTGTAGTCGTGTCCACTCACAGGGGTCTTCTTGAACTGGACATCTCTCTCCTACTCACACCAGACAACTCCTTCTGGCTGGACGATGATGACGGTGGTGACCAACAAACTAAAGGGTCAGTTCCTCTTCAAGCTCAAACTTGCGAATATTATTGTCTTTGTACAGGTTACATTCAACACTGGTTTTGATGTAAAATATGAAGCAAGAAAACAGAAGAAACTAAATATACACCGTATAAACTGTGTACACTTGGTTAAAAGTAGCTTGACTGTACTTGATAATAATAATAATAATAATAGCGTCAGTCTTGTGTAGCCCTCATATCTGGCACCTTGCCACTCCTGGCGCTTCATTATCATTACCCCTGCTTTAGCACGGCTGTCATTACAGCGCTTAGAATTAATTCTTGCCAGTAGCCCATTTACAGTGGCAACTGTAGATTAATATCTTGCCAAAATACATACCCGGTAAGTGCTGTATAAAACAGGGATTCAAACATTGTGGTTCACAGTCCTGAGACTTAACTGTATCTACTGGACCATAACAACCCTACACCTACATTGTATAATGTAGGCTTGGAGTTTCACCAAGTGAGAGAGGGGGAGGATTGGAGAGTCTTGAAAAGGACTCTCTTTAATCTTTCTTTCTTGAGTATGTGTGTAGTCCTGAAAAGGACTGAAAAGCACTCCTGACGACGGATAGTCAACCTGTTCGAAATGTCAAGCCACTCATACCACCCATCCTCTCCAAGCGACCCTATAGTTCTCCTAAGACTCCCCAATCCTCCCCCCTCTCTCACATGGTGCAACCGCAAGCCTACTGTATATCTACATCGCCATGCAAGACGATACTTATAAGCAGCATCTAACCCTTACACCTACTTCATTTCCCTCTCTTCGGCCAACAGAAAGAACTCCCAAATGGAAGATGAATTCTTCATGGTGGAGCCTAAGAGCATCCCGTCTCCTCGCTTGAGCAAGTCCTCATCCGTTCCATTCATCCAGCTCCCTCCTGGTGGCTTCAACCCCGCCTTTCCCTCGGACTCTACCCCGGCACAGACGGGCAGGAGTACACATGTGGTGAGTCCCAATGTATGATGTACACAGTTTTCTTTTCTGAGCTTTAAAGACATCATTAAGTCTGAGATGCATGGCCCTACCTGTTATCAGTGTCTGTAATATGGTGTATTATTAACTGTATCAGACATCTGAGCAGGGCAATTGTTAAATGTTATTGCCCTCAAGGTTTGATGGATAAGCCAACAAAACTACAATATTTTAGCCCGATCTGAAAAGTCAATGGCAAAATGCGTGTTAAACTAGTGAGCAATAATATAGAGCCAGTTGTAATTTACATCGTGCATCAGCTACTGTAATTTACATCGCGCATCAATCAATCAATTACACCCTAGGCAAACTGTTTGCAGTGTATCAAAAATTTGTCAAACACTGGATGCACAGTGCTGGTTTGACAATGTTTTTGCAACTTCTAATGCTAGGAAACCCTGTGTACATAATTTAAGAGTATAAGATAGTAAGAGTTTCTTGTTTGCTCTAGATGTCTGATGTGGTTAATAATAGTAATATTGACTGCCTAATTGAGAGCAATACGACTTGTCGAATATCACCCTCACCTTCGGTTCGGGCGATATATGTCGTATTTCCCAGAAGGCAGTCAATATTACTTAAATATTGAAGCAAAAAAAAAATTGCACTTCAAAATTATCAAGAAGTGCCTCAAAAAAGTAAAAATCTGTGAGTGACCGGTTTTACAATACTCGTTTTCCCCAATAGACTGTAGTGTTATAAAACTGTTAGGACAACACAAAATTTAATATTTCGATTTCCAATCATAAATATCTTGACACTTAGATAGGCGATCGGCTTATACAAGTCATGGGGTTCCTGACTGACTTAAAGGTTTATAATTATCATTGCAGCATGAGTTAAATCCAGGATTTTGTTTCTGAATCTGAGACAAAGTTACCCAATCCCTTTAAGAAAATGGGAAGACCTTTTTTTAGAAAGTAAATGCATGTACATGTACAGTTTATTCATTATATATATATTTCCTTATTCTGATTTCAGATGTAGAGATGAAATATTTGTTTAAAGTTAAATCCACAGTGGCCCCTAGACTGGAGATCAACATTTTATAATTGCAACTGCTATTCAAATTATATTTTTGGTTTAAATACACGTACACGTATGCTTAATGTAGTTGGTTGTACAACATCAGTTCTGTTTCATGTTCTAGTATTTTCACAGTGAACTTTTACTCTCATTTCTACCATATGCTGTTGCTTTAAGGCCCACTTAAAATTATTCCAGACAATGCTGGCATCTGGTCCCATAGAATAATCATGGTGCATGATAGTTTTAATGTCTTTGATGGATCTTGTTTGTATCCTAGATTACACATCGGCCATTGTATCACATCAGGAAACTGTCGGCACACCCTCATCTACCCTACTGTAAGTACATATATGTAGGCTTGTTATCTATCAGCCTGATATCTGCAAAGATTTTAGGTGCAGATGCATACATAGCACAGGCATTTGTTAGTTTAAAAGGACAGCTAATGTAATGAGGGGAAATAAGCAATTAAAATTTGAAAATGAATAATGACTTTTTAATGTTTAAACCCAAGTCAATATTATGAAACATTTATTTGACAATCATACAGATGTACAGTACAGTCTTGTACATGTATACTATGAATGTATATCTGTACATTGCATTCGTGAAAATTCTGGTATTTATTGATTTTATAGCTTTACTTTTCAATATAGTGATGAGTGATTTGATTATCAGATATAATTTGTTTCAATTTGTAAATTGGCAATTCATGATTATACACCATATGATATTGTACAATTGTTTTATTTGTAACTGCTGAATACTGCATGCAAATTCTAGCTCTTTATTGTGCAGTAATAATAATAAGAAGAATACTCAGTTTTTATATAGCGCTTATTACAATCACTAAGCGCTTCCAAACTTGGAGATCATTACCCCGGCTTTAGCAGTATACATGTATGATGATATATAAATGTTTCCATTTTTGAAATCTCCTTCAGATCTGAGTGGGTCTAACGATGGTAGCGTCCACATGTGGGAATGGGGTCACTCTCAGAAGCTCTACACCCACAGGACTCCGGGTCAGTTCCCAAAGGTCACTCAGATCAATTTCAATGACCAGGGTAACAAGGTGAGTGTGTGACTGGTGGGCGGAATAATTTCCCATTGATAGGATATTAAAAAGAGGTCCTGTGGATAGAAAGAGGGAGGGAGGGAGGGAGGAAGGAAGAAGAAAGAAAGAAAGAAAGAAAGAAAGAGAAAGAAAGAAAGAAAGAAAGAAAGAAAGAAAGAAAGAAAGAAAGAAAAGAGACAGACAGAAAGAGAGAGAGAGAGAGAGACAGGGAGATAGAGAGGGGGGGGGGGTAGAGGGAGAGAGAGCTATACATGTTTAATTATAAACTCACTGCAGAATCAGGGATAGGGTAGGGTGAAAACATATTAGAACCAGTCTGGAATTCGCAATCGGTCTATGCAGTGGCCATGTTTTCTATACACATTGGATTGTAGTCCTAAGGGGTTCTCTGATTTTTTAATGTCAAAGCAAGCATGTTCTAAGTTTCAAACTCATGGGAAATGTAGTGGTTGACTGTACTTTATTATTAATTTCTAGCTTCAGTGTAGACGTTTCCTTAAAGAGCAGACCAATGTAATATATAAACCGGGATTTAGTTTGAGAATCGGAGGCAATGTTACCGAGTCACTTGAAAGTGCAGTCTTACTATATTATTGATGGACTTGTATTTTCTTGATTTGTATCAGTTTGGAGTATGCGATGATGGTGGACAGCTTGCTCTCTGGCAGGTTGGGATGAACTCACCATCAGCAACCAAGCCATTCTGGGTAAGTCAGTGACTTCATCTGAGTTTATTAGCACCTAAATATTTGATGAATGAAATACAATGTTCAAGAAAGCAAGGTGGAGTTGACTGAGGAGAGGGGTTATATCACTTTTTTTCCAAGTTGTCCTTCCTCTTTTCTTTTCTTTTCTTTTCTTTCAAAAATATGAAATAAGAGAAAACAAAGCCAACACTTTTGAAAGGAGGGTACAATGTATGAGGGGTTGATGTATCACCTTATTTTCATGTTTTCTATAACCCTCCCCTTTTATGTCTCTATTCCCTTCTTCTTCTTTCTCTCTCTCTCTCTCTCTCTCTCTCTCTCTCTTTTCCTCATTTCTTTTTATAGGAAGGTACAATGTATGAGGGGTTGTTGTGTCACCTTCTTTTCATGTTTTCTTGCCATCTCCCCTTTTATTTCTCTCTTCCCTTGGTGGTACTGTCATTTGTCACTGATGACAAGTTTTGTGAAATGCCCCCCTGTGCTACCCCACTGCTCCCCATCTCCAACTCTCTTGACATTTTCTCTTATTCTGCAGGGCATGGCCTGTCACAACAAGACAGCGTATGACTTTGCTTTCCTAGGATCATCCAGTCTACTGGTAACATCAGGGGTCTCTACTGACAGCAAGAATGTTTGTCTGTGGGATACTCTGCTTCCATTCAGAAAATGCATGGTGCATGGTGAGTATATGGACATGACAATGAGATTGTAGTTGATCCAAACATAACCATTACAGGCGACTGACTTGCACTGGCAGTGATTTTCACAGTGACATTATTAGAATAATGTTTGGATGTTTGTTTGCCCCTTAGCAGAGTGTATTTGGTTTTGGAAGTGGCAAAATATTACAGGGACCTCTTAAGCCTCAATCAATCGTGAGGCTGTAAACAACATATAAAACAAGAAGAAAAAAAAAAAGCTGTGGCAATATAAAATATTGTTTTAAAGCTTATATGTACTAGTGAACTGGAGGGATTAGACCATCCTGCAAGGTCACTGACAGGTGGTTATCTCATCAACTCAGCTGTCAATTATCATAAGAAAAAGAGGATCATGGGGGACCAATGGTCACCAATTAGGCATTGTTTTCTATATAGAGGGAGCAAGTAGCTACAAGTAGGGCAGTGTGGCTTTAAGGGCAAATAAATGGCAGGTGGATATAGTAGCTGCATTCAAAAAATGGCCATAAGGATATATGCTTTTGTTTGTTATGAAAATATGAAATGTGAAGCACTTTCTGCCATTTTATTCTGCCATTGCAATTTTTTTTTAGGTGGCTAGATAATCCAAGCTCCGCTTCTGTGAGCAAAACAAGATGTTTTTAAAATTACCCTTAGAAAAAAATTTCCTGAAAGTATTTGTGACCGTGGCTAACTTTTCAAAACAATTTTGACCCCTAACCCCAGGGTTCTCCTGCCATGAGGGAGGTGTGCCGTCCGTGCTCTACTGCCCTCGCAACCAGACCATCATCGCCGGTAGTAAGAAGGGAGAGGTGAGCATCTTTGACATCAGACAGCGCAAGCTCCGACACACCTTCCAGGCCCACGAGTCCAGCATCAGGACGCTGTGTGTCGATCCCATGGAGGAGTTCTTCGTGACGGGATCTGCAGAAGGCAATATAAAGGTACAGTACGCTCAAGAAAAAACATGATAAGTGGTCTTTATAGACTGGTGGTCTTTTTATACAGGTGGTTGCTAAAGCAAATGTGACTGCCCAAGAAGAAAAAAAAAAAAAAAAATCGCTTGTTGTTGTTTTAGTGATTAGTTGAGAACAGTGCCTGTACATATATCAAGACAACAGGTCATGCCAGCAGTTCCCAGTTACTGTATGAGGAGTCCTACATACATGTATACATGTAGATAGCCCAATTGGTTTACTGCTGTTCAGATAGTCATCTCTTTTTTCAAATTATAAGAAAGGAACAAACTACGGAAACAGAGGAGTAATAGTAATGAGGAATAATGCCTTAGCAAAAGGCACTAGCCTGAACAACTTTATACCAGTGACCTTGTATCACCCATGCATCACCCCTGCACAATACCTTTATGAATTACTCTGTATTCACCCCTCTTTCTCCATCTCTGTCACTCTCACTTCTACTCTCACTCTAATCTCTTTAGGTCTGGTCGCTGTCGGTGCACAGCCTCCTTCACTACTTCCCAGGCCAGCACACCAGGGGTAACTTCTTCCGGCAGTCTGGTAACGGCGTGGTCCAGCTGGCCCTCTTGCCTCCCAACAACCTCTACTCCTGCGGCGCCGACGGCACCATGAAATGGCGCAGCCTGAACATCTCAAGCAACCCGATATCGGCAAGAAAATCCTCGTCCATTCACGCTTGAGTAATGATTGTCTTCTTCACCGCCAAACTTGGAAATGTGACAAAGCGTAACCAGCTTCACATTGGAATCCTGGTGTGCATGACAATAGTGTGTTCAGCAGTACCTCAGAAATGTAAATGGTATTTCTGTAAGCTTTAGCGACAATTCTAGACTCTACGAAATGATGAGAGGCATCAAAAGTCAGTCTCAATCAGTCGAGAGTCGTGCAGATGATTACCCCTAGAAACTGAGGCAAACAGGTCTCTGCTCCTGGCATTGATATTGGCTTTCTACAAATGTTGGAAAAGCTGTATTGCAGTAACACATGAATCAGATAGCCTGACATGCAGGTTTGTATGTGCTGATTGTGACACCTCCAAATTTTCAACCTGGGATATCCTAAATTTCAATTATGATAATGTCCGCGAGACCTGTCCAGATGCCGTTCATTGCAGAATGTTCATATGCTATTGCTTTATTGAAGAGGCGCGCCAGCAATACTTGAGTCAAAAGCTAAGTGAGCAGAGATCACTTAATCTGCAGAGAGCTATAAAGGCATTAATTATATGTGAAATTATATTAGTTTATGACTTTCTTCCTCTCAACAGATTATTTGATAGTCATTGTTAAAACGTTGTCACCTAACCAACAACTATAATTTTTTTAAAGAATTCCAAATATTTGATGTATAAACCCATTGTTTGGGATGCATAGACTTTGTCACATTCAGTCAAATGATGTTAAGTCAGTAGTACATGTATGTTATTGGGGGTCGAAGGTTGAATTAATATGTTACCAAGCAACGATCAGATGGAACAATGTACAATAATCGTTATATTTGTGGAGGAATATTGTTTATGTTCAAGATGATATAGTACTAATCTATGCAAAGCAAAATGATTGTTGTATATGTTATGAAATGAAAATTATAGATGTCTATGTGTGTATTTTATGTACATATCAACATGAAATCGATGGAGCGTGTATATTTATAGCCATATACCTGATATTATATCCATATCTCTATGTCTAAGAAAGTGAATAAATCAGTATTTTTGTGATCGACTGCGACGCGATGCCAGTCAGAATGTGTCGAGTAATAGTCTATGATGCCAAAGGGATCGACAAAAATTTATTAACGTATATAGCCAACATGAAGTGATTGTACCATATCGTTGTAACTGATCATTTAACATTTCTGTTTCCTCTGTTCTGTCATTTGTCGATTATGTGCTGCATAACTTTGTGAGAAAGCTATAAATGAAATTGGACAAAGGTGGCTACGTTCTCTTGTGAAAGAAATATATATATGGTCAAAGAAATATACTATTATGCATTTGCCCGGCAATACGTATCTGTACATTGAGTTAAGAAGCTGAACAGTTAAATGAGATGCATTTAATGAATTAAGCGATGTTTGTAATTTCTCAATCGTGTATCTGTAGAATAGCATTGTACATGTGGTATCACTGGCATTATCTGGTCCCGTCCTACTGTATGCAAAGAACAAATTTCTAATTTGGAGCGATCTAACTAATGTGTAACCTTTTTCATTGCAATGCTGCTCCTAAAACTCCCTGAACTACCTAAAATGTCCTGTACCCTTTCATGTTCTACAGCAGCAAGAGTACGGTGAGATGTGCCATCTTGCATGGTTTATCTTCACAGATTCCTCACCTTCATCCTGTGTTGAAAGCGGTGTTATAGGGTTAAAAGTCGTTGCTTTACTGTCAAATAGCGAGCAAACATAGTAGTACAAGGTTCACAGATTGTTTGTCAGGGATTTATTTCTTTGTATTTTATATTTGTGTAAGATTATTAAAGGTGAAATTCAAAGAAAATCACAAATATGTCAACTAATGTATCACTAGAAACTGGTAAGCTAACAAATGGCCATCGTACAAGTTTGAGGTCAGCTACATATCGGGTGATTTATAAAAATAAAAATACAACCACCTCCATAGCAGCTGGGATATACGAGAGATTCGCCAGAAAAATAACGATGTTTTAATGACGTCACAACAGGGACCAATACTGCCCAAGCAGACGACATCCCATAAAGAATGAACATAATTGCAAAGCTATTATTTGTCAAATTATAATGAGTTTAGTGTATATAAATGTACTGGCACGTCAAACCGATCAAAAGGGGACATGACCCGATTCTGATAACTAAAATCTTTTGCTTGTAAATACTCAGGATAGGGGTTAATTAACAATCAAAGAAACCAGCCTTTCAAATTGAAAAGCCCCCGGATTGATATTAACGACTGCATTTGTTCCCTCTTAAAACGCCGAACATACCGCGGTGTCTGCAGCTGAATATACAATGGCGTCTTATTTTGTTTACAAGCGACAGATTCCTTTATTTTTGTATCGCTGCATTTGTCATCAAAATAAAACCATGCGCGGGGTTTAGAGTGAGGCAATAGATTATACATTTAGCCTGGCGGTGGTGAAGTAAGAGAAAGAACTCAAGAGAAGATGAAAATACAGGCACTGAAAATGTGTGAGATGTCGATGGTACATCGTCTGCTTGTGCAAATCATGTCCCTGCTGTGATCTCACACATCTCAGCAGCGTTCGGAGAGCTATTCAGGTGCTATGCCGGGGCTGTATTTAAGCGTTTTGTAATTTATAATAATCATTACTTCGAATGTTTCCAAGCATTGAATTTTGATAACCTTGTCGAATCAAAGTTTCAACTTTGCAATAATGAAAATAAAGCTAGATTTAAAATCAATGAATATCTACTTTAAAATTGCATTAATTGGGAACTCAAAAATAATGATGTTATTTTTCAGTCCAATGACTATATCCTCCTTATTTGGACTGACAGCTTTACATAGATCTTCATCCTCAAACTTCATGTAATCACAATAATGATTCCATTAGGGTCTTAATTGTTGAAACGCATACGAGAAGACATAGATGAAACTACATAAATGTATAGCCATAGAAATACCAAGAAATCTCTTATCATTAGAACATAATAATTTCACTTGCATTTGAGTCTGGGGGTATCAACACAAAAAATAGAGCTTTGTGTATAAAATTCCCCATCAGCTCTCAGCTGAAAGTCTAATCAGAAATGCATATGTGACGTTTGCTTTATAAAATTGAGAAGTCAAATCATCTAGTCTTTCAAAATCCAAACATTCAAATTGAAATTCATTGCATACATTGTGTTTCATTCCTGCTTGTTGTTTGGTACAGTGTAGTTGCATAGCATTTGATTTGTGTGTGTGTTCATTTACTGCCATATTAGATCAAACTGTCTAAATTTAATTTTGTTTTTACATTTGAAAGTATCAAGGCAATAGGTGAAATAGACTAGTCACAGAAGCAAATTAGATTACCTGAAGGTGTTTTTGTTTCCATTGAGATATCTTTTACCATAATCAGGGAGGGAGTTTGTTGTGCCATGCTCATAGTTGTTCATTATTATGCATTCAATAATACATGTACATGTAGCTATCAGTATATTATATCAGATGATGATTCATTTCCATTCTATAGCCTCTGTAACCTCAGATACACGTACATGTAGTAGAAGGAGTCCAATATTATGTCGTAGACTTGTTTCATTGACCGAATATGCCCCATGTTTTGTTCTGGTTCATATTGTATCTATAGATGCATTGTTGCTTACTTTTATGCAGTTCTTAGCTGCTCTGTACTGGTATAGTGCATTTTCATATATAGTTTACGTTCAGTTGTTGAAGATGTGTGTAATCAGAAGGATATATTGAATATAGGTCTTTAATCTATTATTGAAAAAATGATTTGGTCATATTTTGTGCAATTTTCCATTGTGATTCCAAAAAGGTTCAGGATTATTTTGTCCATATATTTGTCTCCTGTGTGAAAGTTTTCACACTAATGTTCTATTAAGTTGTTATTACAGTATGCCTGACATTATTACAAATGTACCAACTCAGTGTTCAAATAGAATACTTCCTGAATGTTCTAAAAACAAAGAAGGAAAATAAGATACTTTTTAAAACTCCTTTACTTTTCCCCGGAGTGTACAAAGTTATTTAACAAATTTAAATTGAATATGTTTTTAGCATCTGCTGTACTATGTTAATTCGTTATTTTAGTAATGTAACCTTAAAGTAGATATTGATGCAGATGTGTTATGCATTTTAATATTGAAAGTCAGAATAGGATTTGTTGGTTACGTGAAGGTGAACATCTTTATGTATATTTCAAATCATAGCTTTAATTGTCCCTGCACCCAGATGCAGGCAATATCATGATGTTAGTACAACACTTTCCCTACCCCAAATTACGATTGGTTGCTTATATGTTTTGAATATGATGAATAGTTGTATATTTGCATTCCATTTCCACCTATCCATCAAGAGTCTTTAAACAAAAATTGTACTGGGTAAACAAAATGTGAAGCAACTCAAAATGTATGATTTAGCCAAATATTCTGACCCTATACTGACATACATGTTCATGTTTGTGTATCCATGGAAATGTTAATGATGATTTGTACCAAGTATTGGTCAGAACATATAATTTCGACAGTTATGTCTTCCCCATGCATTTAGTACAAAGCTTAGCTATATGTTGGTTTTAACTCAGATCATCAGTGTTTATGTACGACCTCTCGAAATAAATGTAAACTACCGGTATGTTACCTTCAGTTGTGTGTATTCCCAGCCGATTTCAAGAATTATTATTTGATTATTGGTATATATATATATAAATGAAAAGTGTATTTTGATGTGTGTTTCGAACATCAAATTTAGAAATATATCTTTGGCACATTACGGTGTTCTTGTCATAGAAGAATCTAATAATTCAATAATTCTGTAGTCTTAACTTGTATGAAAGAGCCTGCATATGCATTTAGTTTAAGTGTTACAATAGGAAAAGTTTAAATCAGTGCTTAAATGTATCTTAGGGCTCATACAACCATTCTAACACCAACAAGCCCGATAGCACCCGTTTAGTGCTTTGGTGTGAAGGGGGCAACGTATGGAATGAGGTCATGTATTACAATAGAAATAGTGTTCACATCAGAGGTTTAAATATGCCTCCATCCAACACTTTTTACCTCCAGTCTTTGATTGACATACTTAAAGATTCACTTTGCAAAAAAATAAAATGCAAATTATGGCATTCGATCGGCAGGGTAATGATTTACATGCATATAGAAAGAGACCTCTCACAATTACTTTATGTCAATGTACCAATGCCACCCAATCCAATAAAGTGTCAGAGTAATCTTTCATAACTCTAGTAGCATTTGTTTTACTTCATTGTTTATGTGATTATGGCATTTCCCCCCTCAGCTGTCTATCAGTTATCTTTATCCATTAATTAACATTGTTTCTATTTTGCAAATAAAAAGGTATTTGTATTTGTATGATACATGAGAGTTATATGGTCAACAATGAGTTGAGATATGTGTATTATTTGGGAAGTTTATAGTATACTAAAAGCAAATATGTGTGTACATTCAAAGTAATTATTATGATTTTTCTCAGACAATTTATTTATCCTCTATGTTCCAGTCTCGTTCATTGCTTTTTGTACCAACGTATGTTCATACCAAAATTATAGTTATATGGCCATCAGCATTTACAGTACCCGATTACTGTGTCAGTACAAAAATATAATTAAATGATATTGCACAATGTCAGAGATGTTTGAAGGTGTTTTCTTATTTTTATTGTGGTGTGTGTGTGTGTGTGTGTATGTGATGTATCCTTTAAATCCCGTCTGTACTAGTTTGGCCAGGATCGTGCGTGACAATGTGATATATATAGTTTACACATTTGAGATATATTTCATAGAATATTGTCGGGGCAGGGGGTAGTTTCTGTCATTTCTGACAATAGCTCCCATTGACAAATAAGTAGTTCTGCCTCCTTGCACTTGGGAACAATTTCAACATCATACATTTTAGATTTTTTTTTTTTGGGGGGGGGGGGTTTACACACATAAAAATACCAAAGGGGGGGTTCAACCCCCGAACACCCCCCCCCCCCCACCCCCTGCGTACGCGCCTGACATGGAACCCCATCCTCTTCGTTTTCGAAATCTTGGACGAGAAACAGGAATAAATTGTATGTGGCCTTTTCCTTCAAATATTTTGCATATTCATATTATGCAAATTAATACAATTGACACCGCCTACCGTCTTCAACACGCTACACATGTTCTATAAATTTCGATTGTTATAAAGTCACTCTTAGAGAATTATCTTTGTCAATGCTTCTCTCTTTTCTTTCACTTGAATTGTCAAATAGAAAACTGCGTTCAATATTATTTAAATATCTCAAAATTTACGAAGTTCTACGTTAAAAGAATTTATTCGCGATCCTTTAGTTTACATTGTCCCACATGTCGGAAATTGTGTTGGGCATTTGGATAGATCGCTGAATTAATAAGAGTGCCGACTGAGCTGAGCAGCTGAGCTGATGCAACAACCTCGACAATAATGGCTGCAATGATGGAGATGGATTGTTGGAAAGGTGACTGGGGATTGCCCTCAGTTGATAGAGATTGTCTGAAAGTTATGGTAAGAATTGCTTAAGAATATGCTTATTTTCAGAAGTTATACCATTAAAGTCAAATAAAATTCAGAATCAAAATAAAATTTAAAATGAAGTCAAATCAAGATCGGTCATGATGAAGTCAAAAAGTTTAATATTGTAATAAAACTAATAATTATTGCACAAGCGCTTTAATAATTTGCTAACCCTATGAGAGCTGGATATTGTGAAACTTTAAACTTAGCACAATATTTTTAAACATCAGGAACATTGTCGTTGCCATTGGCAATATTTCCTGCAAGACTCAAAAGTAAAATTGTGAATGTGATCAGATTCACTGGTGTTCATTTTTTTGTAGATTCATGATCTATTGACAACGTTTTTTTTATGAGCCACATCACATGCATTATTCAAAGAAGTTTTACACAATATGCAAAGTTTTATGGTGGTTATTTTTCAAAGACAAATGAGGAAAAACAGGTCTAAAGAGACGCCAAGTTCAAAGATCGGCAAAGACTCGGCGCGCGAGCGAGGGTACACACATATAAGGTATAGCATTTTTTCAAAATACTAGCGTGCGTGTCTTTCGTGAAACCCTCGAAATGCTTTTGGTAGCTCTCGGTCTATTTTTTTAATTTATTTGGTCCTCCAAAATACTTGTCTGAGTTTTAATTGGAGGAGTTTTATAAACTAGCCTACACTACAAGTACAATGTATTTGTAATATCAACTCAGTTACAGTAGTGTCTATAACTTCAGGGAGCTATGACGTCGGAGCTCCCTAGAGAATATCGTCTAGTGATGTACATATTAAATATGAAAGTTCTTGATCTATTTCCAAATATTTTCATCTTAGGCCTATGCCCAGTTTGCTGGAGCCCCCATCAAAGTTCACCGTGACAGACGGCTTTGGAGGAATATATCAGGTAGGAATTTTTGCTGCATCATTGTTTTGTATGCTGCTAGGCAGAAGGGTATAAAACCATGTAAAAGGTCTTATTGCCCTTCTGGCTTTTAACACATAATAAATGTGCATAAGCTGCTTGGCGAACTGAAATGAGCCTTCACATGTGAATATCAAAGTAAAGTTTGATGGGAAAATGAAGTTTACTTAAAAACACGATGTACTGTATGCATAACTTCAACATAGGGTCTAGTTAACTTTGGCAATCTAGCTATATCGCAAATTGCTTTGGATGGAAGCAGAAAAATTGAGAAGATGGATTTTAAAAAGATTTAGAAAGACAACAATAAATTGCATGGAAGTTATGAATGTTTTAGAGCTTATCAACACAAGTGTGGCTAGGAGGGATTAGACCACACAGCGGGGTCACTGACAGGTGGCTATCTCATCAACTCAGCTCTCAAATAACATAAGAAATAGAGGATCATGGGGGACCAACAGGCACCGATTGGGGAAGTTTTCTCTATAGAGGGAGCAAGTAGCTACAAGTAGGACAGTGGGGCTTTAAATTGCAGTTTCCTCTGTGGGAATCTCAAACTGGGGCATTGATGATTTTCAGTGCTTAGATTCATTCTTTATTATACTTAACATATTGATTGTAAACATTACTTGTACAATATTTGTAACTCTTGTGTAAAAATGTTCTCTGCTATATTTTGAATATTTTTTTCAGCGCATTATCCAGTCTTCTATTCCGATGGCAGAACGTTGAAGTCAGCAGACAGTATTATAGAGCATCTAAAGCAGAATCAATTTGATGCAGACTCAGAGTTGAATGACCAGCAAAGGGCAGACATTCTCGCCTACTCCTCACTACTAGAAGAGAAACTGTTACCTGCATTGGTGTGTATTAATATTTAATTCCATGGCACAAGATCATGTCTGCTAGGTCACTGCTTTACTCTCAATTCACTTTGAATGTTTATCCATGGACATTCATGGTTTAGTGTTTAAAACATTACCATTCCAGCTTGTTGTACATATAGCTGAATTGTTAAGTAAATATGATGACAGTGTTAACAATCTTGACAAATTATATTACAAAATCAACAGTTTTCATGAGTACATGTGAAGTAGTATAACGGTATTCATAGAAATAAGGCATTTAAGACATAGCATTAGTTTAGAAAGTCCTAAATGTTCTAATAGAGAAAAGAGAACTGAAACAATAGAGCAAGAGAAGAGAAGAGAAAATGAGGGAGGGCTGTAAGAGAGAGAACTTTAAATAGAGGAATGCATAATAGAGAGAAGCATAAAGTCTGAGATAAAATGAGAGAGAATGATCTTTGTTCATCTACCGTAATCAAATGACATTTGTGTCTTTTATCACAAATAGCTAGTCGGGAGTTTAAAAAAAAATGGCTTCTTAATAATGTACAGAGAAAAGTAAAAGAAAGCAACTTGTCTAATACTACTTCAGTTACTCATGCACTGCACAGGTCTGTTATAATTAGTTACCACTTTTACACTTTACAGTTTTGTAGTCATAAAATTTCTTTGTATGTAATTAATCTTTGTTTTCATAATCTTAGTTTCTTATGTTAACCACGTGTTCAATTTCTACTTAATAAGTCTGTAAATATATTCTATGTACATTGTTTTTATTGTGCAGAACCCTGAAGGATAGCAGTCTGTTAACTGAAGAGGCAACGCTGCTGAAATAAAACTGTAAATGAAATAATAAATAAATATAATTTCACTTTATCTTCCTCAGCAATACACATGGTGGGTGGATGCCAAGAACTACACTGAATTTTCCCGTCCCTGGTTTGCAAAGACAATGCACTTTCCTTTCAACTACTTCATACCGGGCCAGTTACAAAGGACAGCTGAGAGCAGTCTAGAAGTGAGAAGAGGTGGCCTGCATTTACTAGATGGAGAACTCTCTCAGAATGTAAGCATGTAATGGTTAAAGACCCTCTGAAGTGTTGGGAGCCCAACAAATTTGATGGCCAAATTTCCCCTAAATTGTGTCATAATTGTAAAAGAGGATGTCATTTAAGACACATTACTGCAAGGATTTTCAAAACAAATGTGTTTGAAGTCGGATATTGATGAAATAATACAAAATTTAGGTGTTTTGAGTACAACAGAAAACCCCAAATATGTATTCTTTTATCAATATTTGTCTTCAAACACATTTTTAGGGGGGAAATCTTTGCAGGAGTGTGTCATACTGTAAATGACATCCTCTTTCACGTTTTGATACAATTTAAGTAAAATTTAACATCATACATGGGAACGGCCATTCAGACTAGGATAGCTAGAGACAGAAGAGAATGGAAATGTTATGAGGAGGGCTTCGTCCAACCTCTGGATGAACTATAGCCTGACAGATAGATATAAGTGAAAATTTTGCCATCCAATTTTTTGGCGAAAGCAGAAAGGAAATTGGAAAGAAACCTTGAAATTATAGCCTCGCAGTGTTCTCTGTTTTAATACGAATAATATGTGTATGAGATCATGGGGTATTCCATCCACGATTTCCGTTGAGTGTAAATATCTGCCAGAAATGCTAGATAACAGTTATGCACCCCCCCCCCCCCCTCCTCCAATGCTAATACACTTCCACCCTGATGACTCCTGGCGCATTAATCTCGTCTGCGCTTTGCTTAGAGCATGAATGTGGACTCTAGTGTATAGACACCGTGCTCATAAGTTTTAGAGGTGTAGTGTGTAGTGTAGGTTGTTAGAATTTATGTTGCAGGATGGTACCACTTTACTTATTTGCTTAATATTTCACTTGAGAAAGAAAAAAACAAGATTTAAACAAAAAAAGAATATCAGAATTCAGTAGTCAATGTGTTTAGTCTTTGTATGTTTTATACATCCTTTCTTTTTCCCCTCTCTATGAAAGGTCATGAAAGATGCCAGGTACTGTCTCAATATGTTGTCTGAGAGACTAGGAGAGAAAGAATTCTTCTTTGGAGAAAGGTGAGAGCCTGACTATGTTTTCTTCCTCTTATGAAAACCGGGCATGGTGGCTCAGTGGTTAGAGCGCCCGCCTCATAAACGGGAGGTCGTGGGTTCGAACCCCGGCCGAGTCATACCAAAGACTTAGAACAATGGGACCTTCTGCCTTCTAGCTAGGCGCTCAGCATATTAGATTGGAGAAGGGTAGTAATAGCATATTATGTTATGCAGGGCCCGCTGGAAGAACAGTTTCATAACTGAAGTGGCTACCCTGGGTAAATAAAACGTTATTATTATTATTATTATGTTTTGTATATTTTGAGTGTGTGAAAACTACTTTTAATGACCAAGTTTCAAGATATGTGTTTGAAATATTGTTTTAAAAAGGGAATCCTCATTTATTCTGCGGCCGGTATTCCAACATACATGTAAGACAAGGGGATTTCATTCGGGTCTTGACCTATTGACCTCATGTTTCTCTTCTCATGTATATTTGTGTATACTCACGTAGTTTGAAATCGTGTGACAGTTATCAATCATTTATAAGTGTTTGTTTTATTTGACTCTGGAAAAGATTATAATTCAAGACTACCTTTAGGCTCCAGAAATATACCATTGTATTAGTAAAGGCAGTAGATTTATATTATTCTTACTGCTCATGTCAATACCCTTAAGAGTGTGTCAGTATCAAGGAGAGTCTGTTTCAATGTTTCTAATAGTGAACCATGAATCATTGAAAGTTTGATATATATATATCATTATTATTAGTAGTAGTATTATGATTTTATCATATCTTAATTTTATTTATTGTTTTAAAATGACATATGATATTTGCATATTTGACTGTATGGTGCCAAAAAACTGAGAATGCAAATGAAAAACAATTTTTTTTATGACTAGATTGGAAGCATACTTGTATGATGTTGATGTAAATGATGATCGTGATATGCAAAGCAATAACAGTTATTGAAACCTATCCCCTTTTTCTCCTTTATTTATGCTCAGTCCCACATCTTTAGACGCCCTAGTATTCAGCTACCTGGCTCCCCTTGTACGAGTTCCGTTCCCTAGCAACACCCTCCAAGTCCACTGCAAGGCTTGTGAGAACCTTGTCATGTTTTGCAGCCGTATCTTACAACGCTACTTTCCTCAGGATCCACAAGGTACAAGCCATTCAAAGGCACCCATTTTCCATCATTCAACATGCAAATTGCTTTATGTAAAGTGCAGAGATGAGAGAGAGATAGATTATCGAAGAATTTATGTAATCTCATGGACATCTAGAGAGCTATGTCTAATGACTAGAGTAAACTGATTTTTTTTATGTGGAATTTTCTGATCAAGCAATTCAGTTATTATATTCCTTTTTGGTATGGCACTGTGGGTCTTCAAAACTTATTCCAAATCCAGATTTCTTGCACTCTACTCTAATTAGGAGACAACAGTATTCTATTTATCACATTTAGATGCTAGTCATTTTAGAATGAGCCACATTTACCAAATGCTCGATGGACGTGGAATCTCAAATGAAATATTGCACTCATCCATAACTGTAACTCTTCAGAATTTTTTGAGGAAAATATATCATCTACATGCCAAAAGGCAAATATAGAGAGGACATGGTGGCAGAGACAGAAATAAATGTTTCTCAAGAAATCAACAAGTTTACCCATTTTTTCCCCAGAGCCCCAGACTGCACCCAAAGAGTCTCAGGCCACATCTGAGGAAGTGTTTGATGACCCACACAAGACGAGGAACCAGATCCTCTCTGTGCTCTTTGCTGCTACCGCCATGGTCGGATATGCCCTCTTCAGCGGCATGGTGCAGTTTGAGATCGTGGACGATGACGAGATGGACGACCATGGGATGATGGACGATGAGGGTGATGACTACCAGGCACAAGAATAGATCTTGGACAAGAGGAGATCCCGGTGTCAAGGGTGTCAAGGGTGGTCATTGATCACCAAAGAGGTTTCCAGGTCTTCCAAAGTGTTGTCCTGCAACGTTGTCCTGGGACCCATTTCACAAAGCCTTTTTTCAATGACAATTGACAAAAAAATCAATGACAACTCTGCTGATAACCAATCAGAAACAAGGATTTCAGTAGCTTATAACAAAAACTGTCATTTGTCACTGATGACAAGTTTTGTGAAACACTCCCCAGGAGGACTCCAATAAGCCTGACATACCCTTGTTTCTACATCTGAACAAATATGTCAGCAATGCAGGATGATTTGCGGTCTGCTTTATCAGCAGTATCTGGACTTTCTCATAAGGGGTTGTATTCTACTAATTCAAGTTATACTCACTGCAAGGTCCAAGTCATGTTTAACAAAGCGAAAACTTAGACTAAAGTCAAATTTCCTTTGCTAAACTTGACTTCAAATCAGGTACAAATGAAGCATTACGTTAGAATTTGATATGGACCATGGTGTCCGGTGATAATACTCTATGCAGGGCTTGATACAAATAGGGGCCTTCACATAGACCCCCAAATTATGAGTTTGGGCCTAATTTTAAATTTTAAAGGGGCCCCATTTTATACAGACCTTGAAAATTGTAATATGGTTCCTGTGTGCAAAACTTAGTGTGGAGCCATGCGTCAGGGGACCATAATACTCTTGCATCTTTTACAAAAGGAATCCCACTCCTTTGCTTATTTTGAGAAATGATTTTATTTAATAATTCATCATAATTTTTTGAAGTTGAATGCCAAAATGTTAAATGTAAAGGCACTTTTAGTGGATCATTTTATATCAGTTCATGTAAATTATGTAATTTTACTTGGTTACCATGCTTATGTCTTGTTTTTCAATTCATTACTAGATAAGTTGCCATGGGTTTCTAATAATAATAGTTTTTCCAGTTCACCTTCTTGCTCGTGAAAAATATTCTCCACTCTTTCAGGTATAACCGAAATGTAGAATACTAAGGTAAAGCAATTTTTTCAGAATTCTTTTTTAATCATTTGTTACCCATGAAATGGACAATGACACAAAAGTATTATTAGATACAATACAAGCCTGAAAGTAACTTCAGACCAAAATACATGTACATGTATAGAAAGGGACTGTGCTGGAAAGTGTGGACATTCTTTAGGGCCATGCACTGAACAGCATTATGTATTTGATTGCTTCTATTTTGATTAGCCACTGGAGAATAGATCTATGTCATGTACTTTGATTTAACACACATTTTATCTATGTAATTATAGGGTGTGTATGAAATCGCAGAATTACTTTCTTCTACGACCCTTAGCAATCGGGTGGCACTTAACCTTTCACAATACACATGTGTGATTCTTGGAATGTTGGTGTATAAGGAGGAGAAGGAAAATATTGAATAAACGTACATCGCATTGATATATATGTACATTTTATTTGGTGAATTGTTGTGAATGAAACAATATGGAGCTTGACTTCAACATTATATTTGCTTTACCAAATAAAAACATTGTGAGTTGTGATTTTTAGAAAACTGACGTAAGATCTCAAATGATGAAAGAAAATACACACTTTTGGTCTTTATCATGAGAGAGATGGGGAGAGTGAGAGTGAAAGAAAGTGGGGGATAGAGAGTGAAAGAGAGAGAGGGGAGAGTGAGTGCGAAAGAGAGATGGGGAGAGTGAGTGCGAAGGAGAGATGGGGAGAGTGAGTGCGAAAGAAAGTGGGGGAGAGTGAAAGTAAAAGGGAGAAAGAGAGTGAGAATGAAGGAGAGAAGAGAGAGTATGTGAGAGTGAAAGGGGGAGCGAGAGAGTGGTGGGGGGGGGGGGGGGTAGGGGACGATGAAAGGGATGGTGATGTATGGACAAGCATAGTGTCCCATATTAGTGTCCCAAACACGACGAAAAATCGAAATCGAAAAACTTCCTCTTTATCTGGAGTGTAGTTTCACCGATTTGTATAGTGTAAATGCAAAATTCGGTAAGGTAACGGTTTTTGCTCACGTTGCTCTCCTCGCTTCCATGTTAACGGCAAAAGGGTATGCGTAAACTTCTATTTTTTTTTTTTTCCAGTGATGTAAATTTAAGATTAAAAAAAAAAGATCGACGGTTTTTCAAATGATGTTTCGGATGTGTAAATGGGCCTATATATATATATATACTCCACATATAGCTGGTATCAATTAAACGACAAGTCAAGAAAGTTTATCGTGTTATTTCTAAGTGATGCAATGCGACCAAAGTATCTTGATTGCCATTACAACAAGCTATCGTTTCAATAGGCACCTTAATCTTACTTATTTCTGTACTAATCAAATAAAAATAGTAGATGCACGCTAATATTAGTTCACGTATCACAATTACCTACATGCAGGGGCGGATCTACGAGGGGGGGGGGGGGGGTTAGGGGGCTGCCAAGTGAAAATCATGTGTCCATCATGTGTCCAAACTCACACACTATTAGTAAATGTTAGTACATCCGGAAAACACTTAATACGGGGGTTCATAATAGCCCCCCAAAGTCCGATGGGTCAGCCCCCCCCCCCCCCTTAGCAAAGAGCTAGATCCGCACCTGCAATGTACTAAATTGACATGATGTAATTTTTCTTTTCATACTGGGTTCCACGTACCTTACCAGTTCAGGGAATACATAAGAGCCACCTAAAAGCTGTATGAAAAAAAGCAGACGGCGTTATATAAAAAGTTTTGGGGAATTTTGAAAATTGGGTGGATAGTGATTCTTTACAACTTTGATATATTTGGACAGTAGCAGATCTAGGGGGACCGGGGGCCCGCCCCCCCCCCCCCCTCCCCCTGGGGGAAAAACGTGTAAAAACACGTTAAATTTACCTTTTTTTTGGAGATGGGCCTCCTCCCCTGGCGCTCAAGGGGGAAGGGGGTGCGATTTTTCAAATTTTCGAGAGCCAAAAAAAAATTAGTGCTCACTAAAAATTAATAGATTAAAGGACATCATGCAAAATAATCGGTTTGAAAATATCATATGATATCTAGAGTTATCCAACTACTCATGATGTAGAAATGACATCAAAATATTTGACCTGCACATGTTTAAAAAAAAAGATTCATGCATTGCGCTGCACCTGACAAACTTACTAAACTTTTGCTGCGCGCGCATCCTTACCATTGTTGACGTAGAGCTATTGGCAAGCGCGCCTCATTATTAACAATGTGCATGCGTGTATCTCTGGTAACCACTAGCACTGCCATACAATTTTATGACAATCTAAATTCATTTCTCTTGCGCACATAGCTTTCGGACTAGAGTTATTGAGCGATCTTCGCAAATTCTTTCGAAACTAGGATTAGGAAACCTTTTGGCGATTTTCAAAATGGGCTCTGCTAAATCCAAACCCCGATCTTTGTCTTTCAAGGAGGAAGTCGAAGATCATTCTGAGACCACTGAGACCTGCTGTTGGGCAGGAATCATAAAAATGTTCTCCAAGAGCAAGAGGGTAAGGGCAGATAAACTTCGCAGAGTCTCACTTTTTTAGTTTTATATCCAATCTTCAATGGCGTATCCAGCATAAGATGGGGCCGGCTTTAATATGAAGGTCCAGTAAAAAGGAGATAGAAACCCGTTCCCCATTCTCCCTTCAGTTCATGGCAGGATTCCACCAATTTAGAAGAATCGAACTAGCTCTAATATGATATATATTGTACTCAATATACAGATATACCATGCTAGTAGCATGGTACTTCTACTTCTACGACGATACTCAGCAGGATCCATAAGTCAGGATGTATAGTGCTGAGGAATAAACTATCTAGTTCTTGGTCTAGATGCTGGGTGGAAGCGCTCCCTTGAAGCCCTCCAGTAAAGTAGCGTCAAGGGTGATCTTTGAAAGTGCATTCCACGCAGTTACTGTCCGACGGAAAAATGAGTTCTGGTAGAGCTGGGTGCGGGATGGGATAGCCAGCAACTTCTTTGAGTGATACTGTCGTGTGTTGCTGGCAATCATGGGTGCTGTGTAATCGTGTGCATTAATGGCTACTGTGTGTTTTGGAACTTGTACATGAGGTGGAGGCTTGCAGCATTTCTTCTCCTCTCCAGGCTCTCCCATTTCAGATGTTGAATCATGGCCGTATATCTGTATGATGCTACAATATGCAATATCATAGAATATATTTGTTTATGGTAAACTATTACAGCCAAAGTCGATGGCATTGCAAGTGATGGAGGACGATATGGACAGTGATGGCGACAACGACGACGTCGTCCTTGTCAACGACTCCAGCAAGTCATCTGCTACTTCGATCCACTCAGCCGAGTGCGTCGAGGCACTTCAGATATATTGGTCTGCCCCTGCTGTACTTGACCAGGATTGCCACCCGTCCTTGATGCATTCTTTGAGGAAGGTCGAGGACGAGCTACCCTCTACGTCCTATCCGAAGGACGTGAGGGTTTCCTCTCAGTACTTCCTGTCCTACCGTAAGTTGCCAGGTCGTTCTCTTTGCAAGTGTCAAAAATTGCTCGTGATGGCTTTGAAGGTTTTTTTTTTTTTTTTTTAATTATTTTTATTTCTAAAACAAGACTCTATTCATTGTGAATTGGTTGTCAAACAAGTAGCCTTGTTTCTGCACGATATATTGGAATAAGAAAAAAAACCATGGTGTTGACGATGTGTGAATGATAACAAACATATTTTTCGTTATGTTATGGATTTTGCATTATAAAATATGAGGCGAAACTAAGACTCTGAACAATTAAGTACATGTATGGTATATATTTATGACATATTTTGTGATATTACATGGATGTGTCGGAAAATGTTAAATGAAGGAGGGCCAGAAAGAAAAAAAAAGGAGATAGAAGAAATGATACAGAAGGGATAAGAAATTCTTAACCTTTGAGAGGAGAAAATAGATCAACATAAGTATGTATTAGAAAGCTAAGTATGTATTAGAAAGCCGGTATGTTCAGCTTTGCTCACGTCCGTCACAATAGATCGGTTCATCAACGACGAGGAGAACGATGACGAGTCGGTGACATCCGATGTCGAGTACGGGAACGAAGATGTTGACAATGCCGATGTCGAATCCAACGCTGATGACGACACGACACCAGTCCCTGGCCTTGTGTATTCTGACGATGAATGTAAGCAAACGAGAATAATTAGCTTATGTTGAGTTAGAAAATTAAATAAAAGAGAAATTGTTTTCGCGAGATATTCATAATTAGGACTTGCATGGAATAAATAGACCAAAGATAGAGATAGACCAAAGAAAGAGAGGATTTGAAATACATTCTGATACATAATGTATATTTTAGATGGAGATTTAAGAGAGAAAGAAAGAGAGAGAGAGAGAGAGAGAGAGAGAGAGAGAAAGAGAGAAAGAGAGAATGAGGGGGTGGAGAAATACTAATTTGGTACCTGGGAGTACTTAAATCCTCTTTCTTGATGAGCTAGCAATATCTTGGAAACAACTTTACAGGACTCATTGTCAAATCTATATTGTGTGGTTTTCTTAATCATTTTCCATCTCAAGACACCGACGACGATTGCAGTGATGATCAGGAGGTAGAGCGCGAGATCAAGGGTGCAATCGAAGAGTCCAGTGAGGATGAGATCAGCTCACAGACTGACCAGAGCGTGATGGTCAAGAGATATAACCTTGTCCAAATGACCAAGGTCAGTGCCATGTACCAGACAGGTAAGCTTTTGGTTGTTGTTATATTTCAATTTTACAAATAGTTTTACTTGTATAATTCCTACAATATTTGATTATAAATCATAAAATGATATTACTTTGAGGTTTATCACCTGTGAATGTTATGATTTGCATGCTCCTTATTTTCTCTCCTCTTCCCCCTCCCCCTCCCCCCTCTCTCTCTCTCTCTCTCCCGCCCCCTCTCCCTCTCTCTATCACTCTCTCTCACACACACACACACACAACAATATTTGGCTCTTTTTACAAGTTTTGAGATTTTCACCGTGCAAGTCCCTGCAACGCCCTTACTTTTTTTTAAATTTCTTACTGAAAATAGAGGAGGATAGCAGCAGCTACCTGTCTAGTTGCTCTGGTGAAAACAAAGATGTGAGCCAATCACCGGTGAGCATTACCCCCCCCCCCCCCCTACCCGCCCCCTCCACCTTTGATTGGTCGTCATGATGGGTTGAAAGGTAAAGACCAGTTCTGGTCATGCGATTGCATTGTGAAAGAAACTTTGTGGAATCGATCAGAAAAGGTTGATCATCTATAGCATCTAGCATCTGCAAGGATCTGGAATCATCAAAATGATAAGAAATTTGGCCCATTCTTCGTAAAGTTACAAGCAGGGGCGTCGCCAAAGGGGGGGTGTGGGGGGTGCGACACCCCCCCCCCCCCCCACCTGTCAGGATATTGTCGGTAAAATTGCGCTGCCGTCGGGAAAAAAGAGAAAAGGGGGAGGGGAAAAAAGAGAGGAAAAAAAAGAGAGGGAAAAAAAGAGAGGGGAAAAAAAGAGAGGGAAAAAAAGAGAGGGGAAAAGAGAGGGAAAGGGAAAGAAAAGAAAAAAAGAAAAGGAAAAGAAAAGAAAGAAAGGAAAAGAAAGGAAAGAAAGGAAAGAAAGGAAAGAAAGGAAAGAA